GTTGAGAACACTCTGCTGCCAGGATAATTTTCCATGAGCTAGGGCCATCCTCAGCAACTGAGTTATCCTTTGAGATGACTGAGGGCAATGTTATTGATGAAATGACTGTTGAGAAGCATGATGATGAGCTTGGAGACTTAATTTTAGGTATTTCAGACAATGAGAACCATTGAGACTTGGATGAATAAGTGTCTTTTACTACAGTGATTATTGTGACACAATCAAAAGTCAATGTCTTCACTGTTTTTTACTGTCTGATTTATCCTGATAGCTTCATTGAGTTGAAAATGGACCACTCTAATTTTTTATGCACAAAGGAAGCAAAATACATGATTTTATAGTGAAAGCCCTGGCCTAGGCCCAAGCCAAGCCCAAGCCAAGCCCTGGCCCTATGTCAGGGCCTGGCCTAGGGTTTTGCAAATCTCGAGCCCTCAAAAGCCAGGCCAAAGCCAGGGCTTTTTCAGGCCAAGCCCGGCCCTGCACAACACTATATGCCAGAGCCTCTTTTGCCTCGAGGATGGTTGTGCGTGTGTGGAGGTCATCGACTTCTTGCTCAGTCCACCATGACATGGCGTGGGCTGGCTGGTCGTCGAGAGGTGGAGGTGGAGGTGGAGTGGGAGCTCGGTCCACAGGCGGCTCGAGTGGTGGCTCGTAGTTGCCAACATCGTCGTCGTCGCCGAGTGGTTCGATCGGCGTCTGAGTGCGTTCCTCTTCGACAGGCTCATCTTCATCCTCTTCCGGTTCGAGTTCGTCTACATCAATATTGCGCTGCCATTGGTTGTCTTCATTGTCAGACTGCTGGTCTGGTTCCTCAAAAACGAAGGCCCGAGCCTCTGGGGTAAGCACCTTATAAGGTCAGCATGCTGGCTTGTCAGATGCTGATTAGAGCCTTACCTCGACGTTGAGCTCGGATGTCGGAGCACGTAGGTACTCGTCATCGCTATACTCGATGGCATCGAGTGGCAAGGGGGGTTCCTGTTAATTACATGTCATGTAACGTGAATGAAAGAGCGATATAACATTCGAGACGTACCTCATCGGACTCGTGACTTGGGTCCACTTCCTCGCCTCCCTCTTCTGCCAATGTCCTCTCCTCGTCTACCTTGCTCTTCTTCCTGGTTGTATCATCCGCGTTTTTGGACCGTAGCCGTCTGTGTCAGCTTGTGTAAGTGGCCAGGAATGCTGGAGGGTGCTCAGCGAGGAGAGAGTCAAGGGCGAGATGGTTAGAGGTGGAAGGTGGCAGTGGTTGGCTTGTGCTCGTAGATTCGTCGGGATAGAGCTCTTTGTGCTTTTTCTTGGTACGTCTTGTAACCCGTTTGGCCTCGCCGAAGTTCTTCGAGAGGCATATTGGGCAATCGCAATCGCTGTGATTGCCGTCGTTGTCCTGTCCGACCTGTGTGCTAGTGGACGGATGGGGAGGCGAAGGAGACATGGAGATAGAGGAGGGTATGTGTGTGTAACGGGACTTAGTCGAGATCGCGAAATAGCCGCGTCGAACACGTTGCGTTAATGAAATCGCCTCGGCTCGGGTACCTGCGCTGGTGAAGCGGATTCGCAGCGAATCCCGAATGGAGTTGACGACGTCGACAGGGCGGATTCGAAACAACTTCCGAATTGGGTTAATGATGCCGACAAACCGAAGTCGACGCGAGTTTCGGGTCGGATTCACGACTCCGATGAAGCGAAATCGAAACGAGTTCGAAATCTCGTTATGTAATCAGAATTTCATCGGACTTTCCGAAGTCCGCCGAGCTATTTCAGTCCTCGGTCTAGGCTCACAGAAGCAGAACGATGGGCAATGAGATAGAAGCTACTACAAATAGTAGCTACGGAGTCATTTTTCATAGGGCTTGAACCTTGGCTTGCGGCAACCCTCCTTGGGAGGATTGCATTCCCTAAGGCCGACTACCCCTTGCCTGCGGCGAAGGTCAAATTTAATCTAGCCTAGGAAATCCCCTCCTTGCAGTGCTTGTTCATCTGCGAAGAAGCACTTAACATTGAACTCCAGCCAACGTATTATTCTCCAAATCAGTTCAAGTATGTGTGGACGATACGCCCTGGGATTGCAGGTACTCCATGATAAACTTGGAGATGCGTGAAGTTAAGGTTCACCATTAGCGGGCCCGTCTCCGTGCACTTCCTGGACATCAACACCTAGAGCCGGCTGAATGGATTGATGAATTGGAATTTATGGTGAGAAGTCCTTACAGCGTATTCAACGACCAAAGTACTCTGGCCTAACTTACAGTGCCAATGAGCCAGCCTAGGTTCAATATTGCCCCTAATACACATGCTCCCGTCATTCGAAGGCAAGGGAACCCGTCCGAACCTCGAGAAGCCGATCTCGTTCTGCATACAATGCAGTGGGGCATCTCGTACGGAAAGAGTGACTCAAAAAGTGCGAAGGCCATCAACGCACGTTCCGAAAACATAGTCGAAGGAGGCAGCATGTGGAATAAGCTGAGGGGCAAGTACCGATGTGTGGTTCCATGTCAAGGGTAAGCCCTGTCCTTATCTCTGCTCTTACACTATCGAATTTCTGCGAGAGCACAGCTATTACGAGTGGAAAGTCAAGGGAAAGGATCGCATCCCCCATTTTACCAAGGTCAAGGACCAAGACATCACTCTCCTGGCCGGTCTTTATGAACACGTCAAGACAGGTGGAGCAATTCTATGCCTTTTTCTCGAGTCTTAACAGTAAACATCTTAGAGGACGGCAAGGTTAACTGGACCTTTGTCATTGTGACCACCGACGCTTGCAAGGAGCTTAGCTGGCTGCACGATCGACAACCGGTCATATTGACCTCAGAGGATGCTATCAAGCAATGGCTTGACACTTCATCACAGAAATGGTCGAGTGACTTGGATAAACTCCTGAGACCATACGACCAGAAGCACCCGTTGCAATGGTATCAGCTTCTTCCTTCCGTTCGTTTCCCCAGTACTGACAACACATCGCCAGTTACCAAGTCCCCAAGGAAGTGGGGAAAGTAGGTACCGAGTCACCCAAGTTCATCGAACCCGTCGCAGAGCGCAAAGATGGCATCGCGGCAATGTTTCAGAAGCAGCGAGTGAAGCAGGAGAAGAAAGAGCATAGCAGCCCGACCAAAACCACTGAGAAGCGTAAACGAGAGTCACCTGTACCAGATGAAGCCGAAAAGACACCGTCCAAGAAGATCAAGGCGGAGTAATTGTTCATTTGTTGGTCTCATGAAGAAGCCCTGTAATAAACTGTACCAACACAGTGCTAGTCTAGATAATATCGTAATATGAGTACATGTACAATGATTTACTACCTTTGCGGGGGCGACGCGCTCCTGCTTCGGCTACTCATGCCCTTGTCTTCGTAATCAGAACCTTCTGCCTTGAGCTCGGCATGGCCCATCTTCTCTAGCTTCTTGTCAAAGTCCCGTCTGCGGTAACCCGAAACAATCCTTTCCAAAAGGTCGGACGTTGACACTCCAGGTGTTCGGCGCGTTGGGATGAATCGTCCTGCCCGTGCTGTTAGACATCGCTCCAGTAGAAATGACATCTACGCACCTTGGGCTTTGACGAAGCTGTACACATCGTCATGAGTGGGCGAAACGTATGGGTCTTCGTCGTGTGCAACGTAATCTATTTGCCACTTGTCGAGGAAAGCGGCGTCCAGTACCCAAGGGCAGTCAGGGATGACTTCATCAACCCATCTGCAATGCCGGACTGCTTCGCAACTAAACAACCCTTCAGGTCAGCGCATCTATTTTAAGATCAGAGATATGACCAACCGTTCGGCATGGTCCATCACACAGCGAGCCTTGTTCGAGTGTACATCCTCGTCGGTGTTGACGCCGACAAGCAAATAAACATTGGGGAAAGATAATTTTGCCTGCCGCAGTTGAAGGGCATGACTGAGGTTATATTGAGAAGATCCCTAACGGCGAAGACCGAGCAGCGTACCCAAAGTGGAATAGGTCATAGACACCTACACTCCTGTATCTTTAGAAAACACTGTGAGATTACATATAGACCAGCGCACCATCTGCATATATGCGCACTGGACGATCGGCTGGGGGCTTGTTGATGTGATACTTTCTCGTTGCTTCCCCCTTAATTGCACGTTGGACAAAGCTCTGGATGTCTTCGGGGGTCAAAGAGGCGGGGTTGAATGCCTTCTCCGCATCTTCTGATGGCTTGGGCTCGCTTGGGACAGGAGCTGAGGCTGAGATTGTGATGTTTGGGGCGACAAGGGGAATTGGGGCTGTCGTCTCAGGCGATGAAGTCGGCGCTTCTTCCGGCTGAGACGTGAGCGTGGACGCTGAAGAGGAGAGCTGAGGATTGGTGTATAGGAAATTCTTGGAGGTATTCTGCCCACTGGGTGCCATGGTCCTTATGGACTCGACGTCGCCGTCGTACGTCTGAGAATCATTGCCATCGTCGGATAGGAGACTGCTAGATGCGAGTTGGTGCCGGACGCGTGACGGCTTGGCGGGATGTGACGAATGGTTGGCCGCACGAGGGGCCTTCTGGGTGGATGGAGCAGGGACAGACATGGCGGATGCAGCGTCGTCTGTGAGCGGATCGTTGTCCTCCTCCGAGCTGTGAGTACGCGTTTGCAGATGAGCTACGGTCTTGTGTGGAGGAGATGAGACAGAGATACTTGCGCGTCGTACGTTGGCGAATCGATCTGGGGGTGTTTCCCTGAGGATCGCTTGCCGTGGAAAGCTTTCTTGTGGTGATGCAGGAGGTCTGTGGGCGAGTCCATGGCTGAGTCTGTTTGCGGAGATTTTGAGTGGAGGAACGACTCAACGAGCGTCGCAGTTTTACAGGACAGATCGCAACCTCGGATGCCACCGAATGATATCACGCACGTGCAATTGCCATACCGCGTCATTCCATTCTCCATAACACTTTGTAAGTCTCCACAACTTACTATGTCCGACTCAAAGCGCACAGAGACCAAGTCGCCACCACCTAACCTGAATCGGACATCTCGCTCGCGGTGGCCAGCTCTCGCCGCGCTTGTAGCAGGACTCACGTTTGCGTTCAAGCTCGTCCAGTACCAGTCACACGACTACACCATATGCTCTTCGAATGGGGCAATATACACCGTTAACCCTGATCTTCCAAATGTGCAGTGCATCCTAGTCAAGGACTCCGTCATTGCTGACGTTGGAAACCTCGGTGAGCTGGGTTCGTTGACGTAGTGGTCCTCCTTATCCAAGCTTCCTTCCAGAAGACATCTCAGCTCGCCACCAGTCTCTAGCTGAAAGCATTTTGCCATGGCCCATAAACCTCCTTCGTTCCTCCCCGCCGATCAAGTACATAAATTCTACCAGTGCTATTGTTCCGGGATTGGCAGGTAAATACATGTCTATCGACGAGAGTGTCTCGTATCGGCAATGGCTGACTGCTGAACTAGATGCCCATGGCCACATTCTTGAGTATGGATTCAAAGAAAATCTCGACCTTACTGGCTGCCAAAGCGTTCAAGGTGTGTATCAGTCCATCCTTATCTAGCATTTTTATGACCGTGGCCAAGAGGTTCTGGATCGCTTGAAGGCATATGTCTCATCCCACCCCGACATCCTAAAAGACCCTTCGCAATGGATCCTGGGTATGGGCTGGGATCAAACAAAGTGGCTAGAAGCTCGATATCCCACAGCTGTGAGTCTCATAGCTTAATTACACACATCTAGACTCAGTTCATCCAGGATGACCTGGACTCGGACATGCTTCTTCGCGGTCGCCGCATTTCTCTATCCCGAGTAGACGGTCACGCGACATGGGTTTCAAACCGAGTGCTACAACTCTTGGGCGATCTCCCCAAGGAGGTAGATGGTGGTGTCATCATTCGAGATACTGGGGGAAAGCCAACGGGTACGTTACCATGGGTTTCTGACTTTGCGCTACTCACAGAATGACAGGAATCTTTGTGGACAACGCCATGGAGCTGATCAAGGTTCCTCCTTGGACCCAAACCCAGATGCTCGAATACTTTGATAAAGCTGTCAAAGATGCTCATGCGCATGGTCTCACCTCCATTCACGATGCGATGTCTACACTAGATAATATCGTATTTTTCAAAGAGTGAAAGGTTTTTTCACCGGCCGAATTCATGTGCTCATGGATATCTCTCAGATACTCGGAGGAGAAGCACTTGCCAGTATGCTCATTGACACAGGCCGCCTAACCCAGTTTTGACGCGTGTTTAAGCTCCGGCTGTATCTCATGGGACACGTCTCGTCCAACGAATACTGGGGTGGCCAGATACCTCGGCTCACCAACCACGGTATCAATGGTCGCTTGAATGTCCGCAGTGTCAAGCTGTTCAGCGATGGTCAGAGCACCACTCTGGACTGTAGGGTCTGGCTGACGAGCTTCTAGGTGCTCTTGGCTCCTTTGGCGCAGCGCTCCTAGAACCTGTCCGTCTTTTGACCTCCATTGTTTATTTAAAAGGCTCATCGGATAACAGTACTCCGATAACCCCTCCACCAGTGGCATCATGCGAGTCGCCAAAGAAACGCTCGGTGCACTCATCAATCAGTTCTATAAGGATGGCTGGCAAGTGGTACGTATTCAATTTCAGCCCCAATTTCCTTGAGTCTCATGTAAAGCACAGAACGTTCATTGTATTGGTGATCGCGCCAACCACATGGTCCTTGACATCTTTGAGGACATACACGCACACAACAGCTCGTTCAGCCAAGCGAGGAACCGTATTGAGCACGCTCAGATCATGACTTTGGAAGACCTAGAACGAGTGGGACGTCTCGGAGGTTCGTATATTCGACGCACCTGGTCCAATAGCCACCATTCACGGTTCTACTAGTTATACCTAGCGTTCAGCCAACTCATGCGTGCGTACTATATTCTAATGATTCATTGATGCCTTTGTGGCATTAACTAACTTTGCTCAGTACAAGCGATATGGGCTATGCCGAACAAAGACTGGTAATTAATTGTTAGCATCGATTAATTAGTAGTACTTACGCACTCAACAGGGTCCAGAACGTATCAAAGGAGCGTATGCGTACCAAACGTTACTACAGTAGGTGTCGTCGCCTCACCAGTTTTATTCGGTCCTGAAACATAGCGCCAGAAACTCTCAAAATCACGTCCTTCCTCTGGGCTCTGACTTCCCCGTCGAGGGCATCAATCCCTTGCTGGGATTCTACGCCGCGGTAGCACGACTGTCAGTCACCGGAGACTCGCCTCATGGCGTCAAGGGATGGTACGTGACTTCTTGCGCATAACACATCTTCAATCCACCAAACAGAACATATAGGTATCCCGGACAAAAACTCACCCGCACCCAAGCCCTCAAAGGCATGACGCTCGACGCTGCCTACGCCTCCTTCGCCGAGGACAAGATCGGCTCTCTCGAAATCGGCAAACGGGCCGACTTCGTCATCCTCGACCGCGATATCATGAAGGTACCTCAGTCCGAAATCCTAGGGACCAAAGTCCAGGCCACGGTGATCGACGGTCAAGTTGTTTACGGTGAATTGTAAATATATAGTGTTACTAGTGATACATGGATAATTATGCCAGTAATGAGACTGAAACGTTTTAAGAACCGGAACCGTAAAGAGCGGAAGTCGAACAACACAGAGGAAGCCGAACTATGTAGGGGGATCGAGAGAGTCCAATGAGTGAACAGACGAACCTCCGGAAATATGTACCGTAATGAAGTTCCATAAAACAGGTATAGGATAGCATTAGTCCTGAGCGATATAAAGTCGCAGCTGCGATTGCTGATGCACTTGTTCAAGTTCAAGTTCAAATCCACGAGCTCTCCAGCCCAGCCTTGCTCACGCGCCGCATGGGCTGCAGCGTGGCCTCGTCGACAGGCGCCCGGCGCAGATGGCGATACCTCCCCGAGGAGTCCTTGACCTCCACCTCTTGCCCGACGTCTCGCCCGGCGTCGGTAGAAGCGTCCACGACAGATTCCATCGAAAACATGGGCGGCAGACTCTCCCGAGCGTGGTGCATGCCTGGGCGCGCCGCCGTCCGCGAGTACGCGTACCCGCCACCTCCACTTGACTCTGCTTGGTGTGCGCTCCCTGCGTCCGCACCATTGGAGGCGCTAGGTGGTCCCTGGGCGACGCCGTGCGACTTGCTGCCTAGCTCCTGCTCCTCAAATGTCATGAGCTCAGACACAAATCCGATATTAGGCGAGATGCCCCTGCGGCGTTCCGTGACATAGGCATACGCGCGAGATAACGTCCAATGGTTGGCATGTATCAAGTACGCGATGACCGCCGTGACCGACCGAGATTTACCCGCCTTGCAGTGTACGTAGGTGGGCGCCTTGTATAGACTGGCTTCGTCTTGTGTTCACATCAGCTTGTGAGCCCCATTGAAAGCGCATATATTCAAGTAAACAAGCTTACCTAGAATCTCGCATGCCTTCTTCAAGCCCTGCGTAATCTTATCCTCCTCCACCGTGTCGCGCATCGCGATCCGGTCATACCGCTGAAAGTTCTCCTTCAGCTTCAAACCCTGATCGTCATCGCACTCGGCCGCCATATTTAATATCCGCTTCACACCCAACGCCTTGAGCTCTTCCACGTGTTCCTCCGACGTCATCTCCGGTCCGAGGTACAAGAAATTCGGCAGAATCGTCGACACTATGAACACAGGTATCTCATCCTCTGTCGAGAGCGGCCGCTCAGTATCCGGGCGTGCCGTGCTAGGTGACGGTGTCCGTGCAAGTGGCGTACTCGGCGTCCTCGGGGAGTTTGACCGGCTGCGGTCAAAGAACGAAGGTGGCTGCAGCTCCGTCGGTGTGTTTCTGAAATTCGGCGACGCTGGCGAGTGGTTCGAGTGTATGAGTGTGAGATGCGATGGTGAGTGCTGGGGAGACAGGAAGAGCGGGGGCGGCCCATTGCTCACTGGCGTGGCGAGCACGGGTAGTGTCGTCGAGCGGGTTGGAACGGTGTTGATCTGCAGCTTTGGCAGACTGACCCCGAGTTTCTCCGATGGTTTAGCGTTTATTCGCAGATTGGGCGCACTCGGCCTGCGAGGGGGCGGAGGGCGAATGAATGTTGTCTGAGTGGGAGCAGGGGATGAGACTTGGTAAGGCTCGTCCAAGTAAGAAGGTCGAAAGGACGGCATGGGATGTGCAGGAGAGGGCTCCTCTTGTTCAATCTGAAAGTTGGACTGTATGGGCGTCTTGGTATTGATCTGAAAGACACCCTTGAGCTTGGCAGATTGTGGAGGAGCGTCCCTCTGAGGAGCTGCAAACGCATATTCAGCTTGCTCATCGAATGCAACAAGGGTTTTAGACTTCTCGTCTTTGAGGGCAGCTGGCATTCCTCCACGCAGATAGGATGCTCGCTGAGGACCTAGCAAAGAAGAGATGACGGAAAGAAGGGCCCAGGCAGTCACCTGCATGTTGTCTTTTTCTGAATCATCTGTCTCCTCGCCATGAACGATGACAATGGAGCCATCCCATCTATCCGGTTTTTGGATGTAGCTGTCCCATATCTCCTTGCCTTGTTCGGATGTGACGAACTGGCGCAGGCCGTCTATGGACTGGAAACCGCCACCGGGTTTGCGACATCTCTTGAGGATGAGTGATGGTATGGCGATATTGACGCTAGACTGCAAATGGCAGGACTGGAATGCAGCGGCAGGGCGGGTGTCGATGAGGAGGGGATGGGGGTGGGAAGATAGACGCTGGTGTAATTCTGGAGGATCCAGGTACGGCTTTGCTCGGATCACGTCGTCGAAATCAAAGTTGCCGTTGAGGGGGAAATGGCCATTAAGTGGAAAGCCTGGGGAGCGGACGTCGCTAGGGGTATAGTACACACTCGAGGTGGCGCTGGATGGGCTGGGGGGATCCTGGCGTGTCTTTTCGCGCCAAGCCCCGGGCATTGCGTGCTCGATCGCGGCCCAGGTCGAGGGTCCTGGCCTGGGTGTCTTTGGAATTGCACCAAAGGAGCGTATGGGGCGCAGACGCAGGTTGGTCTTTACGCTCTTGCGGAGGTTTTCAAGCTCTGCCAGGTCCTTTGAGATGTCGTCTGTTTCGAGCGGGAATGGGTGGAGACTGGCGGACGAGAGACCACTGGGACTGGACACGCTGGAGGTGCCCGATGAAGGAGGGGAGTCCTCGTCGTCGCTGGAGAGGTCGAGGGGGGATTCGGGTGCATCTTGCTTGGCCGGGAGGGAGAGATTGGGTATAGGGGGTCGGATGCGTTTGGCTGGCATCGTGTACAGTAGAGGAAAGGAAGAAGAGTAAAATGTGTGGACATTGCAATTGGCCCATTTGATGGGGTAGGGCGTCTCACTTGTCGGCATGCGCAGATCTCACCTTCCTGTAAAGGAACCTTCAATCCTCCTCGGCTTTGCCCTCGATACCTATATTATCTTTTATTGGAGTAAACTCTATTACTTTTCAACCTCCGCAGCATTCCTCCATTCCTATTCCTGCATTGGTCCCAGAGGCACGCGCCTCATTACTCCTTGCCGTCTCCCAACCATGTCCTACAAATCCTCTGCCTACCGCAACCACAACGCCCCAGACCACCAGGAAAACAACTTCCGCAAGCAAGCACAGCAGCTTCAAGAAGCTTTTCCAACCTGGTCCAATGAAGGTGATCAATCCATCGCTTTTTGCACTTAATCCAACACGTCTCACTTTTTGTCCCATCGACAAAGACCTTTCCTCACTCCTCGCAGAAGTCGGTGGCGATTTGTCCCTTGCTGCAGACCGCATCACAGAAGGTATCCAAATTTAACTTTTTTACGCCTCAGATGTGTTCAACTCGTACAAGGTCACGCTGAACAGTGGGGTGCTGTAACCCGTAAGAAAGACAAGAAGCTTGTTCCTTCCCAGTCCCATGCCAGGGACTCCAGCATCAGCAGAGATCGTAGTGACTCTCGTGGAGGTCGCGGCTCGCGCGGTGGCAGAGGTGGTGGTCCTGGCCGTGGTGGAGCCACCACGCGCGGCAGAGGTGGCAGAGGTGGCCTTGCCAACGGTCATACTCCCCGTTCCCAGTCCATCACCAAGGATGGTACTTCAGTCGAAGTAGCCGCTCCCGAAGGAATTGTCTCCACCCCTGCAGACCAGTCTGCTACCGCAGAGACTCAGCCGGAAGACAAGGATGCTTCCGTCCAACCCTCTGCTTGGGGCTCAGGTCCTCCTCAAGTCAACGGTACCAGCAGCTCGACCCCCTCTACCTGGAGCAAGATTGCTGCTGGTCCCGCTAAAGAGTCTCCGGCTCCTTTGGCTCCTGCGCCTTCTGCTCCTACTCCAGCTGCACAGGCTCCAGTTACGAAGGCTCCAGTTGCAAAGGCTCCAGCTCCACCCGCGACCAAAGCTCCTGCCAAGGCGCCAGGCCCCATGAAGTTATCTTGGGCTCAAATTGCAAAGTGAGTTATATGCGCCTCTTTTGCATCCGTCCATGTCCTAAAATCTACTCTTTTATCAAAGGCCACAAGAGAAGCCTGCACCTCCTCCCGCGCCTCCTGCAATTCCACCCCCTGCCCCGGCTGCAGCGCCCGCCCCAGAGCCAAAGGCTGAGCCTGAACCCCCTGCCCCGCCTGCTCCCGAAGTCATACCAGCCACTGACGGATGGGAGGAACCGACCACTGTCCAAGCACCGACTTGGGATGATGAACAGCCGCAAGCTAAACCGACTGCTCAGGATCCAAAGGGCACCTCCGCTGAGCCTACACAAGATTTGCCAGAATCACCGGTCGCTGCGATAAAGGAGGAATTACCCGCAGAGCCTGTCCCTGCTCCCGAGCCTGCTGCCCCAGCGATGGCGGATGAGCCAGTCGCTGTTGCCATCACGCCTCGCTCGCCTGCTGTCGCTCCTGCACGTCCCGCGGTCTCCTCGCACCGCAGCGCAGGCAGGTTTAAGACGACTGATCAAGCAGTTGTCATGCCTAACTCGAACTTCGCTCCTGGGCTCGACAAGGTAGGCATGCAGTTCGGCAGTCTCAGCCTCGGCGGCGATGCCATTGAGCCTATCCAGTACGTGAATCCTCTTGATTTGGGGTTTCGTTCATTGATGTTTTACGCGATCTAGAAATGAACCCACTCCCGCGGACCTCGCCCCATCAAAGCCTCAGCAGTCTCCTCAGCAGTCCATGCAGGCGGTAGCTCCCTCTCAGCCTTCTCAGGCCCCGCCCCAACCCACAGAACATACGTTGCCCTCCACCTCCCCATCTCAGTCATCCCTTGCACCCTCTTCCACCAATCAGTACTCATCATCCGTGTCCTCCCCGCTCTCCACTGTGCCCCAGCCCCCGTCTTCTACCCAACCATCTCAATCATCCCTCTCCTCCACCATCTCCCACACCCCTATCCTCTCGTCAAGTCAATCTACCCTCTCATCCGCATCTCTCTCCTCCTTCTCGCAGCAACAACCCCAGTCCTCGGTACAAAGTTCGACCAACTCTCTTTCTAACCATCAACAACCCCAGGCTCCCCTCAACCAACACTTGCACTCCCAGCATCACTACAACCACCACGGTCTCTCCACCCACCTTGAGACTTCCCAGAGCCCCGCCCAACCTTCTCCCTCCCACCCCACTCAAACTTCACAACAGCCTCCGTCTGCCGCAAGCTACTCCCACTTCAGGCAGCCTGAGGCCCCCTACTTCCACACTCACACTCCCCCCGCTGGTCAAGGCCAGGATTATGGTGCCTTCGGAGTACAGCTGGGACAACACCAAGGTCAGGCCTCGCACCTGTCTGGGTTCAGCAATGATTATGGGTATGCGGACAACCAAAGGGTAAGATTGTTTAATGACGCTCGAGAATCTATTATTAATTACGGCATCCCCAGGGTCTTTACGACTCTTATTCCCAGTCGCCTGGTTTTGGTAACAACCGCACCCTCCTTGGTCATGACGATGTGAAGGGCCTGCCTGGTTCGCAGCAGCTGCCCGGCAACAACGTACTTTCGCAGTCCAACTCGCAGTCGTCTCAACTCCCCCCTTCTCAGGGCGGTGCCCAGCCACACGCTTCTGGTGGCCAGGCACCTCCTCAAGGCTACCCTCAGGCTGTTCCTTACTACTACCCCTACCCTCAAAACCAGTACTACGGTTCTCCGTACAACTCTGGCTACGGTGTGCCCCAGCCGTACGTCAAGTACCCAGCTATGTTCCCGCCCGGGCCACCTGCTCAGGGCGGCGCGCCTTCTCCTGCTGGCAACAAAGGCCCTTCGTCCGTCCAGGCCCAGAGCGATCCTTACGGACGCGGTCTCTATGGCCAGCAGCAGCACCCCTCCTCCGCATATGATGACCTGTACTCCCAGCAGCACGCCCACAGCCCAAGCATCAACAACATCCCCTCCAACGACTACAAGCACCAACAGCTGTACGGTGGCCAGGGTGGCCTTCAGAACTTCATGGGCCTAGGCGGGGGCAACAGCAACCCGTCAGCTCCTCCTCTCACTGGGCGCGCAGGCGGCACCTCCCCCGAGGCGGCGTACAAGCCATACTCGCAGAACATCGGCGGCAAGGACTCGGGCGTCGGGCAAGGTGGCGTCGGTCAGCCCGGCCAGCAGACGCGCGGCGGCGTGCAGCAGCAGAGCGGCTTCTACGGCAACCGCTTTGGCGCAGGCAACGCTGCCGGCGGTCCGCAGGGCCAGCAGTCGCAGCACAGCCAGCCGCCCAACCAGGCGGGGCCGCAGTCGCACGGCGGCTACCCTCAGGGCAACTCGGACGGTAACTTTTACTCGTACCAGCCCAGGCAGCAGGGCTACTGGCAGTAATCATCCACTCGTATTAATCTCCACGCTGTGACACGATAATCTCCCTCTCCCCCTTCACTTTTTTTTAACCTCGTCTTTCCTTTTTTTCCCCCTCTTCCTTCTTCCTTTCTTATTTCTCTCTTCAAGCAAGCCACCTGTGCTCTAGTTCAGTCGCCTCTCAACCACTGCCCTCTGACCGATTGCATTTCGTCCTCACTCTGTTCATTAACCTACCATACTCCACGACGCAGCAGTACGCATCGCATTGTACGTTTCCAGTGATTGCACGATCCACCCAAAAACACCCCCTTCTTGCTTCTGCTTGTAGTATAATCGCCCGCGAATGCATCATAATCGTTCGTTGACGACCTCAGAACGCGTGAGATTGAGTCGGTCTGATGGGGTAGGAATGAACGGTTTGTGGGTTTTAATTTCACACTGTCTGAATTGGTTAGGAAGTCTGGAGGCGAGAAAGCGTTTCAAGCCCTCATGGCAAGGAGACGCTTGCAAAGCCTACCCGTCAGACACAACAAGCGCGAGATCAAGTCGAATCTGATACGCAAGAAAACAGAGGTATCACGAGATAATACAATGAGAACTATCGCTGCAGCATAGGAGTAAGAGCCTGTCATAAAGTCGGGAACATAGGACAAGAGCATAAACAAGCGCTACGTGAACTGTCATTATCTAAAGGGCGCGTGCTCACAGAGCTGAGATAGAAGATAGAAGGAGAACCAAGACTATCCGTCCTAATCGTTCGAGGGATCATCACGTCGCGAGCGGGGCCCGCAATAAAATGAACGATAAATAGCGCGAAAGCACAGAAATTAACAGAGCATGGCGAAGTCGATCAAGCTGGTCATGTCATAAAAGTCGTTTTGGCGGAGGAACGAACACGAGTACTAAGAAAAGAGGTGACGCGAAACGACCAGGGTACACAGAGACGTGCATCTAGCTGTCGCCAGCCTCGGAGATGGACGACGCCAGCGGCTCTATGCTTCGCTGGATGTTGCGCGGGTCCGCCTGCGCAAAGACGGGTGCCTTGTAGATCGCCTCGACGAACGCGAACGCGACGCCCAGCGCAGCGTTGAGCACGCGCCACTGGCGGCCGATAACGTCGGCACCGATGATGCCGCTGGAGGTGAGGTCATATGGGTACACGTACTGCGCGGCAAGGCGCACGATCGCAGCGGTGAGCGGATCGAACGGGAGAACGGGTGTGGCGGACGATCGCCGATCTACCGTGTTGTTGGGGTTGAACGAGACGAGTGTGCCAAAGAGGATCGGCAGGAAGAGGCTGGGAATCGCCCAGTGCAGCAGGACAGACCAGAACGCGCCGGTTGTAAAGGTCGACGGCGGAGGATACGCAATCGTCCAGTTCTTATCATACAACAGTGGTGTAGCTGTCATGGGGATCTACATGTATATGATGAGAAATTTGTGCAATTTACAGATCTGAAAAACGCATACCTCAATGTACCTCCATGGAACGACCTCACGGATAATGTAGGCAGCTTCAAGTACAGCCGTTAGGGACCAAATGTTGAACGAATTGGAAAGGAACTGGAGGAAACTATCAACCTGCGTTTCCAGCAGACATAAGAGCTGGGCTTACTGCGCGAGTGGAAAGCACAAGGTCACTGCCCGAAAGCCTGATCTGTTCATGCTGTCTGCGGACAGCTACGCTCAGGTCCTCCATGTTAGGGTTCGATATGAGTTCACGTATAACACGTGGGGAAAATGGTGATCCAGCCTGTGCAGGAACCGCCGAAGAAGGAGCTGACGAAGGAGCGGAGACGACCTCTGCCTCCTGAGCTGCAACAGCGACGTACTCAGGTGGAGGTATACGCGCGGGCGTCTCGGGTGCCAGAGGTGACAAAGGGCTCTTAAGCATCATGGACACGTCTGCCATCTCAGGAAGAGAGGGCTGTTCGCGTATGGTGGAGAGCATATCAGAGCGACGGGAGCTGCGGGTTTTGGGGCTGGGAGTAGCCTTGATCTTGACCTCCTCCACAACTTCTGTTGTCATCTCGGTAGTCGGAACGAACCGACCGGGGGCGGGTTGACTTGCGGGGAAATGTACAGTCAGGGGCCAATACATATATGACGACATGGAAACAAGAAAAACATACATGGTGGTGGATGACGGCGGCTGAACGCTGCGCCTCCGTTTGCCAAAGAGACCGGTGAACGTAGGGTCTTCCTCCAACGAAGACTGGTTGTCCTCGAGGTGCTTCTTGATCCTGCCCTGCAAATCCTCCTTGGTGCCAAGATTGCTGATACCGAGTGCATTGGCTATATCGACAAGTTCTGCTTTCTTCTTTGGCTGCAAGGCCCCTGCATATTGAATGGGTGCCATTTGTTGAATGCCGTATGTCGAATTGACGTTGTAGAGTCGGCGTGCTTATGTACGGGGTTAGTAGATCAGAGTAGGAGGCAAACCGCGAGTCGCGTCTCGCACACATTGACAAACATTCAACAGAGCGCGTAAACAAAACCACGCGAGACAATCACGTGCATTAGCCCCTATCTCTCCATCCTCCAACCTGCTTCCGTGCGGATCCCAGCGCGACTTGTGGGCGCTACACCTCAATGCATACGGGGTACTCGCATTGCTGCTCCTGGGCCTGAGTAGCAGTTGATGGCATTGGGAGCATCATGTTCTCCCACAATTACCACTCATCCCATCACCGCATCAAGATACAAAGCGGTGAGCTACACACTGCCAGCCGACCGCACCAAGCAATCAGACCAGCCGACGAATACTGGCTAAGCTGGATGTCCCCGTCTTGAATCTGCTCGCCTCTTTTATAGCGGCACGATCAATTATGAGGGCTACTTTGGTAAGTACAGGCAAAGACCTCCGCCGGCTTCGGGATGGCAACCTCGGCAACGCCCCCCCAAAATAGCAAGAGCGATAATAGGTCCCCCTGACTACTTTGTCGTTGCCACCAGCCCGTTCCCATTCCCTTCAGCATTGCCCTCCATGAGATTCCCGGGCTGCATTGCTTATATTTGTAGTATGCTCCTTGTTCCCACCAGCAGCCATCCTTCTTCCCTTCCTTCGCCCTCTGTCGTCCTCTGGTAGGCCGTACCATTCAAGCCATGCGTTCTTTCATCTGCTTCGTTCTTGCTCTTATGCTTGCTGGTCAAGGTGAGACAGAGCCTATTCTTCAGCATCAATCATGCTTAATCTCAATAGCCCTTGCTCAGCTATCCATTGACATTGGTGGCTCATTCGGAAACATAACCGCTGACCAGTTCCTGACCAACATCGCCAATGCGCCCTTCACTGATGTGCGTCTCTTCCCTCCTTGGGTCTACAATGCCTGTATGCAATACCACCACTGACTCCCTTATAGTGCGAGCCATCCTGTAATAACGCTACAAGCATGATTGGCGTCAGTCTTTCCAACTCTTTGCAATAACCCTCTGTTTGACCATCTTACATAGAACTGTGCGGACAATAATGTTTGTCTTTGCGGCTATGGGACAGTTTCAGCCATCCAGGGCTGCCAGCAGTGTCTCTTTGATGTCGAGATTACCAACTTCATCGAAAGTCCCGACGCTCGTGTTGGCACCCCTGCCCTCACAGGTACGGACGAACACATAATAGTTGCACCAGCGTTAACCTGAAGAAACAGCGTACGGAGCGGCATGCTCTACAGTAAACCAGACGATCCCTACGTCCTACTTGACCGTCGCTCTCCCATCAAACTGGGATGGCCCTGTCGGCGTCCACCTCAACATAGCTGGCACTGCCATCGCCGTCGGCGTCGGTGCCATGCTGGGTGGCTCTGCCCTCTTTATGTACGGACACATCTGAGCTATATTGGACGTCGTGGAAAGGCTTGTTAGATACGCGCCTTGTTACACCTACCATAGAGACTACCTCATGGGATGTCGTAGTCTAGTCGACATGGTGATCGAATTGGAACAACGAACTTGGATTGCAATAGCCGGTTGAACCGGACCGACAATGTCGTTCCGGTTGTGACGCGTCTGAGTGTGGTTTGACAAATTTGCTCCTTTTTCGCCTCCGCCCCGACGCGTCTCCCAATTGTAGCCTGTGATTTCAGTCTCAAAGCTGGCTCCTGCACGCTGCACGGCAGTGCGCCAGACGCTCATCGCGGCTCGTTCGAGACCAAAATCCACTCGTTCCCAACTATTGCTTTCGCCATGTCTACCTGGTAAAACCAAGAAGCTAAACACCCCTTATCGTCGGCAGGCGTCCACGTTCATAGGAATACGCACTTACTTCACCCAGCTCGCTCGTAACAAGCCACCCGGTACAGCATCCCCGCTCCATTCTTCTTCCCGTTTCTACTCCACGCCTGCTACTTCAACTACGGTTCCTCTATCGCGAGACCCTTCGCTCGAGCCATCGTACACACCACCAAGGTGGGATTGGAGGCAGAGGGCGACATCAAGAATAACGAAGAAGCTCCCTGATCCTCCAGCTGGTGTCCCTCGGAATCACATAAAGCGCGTTCCCCCACCCCTACACAACGTCCAGCCATACCAGCCTTACTTCACGGAAATCCAGGCCTATGCCTCAAGGTACACTCATCATTCACGTTCAGCCTAGCCAAATGCTGACCTGCGCACTCTAGGTTCTGCCCACTTCTTGATGCTGAACAATATGAAGCTGAAGCCGTCCTGAGAGAACGACTCGCAAGTTGGTCGGTGGCGAAACTTGCTCAGGAGGGGTACTGTCTCACAGACTTATCGGCGTACTGGCTCGAGAAGCTCTTCTTTGGCAAGCCCGTCCTGTCGTTTCATAAAGGTCCAGGGATTGATCTCCCAGAGCATCGTTTTGAGTGAGCTTTCTGTACTCCTTGTCATTGCAGCAAATTCTCACAAAGCTTTCGTCTTCAAGAAAGGGAACTCAGGTTCTCTTGTCAAAGTATGATCCACTCAAGGAAGAACCGCGACGGGGACGAGTCGTCGACTCCACCATGACCCAACTTCGAGTATCGTTCGAGGACAAATTTGAAGTGACCAACGATGAACTCTGGAGGTGGGTCTCCTTTTTCTAGCTCGTAGTGTCTTTTTACACGACAAACGCCAGGCTTGACGTCGGTCAGTCCAGCATTGTGTTCGATCGCATGCGCACAGCAATCTCGCATTTCCACCGCGACCCCTCCGTCCAAGTTGCCGAGTCCTCCCAGATGCCCGACCGCGAGTTCATCCTCCAAGGCACGTGCCTTCGCGACATCCTCCTCCGGACATTCTCCCCAGAAGAGGCATCACCTCACGACCCATTGCAATCCCCCGACGACACCAACTATGTGGATCACGATACCCTCGAGCACGACAGCCGTGAGACGCAAGATCATGGTGGTGTTTGGCGCGACGACATGCGTATAATGAGCTGGGCGAAACGATACTCCAAGAAGAACCCCATCGTTATGCCTGGTGATCCTGTTTTTGATGGCCTCAATGCAACGCAGATTCGCGCTATCGCGATGATGGTAGGAGAGAAAATTAGCCTCGTACAGGGCGTAAGTAGCGTTTCAACGCCGAAGTCTGTTTTTCACTAACTTCGTGTCCAGCCCCCTGGCACCGGAAAGACCAAGACCATCATTGAAGCGGTCAAGCTGCTCAAGGTTGGTCAACATCTACACTCCCATTTTAATGTCCTGAACGGTTTCCCAGGTTGAGTTTGAGGTACCTCAACCGATACTGGTAGCAACATATACCAACGTTGCTGTCGACAACCTCGTCGAAGGACTCCTTAAAGCTGGCCTCAAGCCCTTGCGCGTCGGATTCGGCGGCAAAGTGAATGCTTCGTTACATGATTGCACGCTGGATGCGAAGATGGAGAAACATCGACACAAACCCGTAGTCGACAAATTGCTCGCGGAACAAGAACGCATCAACCAGCATATTGCAGAGCTGAACAAGCGGTTACGTGAGCGGCAGCGTGATCCGAAAATCCGAGACAATGCCAGAAACCAGGCGATCATTGAGAACCTGCGAAACGCGCTGGTTGTGAGCGAGAGGCGACTAGGCATAGTCAGGGGCAAGTTGCACGTACTTCACAATGATATGCTTCGAGACATCACTGCTCAAGCCGACGTCGTGCGTCTTTTCGTGGCTGTTCTACTAGCAACCCACAGTGCTAATCCTTATTAGATATGCACCACTTGTATCTCGTCCGTCAACTCGGCGCTGAGCGTGATCGACTTCCCCGTTGTGTTCCTGGATGAGGCGTCAATGTCAACGGAGCCGGCGTCGTTAATACCACTGATGCGTGGAGTAAGGACTCACATCTTCTTTCATCCTCAGTATTCACTTTCTGACGGCGTGAAACCCTTAGTCTCAGCACGTCGCTCTCATCGGTGACCACAAGCAACTTCCCCCGGTGATCGTGAGTTACGAGGCTGACTTGAAGGGTCTGGGAATCAGTCTATTCGAAAGGCTGACAGAAGAAGGAGGTTCGTCCTCACATCTTTTTTCATTTTGCTACCCGGACCCGATTTAGGGGTTTTCTGATGATGGTGGAGATAGTCGTCCCTTCTATCATGCTTGATGTACAGTATCGAATGCACCCCGCCCTATCCTACTTCCCTTCTCTTGAGTTCTACAACCTCTCTCTTCAAGACGGAACAGTCGACTCCGGAGGCAATGTCTCGCCTTTGCTTCTGCCTCCACTTTCTGCCCACTTGCCCGTTGATGAATCCACGGGAAACCGGCCTTCAATTGTCTTTATGGACCACGCAGGCTCAGAGACGCTAAAGGATCGTAGCCGAGTCAATTATGACGAGGCAAACATCGTCTGCAGCATCATCGAAGACCTGCTGCTCCGCAACGAAGTAAGCTAGACCTACGTAAAAAGTTTCCCATGTGACCTTGCATACTCACAATGCCTTTTCCGCAGCACATGCGCGGCGACGACATTGGCATCATCGCTCCTTACGCCGCCCAGATTTCGCTGCTGACACGCCTCTTAAACACCGACGCCAAGTATGCACGACGGTTTGCGGCGACCCTCGGCGACCGCCGCGTTCGTGAACTCTCTAAAGTCGAGGTGAGGACCGTCGACGGGTTCGAGGGTCGACAGAAGGACGTCATCATCTTCTCGACGGTGCGCAATAACCCCGCAGGACACGTCGGCTTCCTGGCCGACAGGCGACGGCTCAACGTCGGCCTGACACGCGCAAAGCGGGGTCTCTTCGTTGTCGGCAGCATCAGCACGCTAAAACAGAGCAAATCGTTTACGCGCGGTATGGCCGCCAACCCTGGCGGTCAGACGAGCAAGGGCGTCGAATCCTGGAGGAGATATGCGGCGTACCTCGTCGGTCAGCAGAGAGTTTTACATCTCACCGGAACAAACTTGCACAGAGTTCTGTACGGAAGCGCGGGGAGGAGGGAGGTGTACTAAACGCTTCTTCCCAGAACACAGCCTTTTGGCCACGCCGGCGGCTTTGCTTCAATACTTGGCTCACAGTCATTTCTGATCTCAACGTTCTCCCCTCACACGTTTAACTTTCTCCTGCGGAAACTACTTGGCTACTTGACGATAATAATTGGGTTACTTATCAATGCGTTATTTCTGCGGACTTAGCATACGAGCACACAATCTAGCCTAGGGTAGATTTTAATTAAAGTTTGAGCTTGGCCCGTATACCATATTGCTTTCTTCTAAATGCGCTTAAAGAGTATGTAAACAAACGTTATGTTGTGATTACCTTGCCAACAGCTCTCAGCGGTCGTTGTTGAGACCGTTCAACACGTCGCGCCCGTCATGTCATGGCTGTGCCAAGTCATACGCATACTTCGGACCGAACTCTGCAAGATCGACAATTAGCATGTTTTTCCATCTGGACAGATCTGAGATCTTACGTGGTTTTTCTTTGACACGGCACGGCACACCGCTGGCATGTGTCCTGGTCTGCCAATGCACACGAGCGGTAAGAAAGGTGGACGCATAGCCGGTGAAGCACTTTTTTCCATAACGTTGCTGCAGTTTTTGACTTTGATAGACGCGTCGATGATTGATCTTCGGCTGTGCCACCGCTAGCGAGAGGTTGGGGAATCAAGGAACGGGATATGTTCTCCCGGGTAGGTTTTGACTGTGCTCCGGTAGGCTCCGGTTCATCTGTGTCAATGTCCGAGCGTGTCCGAGCTTATGCTTATTTGCTTATATCGTTCGGACCTGCAGAGACGGAGGTTTCAACTCGCCTGACGCACGCGGGGTGGCGTCGCAGCCTCGAGCAGGTTCAAACGTTCATGTCCCGGATGCGGCTACCGTATGGAGAAGGAGACGATCATTCAAGTCCGTCGGTGACAAACAATGACATAACATTTGTTCCTTTTCCGGTGTCATTCTTCTCTGCCGAACGCGAAAATGCGAAAATGCAGTGCCACGAGCAAGGGTCGAGGAGAACGAGGTGTACTTTGGTTCCGTTCAAAGCGGCAGCGTTGCCCCATTTACCCAAACACACAATTTATCGGTATCTCTGACGAAGACCGAGTCGGATATCCCGAGACACTGGCAGGTAAAATATACAACAACTCCACGGCCTCGCGCGCGCACACGCCTGCACAACCAACGTGAATGCGTCCATCGATCACACAATGGCATGATCTCGGAGGTACCCTAGACAGGATCCACGTAAAAGTGGGTGTCGTTCCGGACCGGGTCCGTAAACCAATCGGCATTGCTTTGTACGAGACACCGATGGGCACCTTCAAGGGGCCTGAAGCCAATCGGACATGGCACCTATCGATCATCTACGTACACGGTCTCCAACATCGGATCCACGGCGAGGAGGGTCATTGCGGTGAGATTAAATAACGGGTTGACGAGGGCTAACGTTAGAGAAAAAGCATTTTCGAACAAGCCCGGTGTGATTGGCCAACTGACCGGGCGCGAGTGGACTCGGATCTGATGCATGATGCCTCGCCAGGATCCGGGGGAGTGTTTGATGCACGCTCATTAGCGCGAATAACGGGAGGCAGCGAGGTCAGGTTGGACCCGTTGAACTAGCACTGGCAGGGTAGCGAAGAAGCTCGCGATGGTGCGGCACGGAGGACTCAGAGGATTAGCATGACACCGAGGCAGTTGTTCCTCGGCCTTATACAAGTTAATAGGTCTGCAGCTAAGGGATTGGCAGGGCAGTAAGGTGTGGACCCACTGAGTGCCATAGCAGACAAAGCGGTTGTTGTGTGGACCGAGCCAGGGCACCGGGCTGGGCGGGCGGGAAGCTTTTACGGCAAGAATGACACTGACATGACAAGGCTATGGCACGCCAGAACGAGAAACTGTCCGATCGGGGTGAGATCTATGACGAATCGGATGAATCCGTTGGTACGATTGGGTCGGCAGTCCTAAACAGCGGGAGCTAAATTGGGTCAGATTGGGCGCGGAAGGCCACGGACACTGGGTGGTTTGTTTCTCTCTACGGCCATTTCTGGCTTACCTAGTGCCGCTTTGGAACAAATGGAAAGGTCGGGGGAGGTGTGGGAAGTTGCGAGTCGAAGGTTTTGGGAGATGAACGTGTCCCCAAAGATGGGAGACTTGAGCTTTAGAAGGAAGAGAAGCCAAGGTTGTCCCAATATGGGACTTGTTACGTACCTCGCTCTAAACAAGCGCCCATGAGTGGCCGGAGAGGGGCAGAAAGTGTCCAGCCCTGGGGGCTGCTCATCACCCTTGGACACGCAGCTTGGCGACATATCAACACATTGCCGGTGAGAAACCGTAGCGAGAACACACCGCTCGTTCATCCAGGGCCTGATCGCAACTGACGCCACCACTCATACACATACTTAAGCATGCTCTCCTCGCTCGGCCCTTCGCTCTTACTCCCCCAGACCGCGTCTTCCTTTCCAGCGGCTGATCCTCCCCTACCTGTACCCGGACTCGTCTTCCTGATCCTCCTGCTTCTCTCTGAGCTTCTCGCTCATTACTTGACGATCTTTCCTAGCCGTCCTCTTTCCTACCCCGGACGTCCCACCGCGTGCTTGTCTTCGATCGAGGCGTCTCGGTTCACCCATCGCTGCTTCTCCGGCTTCTACTGCGCTTCACCGTACGTCCACTTTCTGTATGTCCCGTTCGTCCGCGGCCTCACCTATATCCTTCAAATACCAGTGCAGCCTCACTCCTACCTCCCCATCCTCCCCCGCCTCTAATCTCAGCCACCTCTCTCGACATGTCGCTCCATAGCCACGTCCTGCTCCGCAAGTCCTCTGGCGCGCTCGGCTCCTCCTCTGACTTGCACTCTCGCGACACCCAGACGCGTCCCATATCGCGTCTTGCTCTGGAACATCCATTTGGCCGGTTTGCCACCAGTAGCGAAGACGAATACGCTCTCAACGTACCAGCCTTTGGCTTCAACTCGCCTTCTCCGGTGAGCAGCAATGGATCGGGTTCGCTTCGGCAACCTAGTCCAACGCCGATGTCATACAAGTCCTTCCTCGATACGCGGTCTCGAGTGTTGCGGGTGGGTGTCATAATTTCGCATCGTTCAGGCGACTGTCGTGTGCTAAAACCTGTTTTCAGCTGAGGACGGCAGCGAATGCGTCAACAATGACGGTCCTGGTGATGTTCGAGAAGAACGTGAGTTTCATTCTGACGCTCTATCAGGCGCGGTCTAGTCTCAACGCCAGTGTCTGCATTTGTCTAGCGTGCATCTGTGCGGGCGCCCATTTCGCTATGGACAACGCAGGAGAGAGAAGAGCCGAACGACATGTATGCTGTGTTCTCGAGTCACGATGATGTAAGCAGCGTTCTCATTCTTGGAGTTTCCCGATATGGCATATGAGTTCCCGAGTCGCGGTGCCCACGCTCATGATTGGCGCGTATCATCTGCGCGTGTCAATTCACGTGGCTTAGCCGTTGTCGGGTTGTCGCGGGAGCTGCCCGAGCCTGTGTCAGGCACGAGCCCATCTGTCTCCCGCTCAGACTCACCTGCTCGTGCTCGTGGCCAATTGCATTTTTATCCGAAGCCCTCGAGCCTATCCAGCCGATGTCCGACTCACATTCTAAAACTTATTTAACTGCTGTGCTAACCCGTCCGCCCATTTTTGCAACAGGCCACCGCCGCTTTCGCTCTCTCCAATCCCTCCATCATCCTCTTGCCTGCTCTCGAGAGCGATCTCGAACCTATTAGCTCCCTCAGGCAGGTTGACCTTGCCGCCAAGGTACATTTTTGAACATGGCTCGCGTGCCTGCTCTTACTCACATATACCCCCCCGATCTGTAGTTCAACAGCTCGTTAAGAAATCACACTCCTCATTTCGGTGGCCTTCGCATGTCTACGTCTACTCCAGACCTCCATAGATTAGCCCAGGCTTCTAGCTTTTCTCGCGTCATCAGTCCCGGTTTCCTCAACAACGTCGCCAATGACGAATTCGTGATATCTTCCAACCCTCCCAACCCAAAGACCACCTTTCGGCATGGTGACTGGATGTGAGTTCCATTCCACCGCGCGTCCCGCGCTCTGCCGAGTTCCGCCTGCCCCGTTTTCTTTCAAAATCAATTTCAATTCGTCTACCTTGATTGTGTGCCGTCTTCCGCCGTTCTTAGGGGCTGGGCGCTCGTTGCGACACTTTACCATTCCCTCTTCCATGTTCTAATCTGCCGGTTGCTGACTGCTGTCGCTTTTACAGATGTAACTCCCCCAGCTGTGCTGCCCACAACTTTGGGTGAGTACTAATTTCCCGTTCGATAGGGGTTGTGATAGCGCTCGACGAATCATATGACCATTCTGGAAAACCTCGATCGTCATATGCGTTCTCGGAATTTCAAAGTCCCGAGACGGCTCTGATAGAGCAGAATCTCTGGATTTCTTCGTGCCGTTTCTTTTCTTCGTGCCGTTTTGCTCTTGTTCTCTTGCATCGTCGTTTTCATGTCTTTTGCTCATCCCTCGCCTTGCATGCTTTTTCACAGACGTAATATGGCTTGTCGAGGATGCGGCTGTCCGCGGGCAGATAACCAGACTGCATACACGAAGCCAGGTGCCTGTGGGGTGAGCGCGACGGCTCGAGTACCTGCCTCGCCCCGTTTTGTTGGATCTATGGGCTCGCCTCAGTACCCGCAGTCCGCACTGCCTTCACCTAGCGCCGCCAATTTCCCCGCTTCAGTAACGTCCAATCCCCGCACCTCCCCTGCATCAGTCATCGGAGTTCAGAACACGAAGCCTCACACACCTACCCACCCTCTTTTGACCCCTTCAGGGCGTGACTTTTCGGTCGGAGGCAAGGTTCAGAACATCTCGTCGGACCCCATGTGTCCCTGCGTGATGTACTGGCCTGACAATGAGCCGCTCCCAGAGGCTGGACAGATCCGCCCGAACGCCATGGCCGGCTTCCCTGTGCGTGTATATCGCGTTCTTCTTGGTGCACTTTCTAAATATCTTGTCATTTAGCATCCTCCCATCCTGAACACTGGAAACCGCGGACCCATTGAGCATCAACCTGGTGACTGGATTTGTCTCAAATGCAACTACTTGAACTGGCGCCGGCGCAAAGTTTGCCAAACATGCTACCCTTGTACGTTACCTGCGCGTGTAGCGAGGCTTTTGTCGGACATGTGCTGACCCCGTGCCCCCCAGACGCGGAAGGAAATGGAGATTCCATCTCTGCTGCTGTGCAGGCAGAGCGCATCGCTCTTCTTACCTCGGTCTTGGCTCAAAACCAGCTCCCTCTCACGAACCACGGCATGGCTGCTGCTCATCATCAGAACGCGCGGTCTCATTCCGTCACTCCGCCTCAGCATCACCGCACATTTGCTGACCAACAACGTCCGCATCTTCCTGCGCACCGTTCTCGTTCCCACTTCGACCTTGGTACCCAGTACATCGAGTCGCAACCCATCTATGAAACATCTGGCCCTCGTCAGGCCGACAACTCGTTCCCCAGGCTGAACGACCTACAAAACGCATTACCTAATGACGCTCCTTTGCTCCCTTCGTTCCTTCATGACATTGTACAATCGCCCACGCTGTCGCCCACTTCTACTTCCTCCGCCGACCTCTCGGCAGAAGACTACGATTTCCCTTCGCCGAAAACGTCCGTTCACGGGCGTGACCGCGGAGTCAAGATTCGCCAGTCCACGTCCAACGTGAGCCTCGGCAACATCTGGCGCCTCAATGAGGAAGAAAAGAGCGTACAGCCCGGCATTGCTCTTCCCCACCACGAGGACCTTGTAGGCAACCGGAAGCGCAGCAACGAGCTTCTTCGCCGCCCTGCTGTATCACCTTAATTTATTTGTGCGTATTTTATTACCATCACCCGCATTCACCGGCGCTGACGTTCAGTATCACAGCTATTCTGTCAACTCGCATCACCACACATGTTTTTCTTATCCCGATAGAACACGGGGGACTGCAACAAAGGATATGTTTTTGGAAGATATGGCTAGAACGCTCAAATCTCGGTATTGGTATTGCTTACTACTTACAATCGCCCGCGGCCCTTGCACTTTTTTCGTTCCAAGCGGGGGCCTATTAACTTTTGTGGATCTCATATCTCTATGTCTTCTTTTTTTCCTCTTGTCATCTCAAGATCACCGGTTTTCTCGTCTCTTGGCGGACTTCACACACCTCCTCCTCTCCCCACTGAGCTGCATCTCCTCTCACGAAATCGGAACCCTGCGGCGGGCAATGCTGCCCCAGTCTCACTTAATATGGCGTTGACTCACATTTATTATCTTGGAATCTATCCTACCTTAGGCCTTAGTTATGTATCGAATACTAGGTAGTACTACGTCTCTCCGCAATGCAAAACTGTTTCCGTATCAAGGACTTTATCGCTTTCATCGAGAAAAGTACACGTGCATTACATTGCTGAAGATGAGATGAAATGTCGCTCTAAGCAAAGAAAGAAACCAACGATAATCTACAACTTCAATCGAGTATGATAATATCCTCATCCATCTCCTCGCCCAGCTGCGCACGGTCCCGAGCGACAGGCGCCTTCGACTTCGGTTTTGGCTTTGGCTTTGGCTTCGGCTTCGACTGAGTAACTGCTACCGCGGGCCCACGCACGGACTTGGACACCTTGAACGTTGCGTCGATCGTCGCTGTCACCCTCGCCCCACCGGCACTGACACCGATGCCACTCGTTGCGCCACCACTAATACTACTGCCTGCTTTAAGCCTTCCCAAGGCCCTGGCGCGCGCAATATCAAGAGGGTTCGCGCTCCCGGCGCGCGCAGGCTTCGGCTCCGGTGGAGGCACCACCGACGCAGCCTTGAATCCAAGCTGAGCAGGCGCTCGCGCCGGCCGAGGCGTCTCGTCCTCGTCCTCGTCGGAAGAAATCTCAATGACATCCTCCGCGGCAGACCGCACCGCACCACTCGTGCGCCTCGGTGTCACGTTCTGATCCTTCAAGTGAGCAGACTTGGCCGGCGAAGCGCCAGGGCTGTCCATCTCCTGATCGGACGAAAGCAGCGCGACCCTCGACGACCCTGCCTTCGACCGCGCCTGCTCGCGCACAACAGCCTTGGCTGGCGCAACAAACGACGACCCGCCTAGGTGCACATCGTCATCGCCATCCAGGTCGACAATCTCCACCTCCACGACAGAACCAGAGTCGCCTTGCCGCATGAACGTGTGCCTCGGAATCGGTGCCGCGCGCGACATGGGATCGTCGAGCGCTTCGAACGCAGGCGGGAGCGGAAACGGACGCGCCACCCGACGCGCAGACCTTGGCGGCGACGACTGCGTCGTCCCCGCAGGCTCCACCTCGTGCAGCGGCTCAAGCGGGATCGCAGCCCGCTCCAACACTGACTGCGACAAAGGGAACAACGACAACAACGACGTCCGCTCGCACGAAGACGAGGACGACGACGCGCCAAACGACGTCGCCGACGTCGCCGTTCTCGCAGAAGCCAGTGTAGACGTCGACCGCGCCGCAGACGACGACGACGCCCCAGACTCGCCCGAGGACGTCCGCGTGCCAAGCTCTTTGATAACACCTGGCGCTTTAGCGGCGCGTTGCGACTTCGACGGCGGCACTACAGGCGGCTCGCTCGAGCGCGACAGGTCGATCTCCACCCGCGAAGAACGCGCCGACGCAGGCAGCAGCGGCGAAGCTGCAAACGCATTGTCGTCTTCATCAGACGATCCAACGTCAACGTATGCAGCCTTCTTCGGTACCGCCGGTCGCGACCGCGGCCTCCGCAAGAGCACGTCGTCCGACTCCAAGCTGTTGTTACCAGAGCCGGATGACTCCTCCTGCTCCTGCGCAAGAGTATGCGCACGCGCGTGGGACGCGGGTGCCTTCTTCTTCGGGTTTGGTGCGATGCGGCTCGGCCCCGCCCGAGCGGGAGCGGGAGGTGAGGAGCCCGCGCCCAAGCCGGCTGACGACCGCCGCGGCGCCCACGAGGGCGACGGTGACGGCGAGCGCGGACGGCGCATGTGTGCTGGGAGCGGCGGGAGATTCGCAAGCGTAGGCGACGACGGCGGGCTCCCGTCGAGGTCGATGAACTCGAGATCGCTGTCGCCCGCTCTTGCCGTCCCCTTCTTGCGCGCCGCCGCCGTCTTCGGTTTTGCATTCGCTTTGGTCTTCGGCTTCGTCTTTGGCTTTGGCTTGTACACAGGCAACGCGAACTCGTCCGCACCCTCCTCTTCGAGAACATCCATAGGAAACGCCCTCAGCGCGCGCTTGCCAGCGGTCTTCTTGCCCGTCCCGGTGCCCCTGCCCTTCCTCGTACCCGTACTAGCTCCCGACGCCTTGGCAGCCTTGCGCGCCGCCTTCTCCGCCTGCGCCTCCTCAAACGCCCTCACCATGCGCGGCTCGACGCGGCGCACAATACTCGCGGGCAGCCAGAGGCGCAGCGGATCCTGCGGACTCTCGGCCTTCTTCTTCTTCGCGCCGTTCGCGCCGTTGCCCTTCCTCTGCTGCGACGCCGTAGGCAGCCCGCCCTCCTCGTCCTCGTCGAGTTCTCCGCCATCGCTGTCAGCGTCTTCGCCCAGATCGGTAGGGCCTCCCTCGGGGTCGGTGGCACCCCCGAGGTGGCGATAGAAAATCGAGTCCGGCGGGAGATACCTGTTGCAGTCGCCCAGGACACCCGACTCTGCGAGCGACACGAGGAGCGAGGGGTTGATCTGCACGCGGTACTCGGGCATGTAGTCCGTCGAGGCGTGCTTGCGCGACTGGCTGATGCCGAGCACAAGGGTGTCTCTCCCGCTCGCACCCTGCTCTTCGCCGTCGTCGACGTCGGAGCTGGGGTCAATGCGAGCGCCCCCCGCGTTCAGCATCGCGACGCCGCGCGAGCCGAAGTGCCTTCTGATCATGCGCGATGGCGTCCCGGGGCCCATGTCCTCGTCGGCGTCATCACCTACGCGACCTTTGCCTTTGTCCCTGCGCGGCGTCACAGGCACCCTCTCCGCCCGCTCCTCCTCAGCGTCCAAGACCGCCCTGCGCATGATGCGCAGCACCGCACCAGGCCAGACGACCGTTCTAAACCTTCTTATGATCACATCCTTGACGCCCCACTCGAACTTCTGCTCACACAATCTCGCCAGCATCCGCACGTCCGGCTCCCTCGCCCACCTGATCTCGCTCACCGGCGGCGCGCCCGGCCCAGGCTGACGCTCCGTCTCAGACGTGACGGGGCGCACATACGACAGAAGAACATCAACATCCGGGAACGCGTCCGGGATCTGCTTCGCCAGCGCCGGCTTCTTCGTGCCCAGACACCCGCTCGCGTTCGTCCTGAGCTCCTGTCGCAGCTGCTCGCGCCACCCGTCCAGAAACTGCTTGAGCTCCGGCCTCGTCTTTGTCTCCGCTGCCTCGAGCAGCGTGTCGCCGAGCCCCGCGCGGGCGAGCCCTGCGGCGATCTGGGGTCCGCAGCGCGCGAGGCCGTCTGTGTTGTAGTCGCCGCCGGATAAGAGGCCGATGAGGATGAGGCCGCCGCGGGTGAGGCGGATGTCTGGGTGGGTGCGGAGGTCGGCGGCGGAAAACGTAAGGGCGTGTTTGCCGTCGTCTTTGCCCTGTGCATTTTTTGCGGGCGCGACGCGGTTGCCTGAGAGGGTCTGACTTGTGCTACATAAAGTCGATTAGATAAAGATAGCTGGTTGAGAACAGGAGACGGACTTGCGAATGAGGAGTGTTGCACCAAAGAGAAAGGTGTCGCCGTCGTCTGAGAGGACAGCGTCAATGACACCGATTCTGTTGAGATAAGCAAGCTCTGCCTCCGCTTCTCCGGGGGCCTGCCACACCACCGTCAGCCCAGTTTACCTAAGATTGTGAACGACCAACCTTCCTCCACTCAAAGCCAAATGCCTCGATGACAGCCTGCATGTTTCCCTCCAACCAATGCGCACTCCCTCCCACCCTCTTTCCTCTCTTCATCGCAGGCCGCTTGGGCCCATCAAACACAAAAATGGGGAGAAACGGGAGCTCGCACAAACGGGCGCAGCGGAAGAACAGCGTCCGCAGCTCTGGGTTCTCGCCTTCCCGCCCGTACGCTGCATGAAAGAACCAGATGGACGCGTCGATCCCGATCCGGAATCCCCGCAGCCCAGACGCGTTTCGCTCGAACCCATCGACGACAGCCAGGTCAGCCAGCGAGCGCGTCACGGCCGCTGGTCTCAGTATCTGCAGCAAATGTCAGCCGTTGTCCCTTTGCAGTAGACGAGAAGAGCGCACATCCCAGAGTCCCGCGACACCCATCTTGCCCTAGTTCAAACACGCTGGTGTCGTTGGATCGTCGTTTAGGAGCTTTTGATTTTGCACCTCTTGACACGCGACGTCGACGCGCGAATATTGCAACCCATCACGTGCGCGCGTGGCTCCGACTTCCGACTCGAAGACAAGGCGCAGCATCCAACCTCATGACAGCGCTAGCCATCCATCCCACTCGTTCAGCTCTCGATGTCACTCATCGACCACAGTCACACCAACAACACGATAATATACTACCTTCAGGGAAGCTTCTTTAACGATGTTTCTTCCAGATTGACCGTGCCACATTCTGTCTACACCACTTGTTTGGAGTTAGCGCCCGCCTATTATATTGTCAAGAGTTGTCACGGCTCAGGTTGGTCCGGATAGCGTTACCGCGGCTCGGGAGCTGGCTCAAAATCCGGGTGAGAGGGTAGCTTGGCTGAATCTGAACCTGAACCTGGCCCTCTAGGTCCGGGTCAAAGAGGATCGGATCAGGGTCGGGCCAGACTGCTACTCAATTCATCTTTTAATGTTTTTACTAGCGCTGAAGCTCGTCCATTCCCGCGGGACCCCGGCGAACTTGATCTGGTGCCAGGTGGACACACGGTACACCATGTTTACGCCATTTCGACAGTATAAACATGCTGTTGCGACGAAGGAATGGCCGCTTCGACACGCTGGCAACAGCTTTTCCGCATTTGTGTCAGGACGCCCCTTTCCAGTTTTCCGACAATACTTCGGAGAAGGTGAGTGCATTCAACAGGTGATTGTACACCGATGGAATCTTTGGAGAGGGACCAGCACGTTCAACTTGCGGCATCGCTTTCTTCGAGCGCCAAACACGCTTGCCTCCGTTGACAGGTGCCCCCTGTACACTTGATCTATGCATGCGGCAACACCGACGCGCGAATAACTAATGCAACTCATCATGTGCGCGCGTGGATCCAACTTCCGCGTCGAAGACAAGCCGCAGTCATCCATCCCACTCGTTCAGCAAACGTTCAGCGGCAGCTCTCAACGTCGCTCATTGACTACAGCCGCGACAACAACACCAATGATACGAACCAGACTTCTCACTCCCTGAGGAGTTTCTATGACGGGGCGGCTTCTTCCAGATAAAACGTGTCGCGTTCTAGGACTTGGATCCGTGAACTATCTGGAATCGCTGATGAAACATGTCTGGCCGTTGGCAGCGCCTTCATCACTCCTGCCGGCCAGCAGCCCGTATAAAAGGAGGAAGACACTCTGTCCTTTGAAGCTCGTTCCTTCGATTTGCTACTATACAACTCCTGCTACAAGCCCCGACACGACGGTTCGCCTTGCGGAGGTATGGGGGAAGCGCTGACGCTCTGTCCAGTGTCCTCGCCCGTAAGCCTCGCACTGTGCATGCTCAATCTAAAGTTGACTTAGCCACCGATCTAATCTGTTCCTGCATCTTTCTGAGCTCTTCTGTATGATCACTCTCGCCGATTTGCTGCCACAAGCTTTCTCACTTGCAACTCCGAGTCTGTCGCGTTCCCTATGCTGCATCTTATCCGATTGGCTACCGACCGGAACACGCCACTTGCCGTGGCATCACCAAGTAGTTTCAGAGACGCGCACCGTGCCACATATCTAACACCACCAACCCTATTGCAGATTGCTTTTCAGAATGTATGGAAAGCCTAGTGTATCTGGCTGTGCAATCACGCTGAACATGTGAGCCCAGCGCGGGAAGTTGGCGCTCTATCTTTGCTATCTGCCTCAGTGTCTTTCACATCTCAGCGTCAATCTTTTGCTCTACATAGCGTCCAGGGCCCCGCTTGATGGTGCTCAGCTCCTACCTTATGGCAGTTGCCAACTTTACACTCTTTCCGTACGTTGCTCAACCGGATGTACTGTATTTGCTGTGACATCTGTGAGTGGGCCGCCGACTCTGCCTCTCTCGAGTGGTCCCGTACCCCTAGGATACTATGAAACGCTTCACAGCTATCACTCGGATATACTCGTCTCAGCTGAGTCCATGCTAAACTCTGGGACATTCCCTCCTTTGACCGATCCCGAAGTCTGGATTAGCGCTGTGATAGATTCATGGCAGACATAAATTGGACTTTAGATTGGAGTGGCGAGAACGCTGCTGCTGCGAGTAGCTCAGGATTTGTCTAGGTGCGATACCTCTTCGGATTGAATACGTTTCAATGCGGCAGATAAGGTCAACAAGTTTTGCTTGCAACGAAGGTTGTCTCTTTTTGCGGGCTTTCCTGTGCTCATCTCACTTCAAAAATGCCGTTACTCACTTTGCAAAACCCGACACTGCTTTTGATTGCAGTACAAATTGGCAGCACAACGAGCGCCAGAAGCAACGACCCGTTTTGCCAGCACTTAGCGCTCGTCCCCCGCCACAGTTACCTGTGTGATAGGCGCCCTTTCATGGCTTCCTAAGCTATCACGGTGTCATGTAAGCCCCGTCTAACTTTATATTGGTGCAGAAGGCGCGGCAACGCAGTGATTCTTCTTGCGAAAATGGCTAAAAATGACAGATCGCACCAGCCACTTCCTGTGCGGCAGAATATATCAATCGTTTGGACGTTACCCATCGGGTGAGATTGGAACAGGGTTGCTTTCGGACTTGGTTTTTAAGGTTACATGCAGGGTCCTCAACGCATCCGAGAGCTATTGTATCCAGAAAGAGTCTCCCAGTACCACACGATACCAGATGATGTTCCTCTTCTCGACGACCGTCTGGTTCTACGCGCATCTTTCCGAGAGCGCTACTCACGCCGAAGATGTTTACAGGATCCTGAGGCACTCAGCCTTCCGATACACATAAATACTGGGCGTTCTCCGTGTACACAAGGATCCATCTCTTCCATGTTCGGACTCCCACAGGGTAGCTGGGGTGCATCCCAGATCGACGCTCGCGCTGCTGGGCTGAAAAGCTGCTTCCGTACAAACATACAAGTGGCTTTCATCGTACTCGGCCACTTGGTACTCCTGACTTTTGGCTGGTCCTTCATTGCCGTCTTGCTCCGCCATGAAAATCATCAAATCCCACTCCCGGACATCGCCGCACAAATCGCAGCCGAGACTCCTCGAGGCGTTACATATCTAGCCAGTCTTGTCGCCACTGTTCTCAGTCTGGTGTCGACCTGGTATGTGCTACCATCCCATAGTATCTGCCTGGCGCAGTGCTATGTTTTTCGAAGGACTAATAACCCTGCTCAGGCTCTTCTCCAAGGCTGTTCTCATCCTGCTAAACACTGCCCTGCTTCGAGCATCAGGTGGGGACACCAAGGGGAACCCCGCCTACATGAAAGACTTTCATTTCCTAGTGACACTGTCAAATACTCGTTATTTTTGGAGCTTGAGCTATCCTAAGTGGATGGTTCTTTCCTTTGTTGTCTTTGTTTTGATCCATACCACGGTGTCTGGGTACGTTGAGAGCAAATATGTCTTCCTAAGAAAAATGAATAATATTTTTCATCAGCTGGACGGCTCTCTTAAACCCAACCTCGATGTTGGCACCTGGATACGTCACTGGAAGCGAACTCGACGTTGCCACTCCTGCATTTGAAGATTTCTTCGCTTCCGCGTCCTATTACCTAGAAGATTCGAGGGACTTGATTTTAGACAGTAAGTGCTCACAAACGCCCATACTGTACGAATGAAATATACGCCATCTTAGTGACCGCTGGGGCTTATAAGGAAATGTTGGGTTTGGCGACGTTGGCGGGTCAGTCTGCTGCGGGGACAGACTTCTATGAAGACTTCCCAAATTTCTTCAACTATAATGGAGCGAGTTATTCCTTCTCTACCGGTAAACCGTCCCAATCGAACTTCAGCCTTTAACCACGCTAAACGCGCGTATTGCTCGATGACAGGCGGAATACTTCCAGCTATTCCGGAATACGTCTTCGGCAACAACCAATTGCATACAAATGTTACAACAAACGGCTGGGGTCTCTATTTCATGGGCGGATATGTTCCTATAGACACCAAGGTGGTCACCAAAATTTGGGGCCAGTCGCACAATTACACAGTCCGTCAACAAGGTCTCACAGCCAATGTTTCTTGCACTCAAATAGCAGAGGGAGCGATTCAAAGCGAAAGCGGCCCTGTGATGCTACCATCTTCCTTGTGGGATGGTGATTCAGGATTCCAGTTCTGGCGATCGCAGGTCCAATGTGCCGAAACAGGTATATTTCACAGTCGTGGCATTTCGTACTGAACGATGACACCTACTGCACATAGGGGGACCTCTCAATCTCACCAATCCGTATGTCACCCAGACTTGGTCCAACAACTCAGACACAGCAGCGTGCATTGCCAGCGGTTTTCTTCCGATTATACCGTGCCCGTTACAGAATATCACGGGTGCCGACAACAACAGCTTTGGTAAGCTCATGCATGTACTAGCTCTTTGCCAAATTACTCTAACCAACGTAGTGATACACATGTCTGGCGAATGCAAGTACAGTTCAATCGGGTCAACTCTTTGCCAGGTGACACCATATGTCACGGAAATAGACGTGCTATACGACAGCGGCGTCATATATGCATGGGATATTATAACTCAGTATCCGCTCGGCGCAACAAATCCTGCTATTATGACTTACTTTGTAGGACTTGTCTACGAATTCGGGCTCTACGCACAGGGATATAGCGGAAACACTGCTGGCGACGCTGTAAACTTCATAACATCCACTTTACCAGAAACTTTTCGGGCTGATATCAACAATATATTGGTGCGCTGCTATTCCATCGATGTAGCCGCCTACGCTGATCCTGGGCCGCGTACATTAGGAAAACTACTGGCGAGGTGTGATTGAGTTTGGAGGAACCGTAAGCTTGCGTCTACGCTGCGAAACCCTCAAAGTGCTACGCTGACTAACTCTGTGACTACGCAGTACCTGCGCTCTGGATTCTCCGCAAACAGCAACCTTACCTCGGACATGAAGTCTTCCATCAACGGCAATATTTATGCCCAAACAGTAGGCTGGTCGAAGGGATGGTCTTATCGAGCTGTCATAGCGCTCATCTTTGCCATGGTCCCCCAAACACTAGTATCACTTCTGACATTTTTCATCCTTTATCAGTCGGGAGGTGATCGCCTCGGGTTTCCACCCGACTTTGACCCTTCAGACGTGTCCGATGCTCTGCTGGCAACTGATGTCAATGGGGTCTGCTCTCAAAGTCGTGACGCCGCGTTCGAAGGGAAAGTTATAAGGCTGAGGACAGAAGATGGGAAGAGGAGAATGTTGACGATCGAGTCATCACAACAAGTGCAGGAAAAATATGACGGGTATGGAACGGATAATGAAGAAGGTCACAGCCTGATGGGGGCATAAATGTGATAAAATATGTCGCACCCGTAAGACATGGGAGGTGCTTGTATTTATGTGTGGGTCTAGTACGCATCGATGACTGAAGGATGAGAGACCGATTCGAGCTCACATGTTCGCCGCGTCACTGGTCAACCACATGGCCGCCCCCGCATGAATATACTGTTGGTCTGAGGCTTCCTGGCAGTAGCTCATCTGAATTGTCTATAATCTCATTGTTTTCTGGAGTCAGTTGTGGCTTTATGAGAGCCCCAGTTAAGATAATGTTGGGATGTTCAAATGAATGCTCATTGGAAGAGGTATCGCGCATATATAGGGGTATTTCTCTCAGTCCTAAAAGTAGTACTTACATCCCGTGCGCGTGGCATTCGCCCCTCGGCATCCGGCTTCCTCATTTCGACAACTAGACGCGTCCTCCCCGGAGCGCCCGAGACGAGCACGCAACCTCCTTGCTGAAAAATTCGACAGCGCCCATCAGACCGCAGTCACGCCTACAACCATCGATAATATGTACAACTCAATCTGTTTGCACCTTAGTCATCCTCGTCAGACTTAACGCAAATTCTACCAAGACAGCATGTGGAGGCATGTGGAGGCATGTGGATGGGGCAAAGATATCGATGCAGCTCCAAGGAAGTTGAAGCTCGGCCGAACCAAACCCGTATCATCATCCGGTCTAAACTAATTTATATAAACGCCCACACAATAACAGCCCATGCATATGCGTTCCGACAACGTCAATAGAGTGCAGCGCGTGATCGTGACAATAGTGATCGTGCACGTGTACTGATACAATATCACCGTATTGTACACCAAAGCAACAAAGGGGGTAGGTAGCCAGCGGGGAATGTAAATGAAGAACAACAACAAGAGTCAATGAACAAGGGACAAGTATGAGCGAACAAAGATAACTGCAAGCTTCTGATTAGACGTACGCACGTGTAAATCTAGCCGATCAAACTCACTCTTCGCTTAAGAGCCCTTGGGAGCTTCCTTGTAGGAGATGGCCTGCTCCTCACCCATGGCGGAGATGATGCTGATCAGGAGATCCTTGCCAGCCTCGAAGTCGGCCTGAATCTGCTCGCCGAGTTCGCTGTCAGGAACACGGACATCGTCCTTGGAGGCGCCGTCCGGGGTCATGAGGTTAAGGAAACCGTCGTCGATGTTGACCTGCAAGGGCAAGAAGCCAAATTTATCAATACCATGTGCCCAGTGTATTTAGGGCCACAAGTTGACGTACGAGCTGGTATTCGTTACGGTTAACGTTGGGAACGTCCATGTTGTGGGTGGAAGGAGAGATATCTTCCTGTTATACACGGGGCACATCATCGATCACATCAGAAGCCGCATCTCATCATATCATCACAACATCGTCGTACCAATTTTTTGCCGGTGAAGATCTACGTTGTGCTGTGAGCACGACAGTGTACCAGGAAGCACAAGGAAGTGTAACTCACGTCGATAGCGACAAGGTGGACCTTGGCGTGACCGTGCTTGCCGGTCTTGGAGGTCGACATGTCGACGATCTTGCAGGGGCGGCCTTTTGTGATAAATTAAGCGTCGTGCTCGATCGAGGGGCAAGTGAAAAGAAAACGCACCCTTGATGACGACGTGACCGTTCTTACGGAGAGCCGAGCATTGCATGGGGAAGGTGTGAGAGGCGCCGGCGTTGGCCTGCACGATAAAGGAGTCGCTTGTTAGCCCTCAATTCCCCGGTCACATGCTGTGGCACAGGCTAGGGGGACAGACGAACCTGCTCAAAGGTCTGGTTGTGCTGCTCGTCGTCAGACATGGTGATGCTGTGGTGGCCGGAGGGGGAAGAAGGAAGGGTAGATGGAAGTAGAAGAAAGAAAAAAAGTCGAGTGTAGGATCAGAAAAGTTGCGATGGGACAGGATCCCGCTCTATCTGCCGCATCGCCAGTTTACACTCCGCTCGGACACTCCCGCAAAACCAGCTGGATGGTTGAGTGTAAGGTCACGGGATAAGATTACTTGCTATTACTTCATAGACTCTTGCTTTCTGACATATAACGATGCATCCATTCGGAGGTACACCCGTATGTCCTCGCTGCGAGAAGGTCGTCTACGCTGCAGAGCAGGCTATGGGCCCAGGCAGAAGGGTGAGTCGTTCAGATTCATCTTCCATCTAATCGTAACGACCTTACGTTCGCTCTGCTCGACAGCTCTACCACAAGGTTCGTCACTCGTCGACGTAACACTCATTCATTCGCTTACGGTTTATCTCTAGCCATGTCTCGCTTGCACATCTTGCAACAAGCGCCTCGACTCGTACACTCTCCTCGAACATGACGAGCAGGTATGCTACTCTTAATGCTGTGTTTGGTACTTACGCTGACTCATCGCGCACTCCAGCCATACTGGTATGCTCTCCTCCATTCTCTAACGCTCACATAATCTAACACACCCTCAGCAAGAACTGCCATGTCCGCCTCTTCGGCACCCGCGATCTCCGCCAGGCCAACTTCCCCTACAAAGCTGACCCGTCACGCCTCACATCGCCCAGCAGCTCGCCCGCTCCCCTCCCCACATCCCCCACATCCCCCAATGCCCCCCTCCGCAGCCGAACATACAGCTCCCCCAACTCGCCCCCACAGCCTCCGCAGCGCGCTATATCTCCGACGCCGTATGCATCGCAGCAACAGCGCCGAGCGTTGTCACCACCTCCGCAGTCGTCCTCTGCACAGCCCATCCTGAAGGCTACGGTGCGATATGGCCGCTCCCCGTCGATTGTGCAGAACTCACTGCCAAGTGTCGCGGACGAGCAAGCCGGCGGCGAGGGCTCCGGCACGGTGTCTCCCCCACGGAGGACAACCTCACCTGTATACGGCGTGCGCGGTGCCATGAGCCCCAAGCGCACAAGCTTCGCGCACCTCAAAGGCGGGACTGGCACGCACATAATCACAAATGGGAATCGCAACGGCAATGGGAACGGGACCGACAGCGGTGCCAACAGCACAAACGGCGACACCCACTCCACCCCGGCCGGCGACGCCGAAGCCGAAGCCGAAGCCGAAGCCGAAGTCGACGTGAGCACCAGCCCCGTAACAAGCAGCATTGACGAGATCGTGCGCTCGCCCGTGCGCTTCTCTGCAACAACCCTCGGACGTGCCTACTCCTCAGGTGCCGGGGTCGGCGCGGGCTTGGGTGTCGGCGCGACAGAGCCCGTACGCGCGCACGTCACGGGAAATATGCCTCTCAGGCAGAACACGATCGGAACGCGGTACGGAGCCGCGCTCGGAGGCGGCGGCGGCGGCACCCCGGGTCATAGTCCCAAATCGTTCTCGATTGGAGGGACGCCGGTATGCCCCCGGTGCGGGAAGAACGTGTACTTTGCTGAGCAGGTTCGTGTGTTTTGAGCCGAGCGCGTTAAAGTTTTCGAGGCTGACCCGATGAACGACAGATGAAAATGGTGGGCAAGACGTGGCACAAGGGCTGCCTGCGCTGTGTGGAGTGCAACACGTTATTGGACTCCAAGAGGCTGAACGACAGGGACGGTGATCCAGTGTGTAACCGGTGCTACGCGAAGGTATGTTTGTTGAGTATGCCAGGAAAAAATTCTGTTGGGCTCACTGGTGGCGATCATTGCAGCTTCATGGTCCTCAGGCTGGTGGGTACTCTCTTGCCGGTAAGGTTGGAGGCTAGGCGGTATATATTCAACAAAGAGAAATGGACGGTGATTTTGGTTGTAGTATTAGTTGTATGGCACACGGCGTAATGTCGGACTAGAGCAGCTGGGACGATACTTATCCGGTATACTATTGTTGTAGCACTTGCTTGCTTTTCTGTAATGTTAATCTCCCCTTGGTCCCGCCAACACTGCCGCTGAGCCTCGAATGCAATATCTTTCGACAAGGATGCTCGAGAGTCAGAGTGACTCAAGTGCTCATACATACGCTTTCATTGTCACATCCAAACCTACTATCTTTTGGAGCTTAAAACATATGCAAGACAAGTACTCTAACATTGCAAGTCCCAATACGAGCCAGTGGAGCTAATGAACCAAAAAAAACCCATTCGCTAAGCCCCGAGCGAGTGGTCATAGAGAAGTGAAAAGACATGAAGGACTTTGACGCGCTAAAACGAGGCCATCTAAGGACTGGACTGAACGAGGCAGCTTGGTTACTCCGCGGTGTACTTGTTGATTGAGTGCCTCAAGGTCAAACATGGCCGTTCTAAACAGTTCAATGTACAGCTCATTGCTATCGCTACATATTTTACAAACGTGAAGACGAGGCTTGTCAAAGTCTGGCCCAAGTCTGGCCATCCGAACTTTAAGTAAAAGTCAGAGACAAAAACATCACATAAACAGAGACAGGAATTGAACCGGGATCCTTATGAAAGCAAGCTAAGGCGCGCTTCCAAAGCATGAGCAAAGGCAGGGTCCGAAGGGTCCGGATCCTCATCGTCTTCGAGGACAAAGATGTCGGCGGCTCCTGACATATGAGCCACCTTGCAGCAAGCGGCGTGGATCCTGAGGTATTTGGGCTCCGGCAACGGGTAATTCACACCATCACTTGTCGAGAAGGTAACGTGGTCAGGAATGCCAGCATGAACGACCTGCGGGCGGCCACCCGTGCATCGAACATAATATCGGTTCGGAACGCTCTACAACAACGTCATTCGAGCCGTTGTGGGGATTACAAAATTGGGGTGACTCACAGTATCTTCTTCAAAATATAATGTAAGTTCATTGAAGGCCCTATGAACGTTGAGGTTGAAAGTAAGGACGTTGGTCAGAGAATGAACCCTTTTCTCATTGAGTTCTCCTAGGATTTTTTGGAAGCCGAAGCGGTGAATTGCGGCCCATGACGCCGATGCATAATTTCTCTACACGAACGTAAAAATCAGTTCCGGGGAACTTCTTACCAATCATACCTTGTTCGCATTTTCCAGGCTAGCGCTCATTGCCTCTGAAACAATATACGCACATTCCAAGTATCCAGAAGGACCAGGGTTTCGACCATCCTGCTCCAGTCTCATTGCTTCGTGTACGTCTAAGTAGCCGGTGGCCATACACCGATATTTATCCCGTCTTAATGCCTATAATAACAGGATATCGGACTGGACGCAACACCCAAACATGTCCAAAAGTACCTGCTGTTTTGCGGTCCAATGGTTGGTAGGAGCAAGCTCAAGCAGATTCTGAGCGTGATCCCTTATTGCTTCGAATGAGCCCGTTCTACTGGGATGGTCCGAAGTATCAGATGTCCGCTCTCTGCTTCTGCGGACTGTACAAAGTGAGTTTCTGGAGATGTCTGTGAAGAGAGGGTCCTACATGGACGAAGGAGGTATCTGCAGTATAACTTGCCAAGGCTACTGAGCAACTCCCAGAGTGGTCTTCCTTCCGGGAGATCTTTACACTTGTCGCAGGTCTCAGATGAAAGAGTGCAATCCTTGCACGGCGAGCTTTCCATCCGCTCTGCTGCACTAGCGTTGAACGGCTCATGCGTCGCAAGAGAGTCGCAGTGGATGATCTCGTCCGCGATGCAGCTGACAGTGGTAGGGATCGGCGGATACTGCATTAGGAAACCGAGGATGCGAATGTCGACGAGGCTCCAGTGGGTTGGGTCCACGGAAGAAATTGCCGTCTCCGTAGATTTGCATATGTCGTATGCTTTTCTGGCACTGGGACTTTCATAATTTAGACTATCGGGTAAAGGCTGGCACGTCCGTAAGGGCAGAGGAGATGTCATTCGGGACACAAGGGAGTGCAGAGGGGTTGAGCCAAGACTACTAATAGTAGTGACTTCTAAGCGGAGATCGGTTTGTCGGTAAAGTCCGTTACATCGAAGTTCGCAAGTTGGGTGAAGATGGATGATTTTGTGAAAGGTGCATTGTAGTATGTGTAAATATTAATACAGCTTGAGCTCGAGAGCCAGAAGTTTTATATCGTGGCTATTATTTTAGTCTTCCACTACCTGGCAAAGTTGCATAAGCCTCTAATTCGAGTCGCCATCCACCACCCTTTCCGTGTCCGCCTGCTCCAACGCGTTGATCCGCTCGCCCGACCTGCGCGCGAGCTCCCTGACTTCGGCGGGCAGCTCGGCGTTCTGCGCCTCCTGCCCGAACCTGCGACACCAGAACCGCCACCTCGCCGTGCTGATTTCGTTGTCCCCATGCCAGGGTAGCTGCTTCCCCCTCGCCGCCAGGCTCACGTCGGCCTCCTGCGCATAGCGCTCGCCGTCCGCGTGACGCGCATACAGGAAGTCACCGGCGACGAGGATCCAGGCGGCAGCGGCAGCGACATTGGAAGCGAGCCTGACGGCGGGCGGCGCGGCAACGTGGAGGTTGCGCGGCTTCAGATCCTCCTCGAGCGCGTCACGCAGCGCCCACATGGCGTAGAGACGGAAGTCGGCTGTGGCTGTGGCCGTTAGCCGCGCCACAAAGGCGTTGACGTTGGCCCACGCGCGCTGCTCGGGCGCCGTCCACCCAGCCCCGCACCCGGGCGAGTCGTTCCATGCCTCGCGCGCGCTGGGGCCCAGCATGACCAGGTCGCTCCACAGCGTACCCGAATCCCAGATCCAGTCGCGTCGCAGCGCCGTGGTCATGCGCTCGGGCGGCGATGGGTTCGGCCGCGCCTTCAGCGCCTGCACCAGCTCCAGCAGCCGCTTCTGTGGCCGCTGGCCCTCCCCCTCCCCCTCCCCCTCCCCCTCCCATTGACCCTCGCCATCCCGGGGCGAGTACCACGGGATCCGCTTCGCGGCGTGCAGCACGGCGTACCAGAGTTCCCACAGCCCGCCCTCGGTGCTGAGCATCCCCTCCGTCTCCTCCGCGGGCTCAGGGAAGTCCTCCTGCGCGCCCCACATCTCAAGCGCCTTCTCTGGGCTCCAATACTGCCGCTGGTTCCGCGCGGTGCGCTCCGACTCCCACAGCTTGCGCCCGTGGTCGGCAGTGCTGTAGGCGCGGTCGATCGGCGCTGCGAGCATCTCGACTGCCTCGGCCAACGGGAGATCTCCCGCCAGGTACCGGTCGATGGTCGACGTGTCGCCCGCGAACCAGTTTCGCACACGCGCCAGTGCGTCGATCTTGGCGGGCTCCGACAGCGATGTATCTGCGGCAATGGCGGCGGCCTCGGCGGCCTCACGGCGCTCGCCGCGTTCCCATCCCGTAAGCCCGTCGTCCCCAGCCGCGGCAGCCTGTGATATCGCCATTTTGCACTGAGGCGAGGGCAATCCAATGAAGTTTGGTGGAGACGAAAGAGTAGTGGTTGGCTGACTGCAGACAGTGACGCTGAAACCAAGGCAAGCTCACCTTCTAGGCCTCCAGGCCATAGGCATTATATAGATATGTACATCGAAGGCAGTCCCACTCGGTCGTTGACTGCTTCACTGCCCATGCGCAACCGGTGCCGAGTGACTCAGACCGCTGGACTCAACACGCAGGTCCAAAGCACTGCCACCTGCGGTAGTCAAGCGGGACTCGGCGGTCCTGCCTTTTCGATCTCTGCCTGGACGCTCAAGTATGTACTCAGTCATGATACAGAGAGGAAAATCAAAATTATATTCTGTTACCATACTATCGACAACATCAATATCTGAACTATCCCTGAACCCCATCACAAGGGTAATGCTCCTGCAGAAGCTCTAGGTAATCTGCAACTCCCCGCTCGTAATGCACAAGAAAGTTCTTCTTGAGAGCGTCATAGTCGTCGCCGTTCGCCCTTGAGTACTTTTTCCAGCTGACAGCTAGCACACGTAGCTTTGGGTTCCAGTCTCTGAAGAACTGCTGGCACAGAGGGAGGAAAGGCCCATAGTCTTCGACTTCCATATCTTCGACTACTGTGATAGTATCGAAAACGGCGGATCTGGAATCGGTATCTTTGGAGATATTCTCACGCAGCTTTGCAAGCTTCGGTGGTACTGGTTCCTCAACCTTGTGCCAGACCGCTGCCCAGACTGCAACAAAGAAAAACGACCATAAATCATCGATTGGCGTTTGGAGGTAAGGCAACCCCATTGTGGCAGCGTCGACTAGATCCTTTGACATGAATTCAACGGTACCCTTGGGATGGAATGATTAAACCACCATATCCACATTGCGATCAAACCACCTACTGAGCGCGATGTTGTCTTATCTCGTTCAAAATCGTAACCGCTGAGCTTGATGGACAGGTCTCCGTCGATGACAAAACATATGCAGTCTTTGTCTATGTTAAGCGTCTCCAGGAGCCCTTGAATCTTTTCTAGAGACTTTGACCGATCGCCTATTTCGTCCCGCCGTCGAAGCGAGAGCAAGTCTAAAACCTTCAGCAGCACCGATTCTTTCGTCTGAGGTTTCTCGCTCAGAAGGACATTACCGATGCTGATATCACGGTGCTGAAAGTCATTGCACAGCATGTTCCAATATCCTATAGATAATGATCAGCGTCACAGATACATTGCTTCTGGAGAGCAACGATGTACCTAACATTGCGTGACCAATAGCAGTGAAGAGCTCTGAGGGCGTCTTAGCAGTAACGAGAGAGCGGCCGGCAAAACTGGAAACATGCTGCCGTAGCACTCGGTGCTCTGGCGAAAAAGACTCGTTCGCATCGTCGTTGAACACCTTCCAGGGCGTAGCGAGCTCAGGCTCTAGGAAGAGATGATTGGTCGCGGGAAGATCCTCCTTGTGGTGAACTATAGCCGCGTAGTAATGCTTCGCGACGCCAAACCCCTCTCCGCACGCCCCAAATAAATTCTTCTCTGCGTCGAAACACTGTGAGGACTCCCACGAGCATTTGCTCACGATATCGAAGTTTTGGTCCGCATAGATATCTCCGTCGTTCGAGAGGGTTTCAATGTCCTGTTGTATGGAGCGAACCTTGCTCTGTTGGAAGGAGACTATCGTGGTAAGTGGTTTGAGACACAGTGAGTTTGACCCCGTCATGAATTAGTGGAAAGACGTACTCGCTGCCGGCTGCACAGTGGAAATACCGCGAACAGCCCCGAGTTTACCACTGCTAAATTCAGTAGTGCCGGTATCAGATGGCAGGGTGGTATCATCGCCATCTACGCGGGTGAGAGTAAGATTGCTAGCGGTTAGTAAGAAAAAGACAGCGAGCGCTTGACCTGAACGTACCGAGTTTTGTACGTTTACCTTCCGAAGCAGTAGCTTCTTCCGATTTGCGTTTTTTGCTAGCTAGGATGCCTTGCGTGACGTCAGAGCTGAAGGCCCCGTCGCGAGCCCATAGGCGCCAAATCTCAGGACGTCGGCCTCGCACGGCCAACGTGCTTTGAAGGACTTCCTTGATCCCAAGTTTGGTCTCACGTCCGCCGTCTTCGCGAGGGAGGCAACAAGCGGCATGATCACACCATTCGGGTAATCCTGCATCGCCTCGAGTTCTCCAGGTAAGGATAGCAGAGAACAGACGAAGGATCTCCTTACAGTCGTCTCTGTCGTCTATCTTGAGCGGCGTGGACGCTGTAAGGCCGCCGGAGTGATAGACTAGAAACCGAAGATGCCTGTCCGCGTGATGATAAGCTAGGACTAGTGAGAACTGCCGCAAGGGGACTGCACAGAAAAGCCCCAGCGAATATGTTGCAGCCCGAACAACCAAGTCCTCCCAAGGCTGATTTCCGACCTCAACGGGTATGAGAAGCTCGCAGTGTTTCTCATTGAGTTGGGCTCTATCAGAAAGAGTCCATGAAAAGTGTTCAGGGGGACCTGATGAGGCGTGAACGCCTCCCCGAACTTCAGTCTTTGTTGGAATATACCCAGCTAAGGCAGGCTTGACACGGGCGACATCGCCTATTCCAACGCCGAGGTAGCTAGTGTACGGGGTGAAGGATAAATTCCTGTAAAAAGGCTCATACATCTTGTCTGTGAGTCCGAGGGCAACCTCGAGGCAACACTGCAGCCACTTAGCCAAGGGGTCGTAATGCAGACGTTCTCCGGTGGTGGAAGGGAAGTGTACGTCCCGTGCCCGCTGAAGCGTCTCAAGTTCCCGAACGGCCTGGTCCAGTAGGCCATCGCCAACATGAAGGTGAACATCATAGTATTCTATGCGATCCAGGACGTTCTCGTTGAGCAGAGGAGCATCAGGCTTGCGAGACTTGGCGGAGAGGGCATGGGCAAGATGTATGGGTTTCATCTCCCATGTAGCACCCCAGAGCTCGTTCTGCATCATCATTTCCAGCCGTAATTGATAACCTGGATCCTGAATGACCGACTCAAGACAATTGCTGCTTGGTCTGGGGGCGCTTCTAGAACTGTTGTGCGAGTCACCATGGAAGTCTAGCTTGTTCAACTTGCTGGACACTCGCACGGGTGTCGACGAGGGGCGTGAACCATCGGGCATCATTTCAAGTGAAGCTGATTGACGAAAACGATGGGGCGATGGAGAGGGAGGTGTGGGCAAAGGGAAATCACGAAATTGACGCGTGCGCGACGCGTCAAGCTCGTCCAACAAAGATGTTATTGGTTCCGCGTGTCCCCATTCCAAGTTTCGCACCCTGTAATTTCCTGCCATGTTTTCAAGCTCAAATCTTCGTACTATGTTATACAGTAAAACTCAACTCCAGAGCGTTTTGAACGTTAACGCTTCAGTGAATTAATGGTAATATTAATGCAGCGAGGGTGAACAAATCTTGGGCTCTGGGGCGCGTGACAGGAGACTTTGAAACTCCGATCTGCGGTATGCCGGTTCGACAGCACAAGTCAAAGTCCCTTGGTTTATCATGGATGAGCTACCCACAGGGATTCTGGTTTTTACACAGTCTCCGGATCGTCAGAATGAGGGTCCTTCATTTTGCGTTGCATCGAGGGTTCTACGATACTGTACGGAATTTAAAGTATAAGTACTGTGCACACGTCAGCGGATATTGCCGAGAAATAAATCTCCGCAGACCCCGCTTATTGTTGTGGCACTCTACACTTTCTCCTCGCTCCTTTCGATCAATGGCGTCTCCGCTACCCATAGCCAGGCCTCAGTTTTTACCCGACCTGCTGGACCATGACAGCCCCGAAGCTCTAAAGGCATACGAAATATGCAAGCGATGCGAGATGCAAGTCGTATCCGTCGACCCTGATCACTGGAGCCTCGTCAACATTCGTGTCGTTGGCTACCTAATGCAATACCCACCGGGTCCCACTACTGTCAGTTGCGTCGCGAGAGAGGTCAGAAACTGCAGTGCTCTCGCGACAGATGAACAGTTCGACAAACGCGCATCGAAGCTGAAAGAAAACGAAGTCTCTTCACCATGCAAGCAATGCACGGATTTAAACACCTGCGATAAGTGCAAAGATCTGACAGAGGGAAAGCCACTGTGGCAGCTACTCAGCGCTCTTGGGAAACTCTATCGCAACTACCTCCTCCGTTCCTGTAGGGCCCTTACTTCTTTATAACGTCCGAGATTAATTCGTTTACAGTTCGTAGGTTTAAGGGGCGAACACCTGTACCTTCGGATCATCCCAGCCAAACGAGCTCCTTCGATGAGATAAGGAATGAGCTTGACATTGTGCTTGAGGTTGCTCCTCGCAGCCATGCGACTGCAAAAAAGCAGGTGAGCGAGGGTTAACGCAGCGGCCGATCTCATGTGTTCTTCCCATAGGCATCAATAAGGGACAGGAATCGGTGTATTGTCACCGGCTGTGTGGAAACTCAAGAAGCAAAGAAAGTGATGCAGGAGGGTCGAGACCCTGGTCCTTCTGCGCACCTGGATTGTGCACACATTTTTTCAGAGGCAACGAACACCTACCTGGATGATGCAAACAAGGTATAATATACGGCATGCCTCGGGAACTGATCTCTAACGTTCACACAGAGAAATTATGCATCCGCGTCGTGGGCAATAACTCATCGCTTCGGATTTCAAGAAATCCTTGAAGATTTTAACGGAAAGAATGTCCATTCTCTGAAGAATATCCTAACCCTCGCTCTTGATGTTCATCAGGAATTTGACGACCTTAGACTATACCTTGAAGAAGATATTGTAAGTTGTTCAGTTCTCTGATTCCACTCCGGCTTCCATGTTGTTGTCGCAGAGTGTTCCGAACCGTTATTATGTTCGATGCACGGATGGCCACCCAAAGGCCGTTCATGCTGCCACTCCTGACCACGTTACCTTCTCAACAAGTGATGATGTGAATTTCCCGTTGCCGGAGCCAAAGTACCTCAGGATCCACGCCGCCTGCTGCAAGGTGGCTCATATGTCGGGAGCCGCCGACATTTTTCGTCTTGAAGACGTGGACGATCCGGACCCTTCGGAACCTGTGTTTGCTCATGCTCTGGGAGCACGCCTTAGCCTGCTTGTTTGGGAGTCCCACTTTACTTCCCGTGCTCAAGTTGTCTAGTGTTTCCCCTTTGACACTGGCTTAAAGCTCGGATGGAGACATTGAGAAGCCTCGTCATCATGTAATATAGTAGCTCTAATTGAAGACCTTGACGAAGTCCACTATTTGCAACGACCCTGCCTGGCATTGGCGCATTCAATGACCAGGTATACCTAGCACGAGCTGAGCCACCCCAGTTTACCTGGATCCTTATTCGGCTCTTGTCCCAGCTTTAAGCTTCTCTTTGCTCCCATTCACGTCGACCCTACACGTTTGGCCTAGCCGTGTTGTGGTCCATCATGTTCAATACGTTGATACTATATTTCTCTGAGCCTATAAGTAGTTCGCTGGGGGTTGGTACTACGGGATACGAGGCAAGAAAAAATGAATGATCCTGGCCCTATGTCTGAATTGTCGAGTTGGCAATGTTTTGTCCTTACACCCCCTATCTCTTGGTGCATCACATGATGACCTGCATGTCGACGCCCACCTTGTCCACCTCGACCCTCCCCGGCCCCGTCCAGGAGCTCGAGACCGCCGACGATGCCCTCGCCTACCTCAACAACACCCTCCTCCCCGATGCCTCCCTAACCGCTCTCGAGGGCCAACTCGCCGACCTCCTCGCCTCCTTCGACAGCGCCGCAGAAAGCACCTCCGCCGCCCTCGAGCGCACCCTCGATGACGCAGCCCGCAGCGTCCCCCGCCTCGCATACGACCTCCACTTCATGCGCGACGGCGCCCTCGGCCTCGCGTCCCTCCTCTCCCGCACGCGCAGCGCCATGCCCGCCGCCTCCGCCGCAGACTCAGAGGCCCAACGTGCGCTCGCCGATCTCGCGCGCCTGGACCGCACACGCACGCGGATGGAGGCCGCGCGGGGTGTCCTCCGCGAGGCCGAATCATGGAGCACGCTCGAGGGCGAGGTCGGCGCGCTGCTCTCTGAGAAGACGTACGAGAAGGCCGCGGAGCGACTCGCCGATGCCCGCAAGAGCATGGTCGTATTCAGTGGCACGCCCGAGTACGAGCCCCGTCGCGCGCTGCTCGTGAGCCTTCAGAATGAGCTTGAAGCTGCCCTAAGCGCTGCACTCGTCGCAGCGTTCAGTGCGCAAGACGTGGCACTCTGCAAACGATTCTATGGCATTTTCGTGCGCATCGATCGCGAGGGAGAGTTCAGAAACTACTACTATGGGTCGCGAAGGACGACACTTGTCGCTTCGTGGACGACATGCGATACGACGGTCACAACAACAGGAACTGACACACCAACTGCGGGCACGCCCATCACGACTACAGCATTCAGCGTGCAGTTCTGGACGACCTGGCTCTCCTCCTTCCTCGGCATGCTCAACGTCGAGCGGCACGCGATCCCCTCCATCTTTCCAGATCCACAGGCTACATTCTCCACCCTCGTCTCATCCACCCTCTCCGCCCTCCAACCAAGCCTTGCACAGCGCCTCGCAGGCCTCAGCCTGTCCAACATCGTCACAGTCTACGAAAAGACCGAAGAGTTCGCGCGCTCGGTTGAGCGCGTCGTCGAAAAGGTGCGCATGGCGACGACACCCGTCCCCTCTGCCTCGCCCAAGTCCATGCTCGAAAAGGAGCTCAGCGGTGCCCCTTCACCGGCAGCCGCCTCCCCCGGCGAGAGCACCCACGAACGCACCCTCAGCCGCCCGCCTTCGCACGCAAGGCGCCGCTCCTCGATGCGCATGAGCGTCAGCTTCCGCGCGAACTCTGCCTCAAGCGCGGGACGCGGTGGCGAGCAGGGACCTGGGGGCAGCGGCAACGCTAATGCTCAAGACGACCAAGACGCAGCGTCAGAGTGGGAGCTCGCGCTCTTCCATGCGTTCCTCGACTTCCAGGCGGACTACGGCGTGCTCGAGCGGCGCTTCCTCCTCGACGAGCTCGCGCGCTCCACTGCTCAACACCCTCAGTCACGCTCGTCGTCGTGGGACGTCGAAGAAGGCGGCCGGCGCATGCGCGAGGAGGCACTGGACGTGTTCGCCGCTGCGGAGGACGCGCTCGCGCGCTGCATCGCGTTCACGCACGGCTTCGCCGCCGTGGGGCTTGTGCAGGCTGTCGACGGATGTGTGAGCGAGTGGATATCGCGCTGGAAAGCCGTCGTCGAGGCTGTCTCCAAGGCCTCTGCGAACGCATCCAACGGAGCTGGCGCCGGCGCAGCGGACGTGGGCGCGACAGACGGGAGCGAGGGCGAGCTCGCGGACTTGGACTACACGGCGCGCGACTGGGCCGACATCCAACGCGCAATGCGCTTTCTCGGCGCCGGGCGCGCGACGCTCGAGCGCGTCAGCACGTGCGAGGGCAAGATCAGGAAGACGCTCTCGCAGGTGCACAAGCAGCACTACGCAAGTGCAGGCGCGAGCGCCGCGTCCCGAAAGGGACACATCGGGATGGTCAAGAACGCGCTGGACTCGCCCGAGCTCGGAACTTTACTCGCCTCATGTAGTGCCAACGCACCTCCGACCTCGACCCCGACTCCAACCCCTGCCGCCTCCCTGCTGACGGCAGCCCGCGGCGCACTCGCCGACCTCGCAGGCGCATGCCAAGTCTCGCTGCAACGCGTCTTGCTCGCGCCGCTCCTCGCTCACCTCACTCCCTACGCCTCCCTCCCCATCTGGGCCGAACGAGTCCCCTCCACAGCATCCACCGCCGGCGGCCTCGTCGTCCCCACATTCTCGCGCGACCCGACGCCAGGCGTACAGCGCCTCGCCGAGGGCCTACTGAACCTCCCGCGCCTATTCGACGTCGTGCTCGGGGACGAGGGCGTCCCGTTCCTCCCCACGTCCGCATCCTCCAGCGCGACGGGGCCCGGCCACAGCGAAGATGAAAACCCAGAGGCGGTCGTGGCCGCGTGGCTCGCGAGTCTGGGCCAGGTGGTGCTCGCGCACGTCGTCACGACCGCGCTGCCGCGGATCGTAGCGCTCTCGGAGAGCGGGCGCGCGCAGCTCGTCATCGACCTGGAGTACCTCGGCAATGTGCTCCATGCGCTGGGCGTCGAGGGCGTGGGCGCCGAAATCGACGAGGGCGGGCAGGTGGTGGACCAGGAAGAGGAAGACGGTGTGTTGCAGAGGTGGGCAGGTCTCGTTAGGATGGACGACGCTGCGTTTGAGCAGGCGTTTGCGTCAAGAGACCGGGATGATAATGTTATGCGCGAGGTCGTACGCATGAGAAGAGCTGGCAGGGATACGCGATAGGTACCTCGAAGGTGGTGTACAGTATCATTAGCTTGCTGCGAATTATCAGCCCTTGCGACTTGTACGTTTGCTAGGACGATGCTCTAAGTATGATAATACACTGAAAGTTGAACGCATGCACATGAAGCCCGAGGACGAGGAGATAGTTAAATAGAGCAGGTATGATAGATGCAACGAGTAGATGAGATATACAGTACAGACCGACAAAAAAACGAAGCAGTTGCAACATTCCTCCTTTTTCGCCCTCCAACATTTCCTTCAAGATCCAGAAGAACGCGACCAAATGCGCGTCAAGAAACGGCCGCCTCACCGAGCATACGGATGGAAGTTGTGCTGCCCACGACTCGACATGCGCGCGGGCCCGAGCCCATTGTTCATCGCCATCCGCTGGGCGCCCGCACCCATCCCGCCCGCCCCGCCCATCATCATCCCGTTACCCCCGCCCATGCCCTGCATGCCCCCGCTGCCCCCGCCAGCACCGCCCATCCCGAGCCGCTGGCCCATACGCATGCCCCCGCCCATACCCTGCATGCCCATCCCGCCGCCGTTCATCATCCCCATCCCCATGCGCATCCCCATCGGATTCATCCCACCCATCCCGCCGCCCATCCCCTGCATCCCGCCCGCGCCGGCCATGTTGCCCATCCCCATATTGGCCATGCCCATGTTCCCCATGCCACCTCCGCCCATACCTCCCTGGCCCATGTTCCCACCCATATTTCCGCCCATGTTCCCGCCCGGACCCATACCCCCGCCCATCATGTTGTTCATCCCGCCGCCCATCATGCCACCCATCATCATAGGGTTCATCATCATCGGATTCACCATGCCTATGTTGCCCATCCCACCGCCACCGCCACCACCACCACCGGCCATCTGGCTCATCATCCGCTGGTAGAGCATCGACGTCGCATTATTCATCTGCCCCGCGCCTGAGAAGCCGCCAGCGCCCATCCCACCAGCGACCGCGCCGCCCTGTGCGGAACCGCGCCCGTCGCTACCACTGAGGTCCCCACTGCCACCGTTCTGGCCCTGCTGGCTGCGCGCTTGTTCGCGCTGCGAGCGAGGTTGGGCGGCCTTGACTTCGATCTAAAAAAAATGCAACACTTAAACGGCTGAAACGCGGCTAGATCTCAGAACACGTACCTCCTTATCATCCAAGACGAGCCCCAGTTTGCCGACAAACGAAGCAGAGTTGCCCGCATCTTCAAACGTAACAAACCCAAAACCCTTCGAGCGGCCCGACTCGCGGTCGACCATCACAGTCGCATCGACGACCTTGCCAAACGCCGAAAAAAACGCGCGCATCGAGTCCGCCGTCGTCACCGGCGACAGGCCACCGACAAAGTAACGCGTATTCCGCAGATGCTCCTCACGCGGAATCGCACGCTTGGGATCGATCTATCATACCAGCAGTCAGTAAACGCGACCAACAAGACAGATGGGGAGACGCATATATGCGGTGAGTGCACGTGGAACATAACCTACAGCTTTGCCATCGAGGATATGATGGTCCTTGGCAACCACGGCAGACACGGCCTCTGCATCGTCGAACGTGAGGAACGCAAAGCCCCTCGACCTGCCGTCGGGATCACGCATGATCGTGCATGCGTCGACCTTGAGAGCTCAGAGCGTAAGCCAAACCCTACACACAAATATAATGGCACTGAGCTCAGCGCTCGCAATTACCTTGCCGAACTGCGCAAAGTAGTTTCTCAGACCCTCTACAGAAATTTGACGAGGCCACAAAAGGAGAATGGATATGTCAGCGAAAAAAAGTTGGCATTGTATATCGCGAAGGACGTATACCATCTGTTGTATCCCAGTTAAGGCCGCCAATGAACATTTTGCTATCATCGGGAAGGACCGTATCGGTAGCGAGGTAGCGAGAACCATTGACAGAGTAGTACGTGACGTGAGTGGGTGTCGGGTAGTCCAGAAAACGATGACGACGACGTAAGGATATTAGTTCCAGATATCGAGAGCAGATACGAGCGCAGATAAATAGGAAGAGAACAGAGCAGAGCAGAGATCATAGCGGAGGTAAGAAAAGAATAGAAAAAGCAGGTAGCAAGCAGCAAGCAGAGCTAAAACATGTCGATGCAATGTGCAAAGTGTCCAGTAGCAGCTACTGTATGCGTCTTTGTCGTCTTCGGCGCGCACATAAACACGACGCATAACCTGACGAGCCAGTACAAACGTTCGTGCGTACGAGCGCATACAGCCGAACGATAGCAGCCTCCTCCCTGAACGTCAACCAGCAGCTCACACCGCCCCCAACCCAAGCGGACACACAGCCATCTCCAAAACCAAAAACAAAAGTCCACTCACCCTTCGTCCTTCATCTCAGACGGACGCAGCGCCCGCTCCCCACCACGCTTCACCGCGCCCATATGCGTCTCAATCGGGCTCACGCCCGCGTTCGGGTCCGGCAGCGGCGGCCGCTGGATGCGCTCCTGGCTCGGCGTCTGCTGGTACGCCGAGAACTGCTTCGCCACCTGCGCCGAGTACGACATGGAGTCACCGCCCGCTGCTGCGGCTGCTGCGGCGGCGGCGGCGGCGGCGGCGGTCGTAGCCTGGGGCTTCGCAGGGAGAGCGGCCGAGGCGGAGACGGAGGATACGACGCCCATCATGGGTGAGGGCCTGTTAGGAGAAGTCATGCTCGCCGAGGGCTTTACTGCTGTGGAAGAGGCGTCGGTAGTGGTGGGTGAGGCGGGTGGCTTTTCCGTCACGGGTGAGTTCTCGTCGTCGAGGGGGACGATGAGCTCCTCGTCGCCGTAAAGATCTGTCAGTTTGGAGACAATGAGTGGGATTAGAATGTGTTAATATCTAAACACTCACCGCCGTAGAGGTCGGAGTCGTCCTTGCTGGAAGCCATGCCTGAATAGACGAAAGAAAAGGGGAGGTTAGAGGAGAGGAGGAAAAGAAAGTGTCGGTGGTGGTGGTGAGTCGGAAGAGCGGTGTTGAAGCAGTGGGTGCTTGTGTCCAGCCAACTCAACCTTGTCCATTCCTCTTCTGGCACATTATTTGTCCTCAATTTTCAAGTCAACAAAATCCCCATGCATCATGCGTTAATGCGTAATAAATACTACTAGGATATGAATGACAGTATGTAATAGGACGATGTGAGACAACACGAAACGTGGGGACCGACTAGTGAGCAACCTGGAAAACATCAACAGTATGGTACAACAATCGCAGCTCTCGGTTTAACGCGCCGACCAAGAGACCGCACCGAGCATAGAAAGGGCGTGTAGATGTGCGACTATATACAAGCAACCAAGCGAGGGATCAGTGCACGCCGTTGACGAGCATGCTCACCCGCCCATTCCGTAGTCGCTGTGCCGTCCGCTCCGCAGCCGCATCGTACACAAAATGCGGCTTTGCTCGCGGCACAAGCCCCACATTGTCCGAGTCTGAATCCGAGAACGACTCCCGTCTGTTGTACGCGTCTCTGCCGTTCGAATATGGGTCGTTGTTCGTTGCATAGTCTGACGAATCATCAGTACACCATTAAACCAAACATAAGAAGAAGAAAAAGGTCAACTCACCTTCCGGATCCTCGACAACCCTCCGCTTCCCCAACGCCTTCTCGCTCGGCCGATACGGCATATCGTACCCCACCTCGCCCTCCTCCCCATTCACCCTCAACCGCTCCATCGCCTCCGGCACATCGTAATACCCCGGCTGCAACACCGATGGATGCGCTCCTGCCCCCGCCCCTGATACATACGCCGGCACATACGTCTGCTGCAGCATCGGCGGGCTCTTTTGCATCATCACCCCATTATCCAAGCTCTCCGACCGCACCGGCCTCGTAACAGCCAGCACCTTCTCAAGCGACGGCGAGCGCGAATGCGCCAGCTGCTGCTGCTGCATCGGCGACCGCGGCCCAATCGGGTGCGCCTGCATCGGCGGCGCGAGCATCGTCGGCGTCGTCGTCTGCGTCGGCGGCGACACCGGGTAGTGCACCGGCGGGTGATGCGGCATCGGCGACGCCACGTTCGGTACATTCGGCGGCATCGGCAACGGGTGCGCCGCGTTCGGGTGCACCGCTGGCAGCCCATACGCTTGTCGCGGCGAGGGCGAGCCCGGCGGGGATGGTGACGGCGTGCGTGGTGGTACCGGAGGTGGCACGTGCGATGGTCTGGCATCATCCTGAGCAGAATGCTCGCCGTTCGCCGGCTGCTGCTGCTACACCGTCCCATAAGCTTCATGCAAAATACACAAACCCAACAATGTAACACATACCCTAGGATCATGCCTCACCTCTCGCTTGCTCCTCTCCTCCACATGCCTCTCCGACACAAGCCGCGCATAATCATCATACATCCTCAACACCTCCAACAACGCGCTGTTCGCCGCCAACAACTCCTCCAACAGCCGCTCCTCAATAGTCATATCAGCCTGCTGGCCCCCGTCAGACCCCGCATTCACGCCGTTCTGCCCCGAGCGGCTCCGCCCATTCAGCGCCTCGGCGCGCGACCGCTCGGCACCCGCAGAAGCCCACGGGATCTGGGTATAGATGAGCTCCTGCGAGAGACGGCACTTTTGGTAGAATTCCTGCGGATCAACGGTCAATTAGCCTCTTAACACGATCCTGACCCAAAATAAGGTTATTTACCCGATTGATTGGTAGCTCGATGTCCTCTGGGAGGGCATTCAGCAGGTTGCTCGCGAGCAGATTTGCGTTGCCACGCGCAATCTTGCACTCCTGGAACAGCCGCCGGATGTCTTCATCTGGTGGTATAATATGGTTCTGGCTCCGAGATCCACGTGGCGATTTTTTGCGTGGTGGCGATTGTATGGGCATCGTCTGGCAATTTGTAGTGCTCAGTCTAGGCTCGATCGCCTTATCACATGGACTTACAGGTGAACGCGACAGAGGTGCGGTAGAGGGTGGCGTCCCTTGGTGTTGATGATGCTGATGATCAGGGACTGAGGACGGCAATGAATCCTGCGAATACTGCCATTGTTGTGATGGTGCGTTCATCATAGGTGGGCTGAACATGACATCTTCGTTGTCGAAAGGGATGCCTCCGTCGGGTTTGTCGGCAGGCTTGAGCCTCGCCCACAACTGACGGAAACCATCTTTATCCCGTTCCTTGGAGACATTGTGACTTCCTGTAAATGACTTGTTCAATAACTTGATATCAACTTCAAACAGCAAACGCACGAGAAGAAAAGATATACGCTGCGGCGGCCAGAACCTCCATCAGCCGTTCGCGGACGACGGGGGAGGTACGTGTTGACGTCAACACATCCTCCAGCGTTTCAATAAACTTGCGTGACGAGATTTGACTGAGAAGCGTTTCAGACGCGTTTCGAAGCATAATCGCCCACAGCTATTCAGTAGAATCGAGTTAAAACGCGGCAGGAAGCGAGCAAGCAGCAATAAAAAGAAGGGCACATACGCGTGCGGCCGAAAGTTGTGCAGACGGCTCGGCATATCTAAGCATTGCGGATTTCCGCGTCAGAAGGAAGCCGGGATTCCATGAGGCGAGCCCGTGGACCTACTTGAACTCTCGTCGGAGCGCCTTGACCGCCTCCTTGGCATTCGTCTCGTTCGCTGACGCACGCTCGCACACCTCGAGCACGAGCGACCAGTCCTCCGACGCAGTCGCAGTTAAATATCCTGGTCCGCCTCTGCATCAGCTTCCACAACTCGCTGCAGCACCAGCACACGCACCTATCATGCGCGTAATCTCATGCGACTGATCCTCCTCTCTGCGCTCTCTCACCGACGCATTGCCCTTCCCGCCCTCTCTCACTCTCTCCCGATCTCTGTCTCTATCTCTGTCCCTATCGCGATCCCGCAGCATCCCATCCAGCCACCCTTTGCGCTCCTTGCGATCCTTGGAGCCAATAAGCTCCACCGACGGCGTCTGGCCATGCGTCGGCGCATGCACAGGCACAGTGTGATGCGAGTCCTCGGACAGATCGCCGACCGAGTGCTGATGCTGAATGTGCCCGCCGTGTGCCTCTTGGTGGTGCGGGTCGAGGGCCTTGAGGATGCCGAGCGCAGCGGGACCCGAGGCAGAGGGCGGTGAGCGTTTGCGCGCGTTTGGGTGCGTGGCGGCGCTGTCGCTGCGATCGGGGCGGGCTGTGCGCTGGGAGGGCGTGACGGAGGTGTTGTTGGAGAGATTGCTGAACGGGGACGGGGAGCGTGCCATGGCGACTGCAGCGACGGCTGTCACTGCGGCGGGGGGAGGTGTCGGAGCTGTTCCTGGGCCCTGGACCTGAGGTGCAGCTGGAGCGGAGGCGGGGGAAGAGGCGGCAGAGGTGGGACCTAGTGGTACAGAAGAGAAAGAGTTCTGGGATGATGGGGGCTGGGAGGAAGATATGGGCGGTGCGTAGGCGCCGTTGCCGGGCATAGCGTAGGGATCATCATATGCTTGGGATGCGGGTTCCCAGTAGGAGTCCGAAGAGGCACGGCCAGAGAGAGTCTCCTCGCCATAATGGTGTGGATTTGGGGCGAATATGGGTGGTGGGAGATTGGACATGTCCTGTGCGATGGCTAGGTGGGAGGACTGTTGGGAGATGTTGGATAGGGAACTGGACATACCTCGTCGATGCCAACGCCTGGCGCGTCTGTGCCTGAGACGACCTTGGTAAGCTTGGGTTTGTCGCGGCCAAAGAGCTTGAGACGATTCATGGTGTCGAAATGTGCGTGAAGAGGACAGCGCCGGCGATGGAGAGGAAGGGGAGGAGGAGGAGGAGGAGGGGAAGAAGGATCTGTATGGCAGAGGAGGAAGGAGTTTGTCGTCCAGCCACAGCGAAGTCAACAAGGCTGTGCTTCCGAATTTTCGCCTCTTCCTAATCGACTACAACTTTGCTTATAATTTCTACACACTACCCCGTCCCGCCCGACACCGAGCAACATCTAACAACTCATTTATTTACAATCACTAATAATCTTTCACTGGCAGCTAGCGCTATGCTCCTCCTCCGCGTACAGGCACCCTGCCAACCGCCCTACGTTCCCTCAAAATCACCGCGCAGGCTGCCTCCAGCGCGGCCGGCGTGTACTCGAAACTCGCTACGCACGCACTGCACCCGTCCACCCTCTCGCTTCCCCCTATCACCTCATACGGCCCACAGCTCGCCAGCATCACGATCGGAGTCGCCGCACCGTCGCTGGCAGCGCTCGCAACTTCTTGCACCCGCCGGAGATACTCGAGCTGCCACCCGCTCTGATCAGCATTCCGTGTCACGAATATCACCGCACCGAGCCCTCCACCCTTCAACTCGCCGACTACCTCCGCTCCGATCTCGCCTCCCGTCTTGCTCAGGGGCGAGTAGACGATCCACTTCGAGTTTGGTCGACGCCGCTTGACAGAATCTGCGAACGCGACGTAGTGCGGCCCAGCCGTGTTGCGCACCTGCCCTTCCTTGGTCCTGAGCACGCCCTCCGCATCGTCGACCGCCTTGTTCAGACTCTCCGTCTCAGGGAAGAGCACAAGCACTGTCTTATCCGCGTCGATATGAGGCACCGACCCCTGCACAAGCGCTGTCGAGCGCGCATAAGCCTCTGCGCTTAGCCGCGCATTCTTCTTGGCCAGCTGGGCGATCTCTGCATCACTAATCGAGCGGTCCAATACATCGTTCCAGGTTCCAGCAAATTCATCCTTGAGCTTCGCGATCCTTCGTCCGCTGGCCACGAGCTCGTCCATCGATAATGTACCATTCGAGACGGCCTCGTACGTCTTCCTGACAGACCCTTCATGGCGCTCCATGGTATGGCAGATCATCACGATATCCGCGCCGGCCTGCAGACTCATCACTGCGCCGCCTTCCGAACCGTATTCTTGCACGACCGCGTCCATCTCGAGGCAATCCGTCACGATCACGCCATCGAACTTGAGCTCACCGCGCAATAAATCGGTAGTAATTGCCCGCGATAGCGAGCAGGGGAGCTTGTCTGAGCCAGTGAGCTTTGGGAGGGCCATGTGCCCTGTCATAATCGTCGCTACATTTTGTTGAATAGCCTGGATGAAAGGGACGAGCTCGGTGGCGAGGATCGCATCTTTGGATTTGTCGATGACAGGCAGAGCGAGATGAGAGTCAACATGGGTGTCTCCGTGGCCAGGGAAGTGTTTGGGCGACGGTGCTATTCCTGCATCAGCCAGCCCTTGCGACACCTTGGCGACGTATTCTCCGACCTGCTTCGCATCTAAATTAGATACCACGGTTAGATTCTTGCTGGTGGTGGGCCCGCAATAACACGACATACCATCACCAAACGATCGGACTCCTGCAGCAAGAGATAACAGAACAAAGATCACAAGTGAGCCAGCAGCTCTCCCAATCCTCCTATCATCACGGTTTTACCCACCGATGACCGGGTTGCGCGGATCTGAGTTGACGTCTGCGACGGGGCTGTAGGCCCAGTTTATGCCAGCAGCCTTCATCTCTAGCCCGGTGGCCTTTGCGCACTCTCCAGCCAAGTTCGGGTCGCCCGTCGCCGCGATGGCCATGGCACCTGGGCTGCATCATGCGTTCAGCAGTGGCCGATTATGTGCCATTAAATGCGTACAACTGGGTGCCAGCTTCGCTCTTTTGCGCCGTCGAGCTGAACGCAGAGACGAGTCCTACATTTAACAAAAAATACAATAAAAACATGAGCGAGATCCGAGCAACACGGAACGCAAAGATGCGATGGCCAAACGACGTACCACACTCCTGGTCGATGCCGATCATGAGCGGACGCTCGTGCCCCGCATCCTTGGCGAGCCGCTGCAGGTCCTGGACGAGCGCATGCACCTGCTTGATGCCTGATGTTGCGTGGTTTCGGAATTCCGATTCATCCACCGTGACGATGTCGGTCGAAATGCAAGAAAGCGTGACTGAGATCTAGGGAGCGTCACAGTGGGTCGCACGACGAACTTTGTACATTCCGCTTCATCAGGATGATGCTCCTGCGCGTCCACAGGGATGACGTTGAGTGTGAAGTCCAAGATAGATCGACAGATGAAACAACGCACCCGACGTAGTACTCTTGGATAAGTTTTCGGACATCGTCGCTCACTTGGTGGCCGTGGAATCCAAAGACAAAGTGCTAGATGTGGCGAGTGTGATACAAATCTGGTGAGCCTGGGATTGCTCGATCATTGTTGCGAGTGCGGGGCGATCAGGCCGCCACACCGCCCGCCGTTCATGGGCGCTTGAGCGCTCCGGCTCGGAGTCAAGCGTTGACAAGTGTCTGATGTGCCTGGGGTCGACGACGATAGCAGCGGATGCTTACCTGACCGATTTCGCGTTTCTGCGCGTCTGTAAGTTCAGCAGACATGTTGCAAGTGAAGATAATGGGTCAGTGGACGAGAGATTGCCCCTGGGTCGGAGGTAGTAGAGATAATGCAGGGTTCGCGGAGGTCAAATTCGGGAACTTGCCGGCGGCAACGCGCGTACACTTTACGCGTGTAGAAAACGCGCTCCTCGACGCTGACCTCGACGACGACTCGAACAAGCCGTCTCCCACTCACCACCTTTGCTCATCTTGCTTGGAAACACAGGCAGATGCCAAGCAACCAGAATGCTCAAACAAACGCAACGACCGAGGTCAGTGACCAACGCACTCAACCTCTTGTTCAGGACGTACCGCAACTCTAGTACAGGCCCCACCTCCCGCCAAGAAGGCTCGCACAAGCAAAGCTCTTCCAGAGGGATTCGAAAAGCCAAAGTCGAAGCCAGCATATAAGCCACAGATTTCCCCGCGGTTCACCTCCGCATTTGAAGCTTCGTCGTCGAAGCCGAACTCGGTGCAGCGACCTTCGCACAAGCCACAGTCCCGTTCCAAGGTAGAGAGCCCAATATTCAATTCGGCGTTCGACAATGCAGGCAACTCGCCACGCCTGAATCAGGGAGAAGCAAGCTCGCGATCCAAGCCTACATCACGTTCCAAGCAGAGCCGCCCGGTAACCCCAACAACAGATGGCTTTCCAGCTGTTCAGCCAGCCCCTGAGCGCCCCTCCTCGCCATCCAGAGGTCAGAGGCAGCTTAAACACCCAGTTTTTGCTCATCCAAAGCCTCTGCGAGAGAAGCCCAAATCGTCCTCGTCCTCATCGAAACCGCAGAAGCCTCTAAACCCAATGCACGCCTTCCACCTCCCCCACCGCCAAGACCCACAGACTGAACCCGCACTAGACAAGCCCGTCTCCGTCATGCGCCGCGCGCCGCCCCCCATGCCCGTAGCGCCTAGCACCAAACCCGAGGTCGCAATGAAGCAGCTCCACCCTCCCGCCATGCCCGGAGCCGCGCCAGCGTCGCCGCCGCGCAACATGAAGACGATCATGTCGACGCGCGTCGCGCAGATCACGGACCCGACCAAGGACGGCGGCGCCGCGGAGGTGCTCTCGCTCTTCCTCCAGCAGCACGGACACAGCTTCATGTCCAGCGCCGACCGCGAGCTGCAGCGCGGGGTGATGGTCAGCCCAGACAAGCGCTCCAAAGGCGGCAAGGAGCCCAAGTTCATAAGGTACGCTAGTTGTTATCTTTGGATGATTCGAGTGACTGATAAAGCATATATGCTCTCTTACACAATCTTACGACAAAATCACGCCGTATTCACGCACGTTTGCATGCCACCCTTCCGGGATAACCATTTTGTTCTGGGGTTCACTTTATCCTCTCTTTCTCAAGAGGAGGCCTAGCCGAACGCGCGCAGCACGTTATATCAGGAACACAGACAAACTACACCCTCTGGCGCCGCCAGATGGAGCAGAAGCTCGAGTCCGGGTCCACAGCGCGCCTCTCACCCGACGTCCGATTCAAAGTCCTCAAAGTCCTGCATATCCTTCGCTCGCAGGACAAACCCGGCGCCAGGGCCCCCCGGGCGCATCCAGCGTCGTCGTCAGCGCCGCGGTGCGGCCTCGCGCTGTGTGTCCTCGTGGGCCGCCCCAAGCTAAAGTTCAACGTGGGCGAGCTGGCGGACGGACAGACCTACCTCGTCTTGCTTCCCTTCTCTCCCTCCTCCTCCGCGGTCGTTGGAGCGGCGGAGCATCTGCAGGAAGAGAGCGAGATCATGGCCTGGATGCCGTGGCAGAGTGCCGAGCTCGAAGAGGGAGCGGCGCTCACGCGCGCGCCTGTGCTGTCAGACGGCGAAACGCCGGAGGATTTCTCGAGGAAGGTGCTCGTCGTTTCGCGGTTCCATCTGCTCCCCAAGGAGTAGAAAGCGTCTGATGCCCGTGAGGACGCTATTACCTATCAGCTGCATTGCAATCAATCTTGCTCTGGTCCCACACGTCGAGGTGCTGCCTTAAGCAGAAGAAACTAGCTCGCGAATGAACCCATCATCCACCCCTCCTTTCCCTACTTGGCTACCTGCCCCGTAGTGCGATTGGCAAATTGCAGCTTGCGAACACTCGCTCCCGACAACCGTGGTTTCCTTGCCTGACGCCTGACAAGCACCTACGTCCGCTTCGAGCGACGTCCTCGGAAGGCCCGCCCAAGCACCTGGGAAGAAAGCCAAAGAGAAATCCGTGCACCCCCTCGGCTAATGCACGACTTGCTGTATACGTCCTTATCATGCTTTACAGTATACACGTCCGGGCCCAGTCACGCTCCTGGGGAACGAAGCATGTAATATTAAAAAAACGGGGGTCGCATCTTATCAGATGCAAAGACGCACAACACGCTTCTGTGACGCCTCGGGCTCGAACCTCTGGCACAGTGCGAAAATACCCACACCGAGTCCCATGCGGAGTCGCGGTAGAAGAAAGCTCAATACCAATCAGCGCCGTCTTCGAATCCTGGCCTGGTCTCGTCCACCTGAGCTGGGTGACGTCCGCGGGAGGAATTCACTCGACTAGTACTTGCTGTGGCTGCTGCTGGGACGCTTTTAGAGCACATCATTGTGAAAAAGTTTATCGTTGGCTTTATCGCTAGCCAATTGTATGTCTGAAAGGCAAAAGCCAATGGAACATGAACTTGTTCTTCGCAGTGTGACATTACCAGGAGTAACATGTTATGGGTCCAAGACCCCGTGACGGCAGAAGAGATGGTGGCGTCTCGTGACCCGGAGAAAACGCGTCGCAGCGCGTCACATCTTTACTTTCCTCCCACTCATCCATCATGCCCGCAACTCGAAGAAACACCAAACGAACGCAATCCGTGGACGATGACGTCGCCAGCCTATTCGCATCGTCGCAGCCCACGGGCGAGGACCCAGACAACGCCGATTCAGAGTACGTAGCATCATCACCATGCAGCAGCGATCCGTGGCCTTCGGCGACGCGCAAGGCAAAATTGACGCGCATACACCCAGCATGGCACAGGCAGCCGCCGAGGAGTTCAGAGGTAACCATTCAACTGAGCCGATAACTTTGCCCTCGTCTCTAAATCGTCTTGCGATCATCGTAATCATAGCGACCTGGCAAAAGCACATGAAGGAAAAGGAGGCGCGCCTGCAGCAGGCGCTGCAAAAAGAAGTCGACAAATACGTACGTATACCCCTTGCAAAGCCGCGCATATAGTCATCGAACTTTACTTTGTTCGAACGCTGCACGCCGGCGCCCAGCTCGACAAAAAGAGGCAGGAGCGTGACAATGTTCTCAAAGAAATGTACGTCCGAGGAAAATCAAATTCACGGCTGTCCACGTCTATCGCATCCCCGAAAATCCAGAATCGGAGATTTCACGCTTGCGGCAACCCAACTTGATCTTTTTTTTTTCTTGTTCTTCTTTCATTTACAGAGAAGCGATATACGACGCGTTCCTGACGCAATATGCAATTCTGGAAGACGACGTCCGCAGAATTCTCGTCGACATCAGTGAGAAGCAGAATGCGCTGCTGGTACGCGGGCTTCCAGCCACGTGTTTTTTTTGAATTCACTATACGGGCGGTCGGAGACTTACATATTTTTCCAACAGATACTGGTAGCAGAGAGGCAGGCCGCAGCCCACGAACGCGCCGCTGAGCTCGAGAAAGGGCAGCTCGAGGGAATGACGCGCCTCAAAACGGCCTCTCAGGGTACGTTCCACCGGGCCTATGGCCTCTTACTGCGCTGCTTATCAGAGGTCCATACTTGCACGCAAACACGGCTCCATACCATGCCACCTGCCTTGACGACGCCACAGAGCTCGGCTCCCTGGAAGACCAGCTATCGGGGTAGAAAACCGTCTGATCAGCCCACCCAAGAAGCACCTCGGAATCTCGATAAGCAGATCAAAACCGAAGCCAGCCTCCAAAGGTAGCTTCGCCGACGCAATGAAATTCGGACGTTCCGTACCTTGACAGCGCCCCGGGCTTCTGGTGCTCGCTTCGCGCACATTAATACCCCTTTCGTCCGCTGCCTGTGCCCGTATCCAGCCCCACTGCGGCATAATGCATTACGTTGTATGGCAATCCGCGCGTCGATCATGTCCTGTCAAGGGGATCAAAGATGAGTACTGAGTACCGCACCGAGCCTGTGGGCACGAACCATGACGCAGATTCGGATGCGGGCCAGATCCCAAGGCCGAATGCGTCCGGACGCGTTGTATGTGGCCCTGGCGAGCGGATGGGCGGCTCGCACGTCCCCAGCCGAGTCGCTTGCGGGGTCAGAGAGTGGGCGCACAGCAGTCGCGTCTGAGTGTGCACTGGTGATTCAAGGCGTACGTCGACGCTCGGAGGTACCAGTGGCGGCGAACAACATGCAGCGTCGAGGCGCCGGTGAATACGACAAAGCGAGCGCGAAGCGAAGGGATCGACGGCGGACGTGCCTGTCCAAACAAACAATGTATCGTCGACTAAGACCGCACACGATGTGCTCATCTACGGGCACAGGCGACGGCACCAAGTACTGCAGGTGCTCGTCGGGGCATCAAAACGACGACGACAATGACGACACCTATTTGCCCCGCCATCCAAAGCTGAGGCGGGCGGCACGGCGTGAGATCCGCCTGACGCAGCCCAGGCTGAAGTTGAAGCCGTTGAAGTGAGGACGACAACGCGCCGCACGTCTGGGCCCCTGCCCGCAGGCGATTTGCTATGCATATGCATGGGCCACCCGACAGCAACAATGCGCGTCGCCACAACACATAAGCGCCCATACCGTGACCGCGCATATGCATGTCGACTGACACTCGAAACAGTCACATGCAGCCGTACCGAGAAGCTCGGGGCGTCAGGAACGACGTTAACGAGTGCCTATGCCGTGCACAGGGTGGCGCGGACTCGGAGAGCCGCATCGCTGATGAGTTCGCTGCGGCGCGCCAAGGTGAGTAGCCGGCGGTCCAATATGCTTCCGCATTAAGCGGACAGCCCGAACGCAAACAGCGCACGCACAAGCCACGACGTCGAGCCCCATCGAACATGTCTAAAACGCCCGCGAACGTTGACGACGACCGGGTCAGCCTGAACCCCCGTCGCAATTGGCCAGGCCAAGGAAGTACTGCGAATCTGCGATCGCACGTGGGACACCCAAGCTGTCGATCGGGGCAAGTGTCCTATTGCATATTGCATATTGACTCTCGGAGACTACTCTATGCATTCACTCGATGAAACAACCAGCAGGCTGATCGGCGGCTATGTCGTCCAGTATAGGCCAGTCCTCCGTCATAATTTTAATCTCGTTTCGCATCGTGACCTCCGACGCTCACCCGCGGCGGTGCCCGCACTCGCAACTAGTTAATATCACTGTAACGCCAACATCAAGAGACCCATGCACCCGGAGTATGACAATGCTGTATACAACCGGGCTCACCGACGCGCCGCGCCCTTACTGCAAGCAAATACGAACCCTTGCGAAAAAGAAAACGCGCGCACACAAAAGGGGTAACACGCCCGAATTTGTAGCGTCCATCCAACATACCGCGTTTGCGCGACTCTATCGTCTATCTCTGTGACACGCTGATGCCAGAGACAGATGCCAGAGTGTTCCAGGGGCCCCCCGCAACAGACGCAGACCGTGCGCCGTCCTATCGTGTCGCCTCCATTGGCCGATCTGCCATGCGAAGATGCACTGCGATACGGTACGACGATGCGATTGGCGTGCCCATACACGCACGCACGCACATCGTGCACACATGGAACAGGGGGAAACGGCAGTCGTTGCAGGGCGCGCTAAGTAACTTTGGTCTGATGCGAGAGAGACGGATTCGGTGCCGGCGGTGCACCGGTGGACCTGAGTAGAGTGATGGGGCCAAACTTTCTCTGTATTATCTTAACGCTAGGACAAGAACGAGCTAGACAGGGGGGATGCTAATTTTCAAAGAGCCTAAGGCTAAGGCTAGGCGTAAATGACGAGAGCCTTATCAGCAATACGCCATTCGGCCTTGGCAGTGTCCACGGCGAAGTCGCGCGCACGTTTGAGGCTCAGCGCGCTCTCGGCGGAGGATGGCTGATTGCCCAGTGTCGCGTCGGGCGCGTCGAGGTTGAGATCGAGCGCATACGTTTCGGGGATGTGGAGCAGGATGCGGCGCGGCTCGAGATCGAGGGTCGCGCTAGCCACAAGGGCGCGCGTCTATTTTAGCGCATGCATAGCACGTCGATGGAATTGTGGATGAATAATAGACTAATAACGATACATTACTACTCACCAAACGAGGCACAGATATGGCGATGCGTATTTGGTTGCCCGAGGGGGACCAAGTGAAGGATGGTGTCTGGAGCGAGGCGCTACCCGTAGCGTTCACATTAGAGCTAGCGTCCGAGGCCGGTGTGCTAGCGGGTTTCTTTAGCGCACTCTTGAGCGATTGGCTGGCGGTGGACCTGACGACGGGTGGGACGGTGACTTCCTGGATTAGATCGTTCTCTTTGCGGTGGTTGGGGTGCCCGGGCGGGAAGAGGGCAGCAGGGACTTGGATCTGACGGGCGAGGGGTTTCCCCTTGGAGGCGATATTGGGAGTGCTAATTTGGCGAGATAGCTGGAGCCCAGTCTGTGCTTCGATGCGCTGGAATGCAAGCTCTGGGATAGGCCATTATTAGACGAGTGTATGGAGACAAGAGCTGGAGTGGACGAACCGATGAGGAAGGTCTTGAATTGAGGGTCCTTGAGGGAGCGGGACTTTAGGGAAGAGTTGAAGACGGCGTCAAAGACGAGCGAGGGCTGTCCAGCTGTGCGATGGGGTCGCGAGGAGGAACAGACCAAGATGAGTGATGTCCATTCACATCGGAGTGAGGAGAGGCGAGGTACACTAACCTTTGTCCTTGTCCTCGTGGGGATCTGATACGACTACGGGCACAAACCAATCCTGGTCTGCATTGTGGCCCTGTATTGCGCGCTGGAGGGCGTCGTGGGATGCGTCTGGGGGCGGGGGAACGTTCTTGTCCCAGGCAACATTGACGAAAATCTTGCGGTCTTTCGGAATAGATTGATTGTTGAATTGGAGTTCTGTCTGGTGTGTGGATTTGGACTTGACACAGAAAGCCGAGACGGGGCAGAGGTCGAGTGTGACATGGGCCATATTGGAAATTAGGGAATTGGGCCGGGATGCCTAGTTGGGATTGTGTGACGGATATCCAAAACGGGGAAAGAAGGGCAAGTAGACCGTAACTGATTTCGGTTCGTCCCACAGCCAGACTCTGAATCTGAATCATCTCCTCCTCTCCACTAAAAAATTCTTATATAAGATCACCTCCATCTGCCTTTCCTTCCTCACTACCAACCTCTCCTCCTCACACCTCTCCTACAAACACACCTCTTCTACTCTCTGTACCACTCTATCTCCTGTACAATGTCTGCTGCCAGCTCCCTCTCCCCCTACAACGTCACCCCCGTCCCCGACACCGACGATGACAAGCTCATGCAAAAGTACATCCAGGACAGGCGTGTCATTGGTGTACGTGACTCGACCCAGTACGACCCCGAGATGCTTACATTTCCTTTTCTAGTACGACCCCCTGATCCAGCCCGCTCTCCTCCGCCACGAGATCACCCCCACCGAGGCCTCCCAGCTCACCATCGCCTCTGCCCGCTACAACTCGGCACGCGTTCTCGCAGGCCAGGATGACCGTGTCATCGTCATCGTCGGCCCCTGCTCTATCCACTCTCCCGAGCAGGCTGTCGAGTACGCCAAGCTCCTCAAGGCCAAGATGCCCAACTGGAACAACCTTCTCATCATCATGAGGGCCTACTTGTGCGTTCTTTCACTCATCTTCACTCAACAAGCTGTGTCCTAATCATCTCTTCTCTTACAGCGAAGTAAGTGTTCTGATATCAACTATCAGTTCCTTGTAGAGCGGCAATTCAACCTGCTCCTATTAACAGAAACCCCGGACCACCGTTGGCTGGAAGGGCCTCATCAACGACCCCGACATTGATGGTTCCTTCAACATCAACAAGGGTATCCGCATCGCCCGTCAGCTCCTTTGCGACCTCACCGATCTCGGTGTTCCCGTCGGCTCTGAGCTCCTCGATACCATCTCGCCTCAGTACATTGCCGATCGTAAGCTTCTGTCGATCATTTCATTTAACCCCGTCCCTGACTCGTGCCTCGCCTTCCAGTCATCTCCTGGGGTGCCATCGGTGCTCGTACCACCGAGTCCCAGCTCCACCGTGAGCTCGCATCCGGTGTCTCCTTCCCCATCGGCTTCAAGAACGGCACGGACGGCAGCGTCGGCGTTGCCATCGACGCTATGCGCTCGTCCTCCAACCCGCACGCCTTCATGGGTGTCACCGAGCAGGGTCTCGCCGCGATCGTCAAGACCCGCGGCAACCAGGACGTACACGTCATCCTCCGCGGCGGCTCCAAGGGCCCCAACTTCGCCTCTGAGCACGTCGTCGCGGCCGCTTCCGCCATCGAGAAGGCCCGCCCGCACCACCACGCGAGCGTCATGGTCGACTGCAGCCGTGAGTCTCTCTTACCCCCTGCGGTCACCGGAGCCTTTAGCTAACCGCATTCAACTCTTTTCCGCAGACGGTAACTCGCAGAAGAACCACAACAACCAGCCCAAGGTCGTCGACGACATCTGCAGCCAGCTCGCCGCGGGCGACCGCAGCATCACCGGTGTCATGATCGAGTCGAACCACAACGAGGGCCGCCAGGACGTGCCCGCCGAGGGCCCCTCAGCTCTCAAGTACGGTGTCTCGATCACCGATGCCTGTGTCGACTGGGAGACCACTATCGGCATGCTCGACCGCCTCAACGACGCTGTCGCTGAGCGCCGCAACACGCTCATGGAGCAGGCCCTCAAGAAGCCCGCCGGCTTCCAGCGCGCATAAGCCTCTCCAGGCTCCCGGTCGTTTGGGGCCGGGCGCGCGGTGGGGGTTCGTTCCCGGGTCGATTCTTCATTGTCCTAATTCTTCATGCACGCGCATCACGGACACTGCAGGATCTGTGTACATCTTCTATCTCTCCCTCTCCCTCCCTCTCTACTATTATTCCGTGCATCTGGCTCTGCTGTCAGGCCATACCACTCTGTAGAATTAGCGACTCTAGATATTCTTAAATCTCGTTTTTCCTTTCTCTTTATTTTTTTATTCTCTCATTTTTTCATTTATTGCAATCCCAACCACGCATATGTCAACACCATACACATCTCCCATTTGTCGCTAGTACCACATACAATAAATTCGGAGCTGTCTTCGAACTCATCGATATTTGTGTGAAGAGCTTTGTGAATGACTCCTGGCTTTCTCTGCAAGCGAGCAGCTAAACTTGGCCTGGAGCATATCGCTCGCGAAGCTATTAGCTCCAAGGTTCACCGATGCATGCACTCAGCGAGAGAAAAGGGGTTGCGAAAGCCTACTGCGACCAGCGACTTGAAAGGGCGCAATCTATCTTTGGAGTCTCCACATATATCAGACACATGCAGCAGCCTTGGCGAAGGTTTCCCGAGGAACTCGAAGCTTTCTTCGGAAGATAGAGTGCAAGGAACTCCTGAAGTGAATCAGAAGACAACTTTGGAACTTGCACTGTAACATAAATAGCAACAGCGAAATAGTAAATAGCATTGGGCGTGCCTTGGAGCTCAGACTCGGATTCGGATTCGATACTCGGGTGCATAGCTCGGGGAATTCTACATTGCATACGACCGCTTTTATTTTGTTCTTTCGAAGCTGGCGCTCGAGGAAAAATCTCCCAGGGCACATCGCGCGTTTATGTGAACAAAGTGCCATCTGCGTCTACATTGTATACATTGTGGCGCCGAATTCGAATAAAGGCGCGACACACTTGTGGATAAATATGGGCTCATGACTCCAGCGCAGCGGCCATGCTCGAAGGCGCCAATCGCGGCGCTTTTGTGTGTGCACAAACGAGATACTACCTCCTCGGTTCAATGCGCTCGAACTTTCGAGGGGGTGCGTTCGCGAGCCAGCGGTATGGAGATATTTCATTGATAGCCAATACAGTCGCTGCGAGCGTCGGTGCATCATGGTAAACGTTCGTGACGAGCCAGCGGTACTTCGCCCGAGGGTTTATGCTAATATTGCATGGCGTGTAATGCAGCGAATGATACAGGAGAAAGGAGAAAACGGTGCTCTGCTCTCCGTCTACAGCAAGAGCCACAGAAAAATAAATGCGCAATCCGCCTATGAGAGTCCTTGCCAAGCCTCGATCACGTCCTCGAGCGAAGTCACAGACCAGCCCGCGCCGAACGTCGTCGTCATCTTTGTGCCCGTGCCGTGCAGCACCTCCCGGATCCCGTCGTCCAGCAACTTCACGTCCCCGGTCCCGTTCGGCGCGGGCCCGCCCACGCACTGCGCGTGCGCGTCCTGCGCGAGCTGCTTCAGGATCACCAGCAGCGACGACGCCGGCACCCCGTTGCGCAGCAGGTACCACGCGAGCGTCTGCGTCACCCAGCGCTCGTCCTCGTTCGCGACCGCGACCGCGGGCGAGCCGTCGATGCTTTTTGCGCACACGGCGATGGCTTCCCCGCGGGCGTACTGCTTCACGGCGGTCATGAACCGCTGGTCGGTCCGCGCGGCCTCGAGTCGCCCGTCAAGCTCCTGCAAGACACCGAGCGCGGTCGTCTCCCTGATCAGCGGCTGACGGCGGTTGTTCTCCTCCTTCCCGCTGAACAGATGATCGAACACGCGGCAGTTGTAAAAGTCGGCTGCGAAACGCAGGTCCTGCAGTCGGAGGTGGAAGAAGCGGTGTGTGGGAGACTGCATGCGGTACTGGAAGAGCGTGAGGTGCGACTGCAGCGTCTCGATCTTATCTTGCAGGATGCTATCGAGAAGGGCGGCGTGGCAGTAGTTGTGGAATATTCGTTCTTCGCGCGTCTGCCCATCTTCGCGTGAGAACCAGTCGGCGAACGCCAGGAAGAGCACGTCGTTTGAGAACGAGGAGATGAAGTGCGTGAGGTCGCTCGCCGGATGCGCTTTCACGTCCGTCACTTGAGGAAAGTCGAGCGTGGCAGCATCTCCAGCAGAGGAGCCGGAGCGAACGAACAGACTCCGGCTCCCCTTGGGGTCTTCCGTGTAGCTCAGGAATGCCGTACGCCGCTTCACGAACAGCGTTTGCGTCTCCAACAAGTTCTTGCGGTGCTGAGGAATATGCGCCACATCGACCAAAAACGGCCAGTATCTCGGTGTATCGACCTTGATGGCAAACAGTCGATCGAGATCTGGCAACAAAGTCGGTGATATGAGCTGATACGTCCCTTCGGTTCCCGTGACCTTGAGAGGGAGATACACGGCCTCTTCAGTGTTGACGTCTCGGGCAAGCAAGCAGCGCGGTTCGACAGCCAATACCCACAGGTGCCTTAGCGCCTGGAGGTAGCTCTTGTTGTCCGAGGATACGTGATGGAACCGAGGGAAAAATGCGACGACCATGGAAGCGATTGCTCCGTTGGAAGTACCGAGCGTATAGCGTCCACCGCCCAAGAAGAGAAGACCCATGGACAGGTGAGTCGCGACGTGCACACCATACCGGAAAGCTTGATGATACATGCCATAAGCATATCTCAGCCTCCTGAAGCATGAGATCTCGCCGGTGCCAGCCATCACCATGCAAAGAGCAATGGAGATGAGGTTCAACCCCTCTCGGACCGACGCTCGCTTGATCTTATGATCAAATGCTGGACCTAAAAAATCTCATTAATTGTGAGGCAGTTGATTTTTGTACCGAACCGCTTACTGTTGGCATACACAAACCGACTGGCAGTGTCAAAGTAATGCAAAATCACCGCATATGCTTCATGACGGGCTGTACCCGCAAACTTTAGACCGATGGCGAAACAGCACGCAGACACAATGTTCCAATACGCAAGCTCCATAGCGTCATCACTTGCTTTGGCCCCGGATTCGGCGACACTCTCCTTGATAGACAGAGTAATCGTAGCTGGGGTCTGAGAAGAAATCCAGTCGTGAGACGGCGATATGCCGTCCCACATAATGAGACAGCGAGCGAGCGTTCGCATCAGCTGGAAGCTCGGTTGTATCCGATTGAGCTCCAGCGCTGTATCAGGAACCGCGAGCATATCGGCTACGTCGCGCCTCTCGGTCTTCAGGTACATGAGTCCCAAGGCGATAGTGGCTGCTGGGGACGTGATGTTGACGTCAAAAGAGGGCGCTCGAGACTGTCGCATCCTATGGACACCTTCCCCGTGAATGAGAGTCCGGAGGCGATTCATGAACGCAAGATCTGCAGGCACGGATGAACCCTGCCCCAGCATCGTCATACCGAACGCCAAGCCGGCCGCATATGTGTACGCCTCTCGGTGCTCGTTGCTCAGATCGGGCTGCACAAGATCTTGCCTGCTGATCTGGTTCAGGCAAACCTCTGCCATCCGCCGATTTTTGGTGCCGAGATAAAGCAGACCCACGCCAGCCAAGCCTGCAGCCTGCGTCATGAGAGAAACATTCAGGTCCACAGATTGAGTGGGCAAGAGTGCAGGAGTATGGACTGCAAGAAGCTTTGTGACATGGCGGTTGCCGGTCCCAACATTAGCAGCTGATAGGCCCAGCAGTACACCAATGGAGGTCAAGTCGTGCTTGGGCGTGAGGTATCCAAACGTATGCCATGTGAGCATCTCCTTGAGGTGTCCTGTAAGTCCGAGGGCGTACAAAAAGCCGGCATGTTCGGGTGTGAGCTCGGAAGGCTTGTTGAAGGCGATCCAAGAGCTTTCCACACCCTTTGCCTTCGGAGAAATTCTCAAGCCTGCTGCGACACCGTTGTGGAACTCGCCCCAATTGGTGCAATCTGTAGGAATTTTGCCGGGCTCGGGAACCGCGATAATGTTGAGGGGTTGTACTCGGACCGAAAAGTCGAGCTTAGGAATGGAGTAAGCTTCACGAGTCACGTTCAGAACCGAGCCATATGTGAACATTGCACGGCCATATGGCAAAGCCAGCGTCCGCTCCGCAATCCGAACGACTTGCATCTGTTGTTCCTTTGCTTGGTCATGTTCACTGCAAGAAGTCAGTTGAGAAAATTCCGAGGTTCTGCAGATATGACTCACTTGAGGTCGGCGCGCTCAAAAATGCGCACGGACGGAGGGCTCGACGAACAGAACATCCGCGCCGCTTCGTCGAGTCTCCTATCTTGGCCGAACCGAATGTCGGTGAAGCCCTCCTTCTCGAGCTCAACTCCAGTGACTGCATCAACCTCGCCAACGCCGGCTGATATAGCTTGTGAAACAAGCTGGCCCACTGTCGTACGCTTACGCGTGTTCTGGGCGTCGTAAACCGTGAATGGAGGGCAAAAACTAATTAGTAAAATTTCTTACCGCATAATTTTCCGCCGAAGGGAAGTGCTTGTTGTTCCGATCCAGGCGCATGGAGGTCTGGCCAATGTTGTACGATAGATCACGACGACCAACGAGTTCGTAATGGTCGGCGTCCCAGCTGTTAGGAGGACAAAGTTGACAGGTGCGAACAGCTTCTCTGAGGGGAGCAGCAACGCCCAGCGGAAGGCGGCTAAGGAACTTCTCTGCGCGCTGCGCCGACCCGTGCCGACTGATCAGTATCTCTACGGCTCTTTCAGCGCGTTTCTGCGTGGATCCGCTCTTCAATTCAGCCAACGACGAGAACGTCGCGATTAAATGTTGCAGATTCGGGAGACTTTCAACCAGCCCAAAGGCGTACGACGGTTTGACGCCCAAAGAGGTCGCGATGTCCTGGAGAGAAAAGACAGGAAACTTCTCTGGAGTACCTATCCTGCCGTATAGCACCCCGCACATATCTGGGGCGACGACTGGAATGCGGTCATCCAAGTACTGAGTTGCTGTTTGACGTCAGCACATATATCCAAAAGGCTGATTACTTTAGAAACTTACAAGTAGTGAGAGGAGCTGTCCAATGGGTTGGTATAGTCGGGCACAGTCTCTTCCAGTAGTCCGCCCACTCTGGCCTTATGATGTGCGCCAAATTGCATATGAGAGGTGCAAGATGGCAAAGCGTATCATGCTGGTGAATATCCATCCGTAGGTCCTCGGCAACCATATGTAGTGCGTAAAGGACACCCGCCAGTAGTGACTGCGTCGCTGGAGTCGGCGCAGAAGAAAATTCCCAATGGCTGTTCAACGAATTTGGTGGAGTCGGCATCTTCAGCTTGGATAAAGCGGGGTCATCGCGAAAATGAGCAATGGAGGGTGATTGCGATAGTTTATTCCAAAGGTCAACACCAGGCGCAGACGGTGAGCCGGAGTTGATGCGGAATTCACTGGCGAGCGAGCTGCACAGAGTTTGAAGCTCCATCCGTGAATCCGTGCGGTAGTGCCGTTGCGACCATAATTGAAGGAAGCGGTGATGGAGACTAAACATGACTTCCGATGGTAGCATGAAGGAAAGGGCTTGTAATATCCTTCTAACCAGTTCATCCTTCGGAATAAAATTGAGTGATGCTCTGCGAGCTGTGCCGTCGCCCGCAGCAAGAGTTACAGAGGATACACAGACGTCCTTCGCTGTGGTTATTGAGGCTATGGTTCCAGCTAAGATTGCGACGGGAGTTGCTGATGCCTTGGGGAAGCGATGGTTTACTGGCAGTACGTTGAGTCCATGGGTGTAGATGACGGTCTGTCCACTAGGGTTGATAGCTAACATATCCCAGGAGTTATGTCGAGTGGCTAGCACAGATGCCACCGAATTCACGCTCAACGAAATAGTGTACTCAGCTCGAAGCGTTGATCGGACCTCTTCGCGCAGGACCGAGAACACCAGCCCCAGCCCCGGGAATGGACATACACACACCGAAGTCCGGGTCGATGCGCCGTCAAAACGCTGATCAAAAGCGGCGACAGACATCTGCGAGCAATCAAGCGGTCTGAAGGGAAAAAGATAGAATATATTCGTATAAGCCTCCCCTCATACTGAAGGCCGGAACGTACTGTGTGCCATCTACCTTGTACGTACACAGGCTCTGCATCCAATATGCCGCCTTCATGCGCGAATGCTCGATGAGCGTGAGCGCGTCGTCTTGGGCATGCGGCCCAAGGGCCATCTTATCCAAGGTGAAGCTTAGCTCCGTGCGTGCCACAGAGGCCTTGCGTCCTACCGGTTGATGTGGGCCCGCTCTAAGATCACCATACGTATCTTCCTCGAGGATAGAATCGTGTTGCGAGGCCGCGCGTGGGCGCTGACCAAGGTTGCCTTCGGCTGTCATGGCAGACGACTGCCGGCGATTCCCTGGCATGGACAGCCGCTGCTTGCGAGAGTTATTGCGTTCGATGCCTCGATTAGGATCTTGAGGAAGGGGAACGGCATTAGGCTTTATGTATGCATACCGCCAGATCGTGAGTTCACGTTCATCGCTGTTGAGCGTAACGACAAGGCTGTCTTCGGCATGTGGAAGATGCGAAGATACCCAAATGACATCCTCTTTTGCAGGGACAGATGTAAGAGGCTGAGCAAATTCCCTGCGCTCTTCCTCTAGATAAGGCGCCACGCCAAGGTATCCACCCGCGATGCTTCCGGTTATGCCGATAGTGGACGGTTCCGCGAGTGGGTTGGCAATGGAGAAGATTGTTGGCAAAAGTGGCTCGCCAGTCGCGGCTGCCTCCTCGATCTCGTTTGGTTCAAATGTACGTTGTACAAGGACACCGTGAGGATGGAGAGGCCAGGCACGGCGAACAAGGAAGGGGAGGGAAAAGGTGTATTCGGCACCATCTTCGAGGTAGATGCGCCCAATATTCCGCAGGAATATATAAACACCGCGAACAAGTGTGTGCTGTTCTTCGAGCTTCAATTCCGGCGAGACAGTGGCAAAGGGACCAAAAAGAGGCGCCTTGGGGACAGTTTCGTCTCCGCGAGACTGAGATTGAGAGGTGGGATTGGAAGAGGTGTAGTGCGCACTTCCGTGTGCGTGCCCCTCGTGCTTGGTGACGCTCTGCTCGAGTTTTGCAATGCATGCGTACCGGATTGTCTGATTATCATCACCAAAGTCCCACTTTCGCTTCACGACCCCTCCACGACTGAGTATGACGATATGGTCATTCCACGCCAGCTCGTCCTCCACCCACGAATCAGAGTTGGCATCGTCAAAGAGAGGGTAGTATGCGTTGTTGGTCGTTTGGTTTCCTGAACTAGAGAGGGTAGCTCGAATGGCCTTGAGCAAGTCAGACTCTCCTGGGGAACTGCCTGGATTAGTTGACGATTTGGTGAGGAAGTCGAGAGCAGCGGAGTGAGGCGGTCCGTGAGACGGAATAGAAACTGAGTTTATCATGGAAGTCATTAATCCTGTCGTAATAGAGGTTGGTTCAAGAGACTTTAGCGCTGCATAACGGTGTGCGAGTAGCACCTAGTGACACCAAAGAGAGGGCATTTGAACGCGTAGGAAAGGACGCGCTCTTTGCGTTTATTCGGATTTTCGCGTCGACTTAGACCACTCATTCGAACATGTTTGAAAATCCGTAAATAATATTCAGGAAAAATGAGAACGCAACGACAGTTTAGCAAATAAACGACAGCAAAGAGGAAAAAAAACGACAACATTTTCAATCATACAGCTCTGCGAAATTCCTGTAAACCTCCAATCCCAGCATCCCCATACCTTCCCCGCCTCCCTCATCACCACCTTCGCCACCTTCGCCATCCGCCCCCGTCCTCCCAATCAGAGCAGCCTCCTCCTCAGGCATATTATTCCTCCTGAACCTCGCAATCATCTGCAGACGATTGCGCCAGTTCGTGATAGCCTCCACCGCAACCGTGTCGCGCTCCGTGCGCATGAAAACACCAGCAAACCAGTCCGCGAGCATGCTCAGTTGCCGTACGAGCAGTGGCAGTTGTTCGTCGCTGATAAGCTTGAAATCACCGATAGGCGTAAACTCGCGCATGCCTGGCGCCTGCTGCACGCTAACTTTGAAGTACTCGCGCTGGTGGGCCAGCTCGCCAGGGCCGAGTGTAGGAGGGGGAAGTGGGATCGGAGGTGGAGGTGTAGGGGATGGGGTTGTGCTCAGCTCTGCCTCATCCTCCGTAGCTGCCTCTGTCTCCCCGGTTTCTGTCTCCACCTCGGCGACAAGGGTTCCAGCATCCGTCTCTTCGACCTCAGAAGCCTCTTGTGCCTCTGGCTCTGTTTCGATGTCTGCTTCCTGTTCAGCAGTTGAGTCTGGTGCAATTTCTTCTGCTTCATCGTCTGCGTCCGCTCCCTCGTCAACCACCTCTTCCAAGTCTGCTTCTGGGGCTGATTCGAGGCCAGCATCACCAACTGGCTCTGACTCGGTTTCGACGACTGCTTCTTCCTCTGCTTCAGGTTCTACGTCCGCGATGGGTTCTGGCTCTGGTTCAGCATCTCCGTCCGTTTCAGCGTCGTTCGCTTCTGGATCTGCTTCAACAGCACTCTCCGGCTCTGCTTTAGCTACGCCCTCTCCTTCAACGCCGACCTCGACGTCCCCGCCAGCCTCCTCTACCGATTCCGAAAGAGGAGAATCGGACCGAAGCGTGTGCGGCTCAATCACGATATTGACGAACTGGAACTGAGTCGCAAGCGTATCGAACCTATACGGCTCGCCCGAGTCGTTCCAGACGATGCGCACGTAGTCGTTTCCAATGTGCCGCTTCTTGTTTACACAGTGCTCGTCTCCCTCGCGCGAGGGCATCATCGTCGCTGTGTGATAGAGAATCTGACCGATGTCATCCCCCCACGCGTACGCGTACTCGCCGTCCTCGTCCGGATCGAGGCCACCCGTGTAAACATCCGTCGGGGAACGGAGATTGATGAGTCGGCCCATCCCGGAGAGAAAGGTTGTGTACGCGGAGGAGCCTGAGGTATTACGGAGAATTTCTTGCTCGGTGGTCTGGCCGGGTGCGACGTACATGATCCCGACCTTGTGTGTGTCGATGACAGGAACTCGATCGAGGTTCCCAATGAACCGGCGCAGTGTAGATGGTTCGATGACGCCTTGGGAAGGGAAATTGAAGGTAGCTGGGTGAGGGGATAATTGCAGAGCAAAATATGACGGGTTGAGCGGCGGTACAGGATCTTTCTTCTCTGCATCTGGTTCTTGCTCTGGAGTCACATCAGAAGGCTCCTAAACATACAATGAGTCAAATGTCAGTAAACACAAAATATTACTCACAGTTCCCTCCGCTTCTGGTTCTGCCTGAGGTTCAGTTTCCGACTGCTCGCCCTCTCCATCTTCCAATATAGTATCAGATTGCTCTTCATTTCCTTCCTCATCTTCCTCGGCGGGTGGCTTCTCAAGCCGACACGTAAACTTGGTAAACCCAGACGGCCTTCTCGACAGCACCTCCACCCAGCCCTCCCGCTCCAGCGTCCGCACCGTCATAACCGAGTTCCCAATCAACCACGTCGTCTCGCTCACCGACGGCTCCGCCGGCGCACGCAGCGCGCTCGGGTTCATCACCATATCCTCGAGCACCGCGCCCTCCGGCTTCGGCTTCGGCTCCGCGCTGACATACAAATACCGCGCGAGCCAGTCAAAGCACACCTCCGTCGGCTCGTCCACCGTCCGGCGTCCCTCGTTCGCGAGCAGCAGCTGGCGCGCGATGTACGGGATGTGCCGCGGCCGGTCGGGCGGCTTCACGGAGAGGAACCAGATGTACACCACGTAGAAGCAGATCATGCGCACGTACTGCGAGAGCGCCCACGAGATCGTCGGGTGGTCGCCGAGCCGGTTGTGGTGCTGGAGGTACTGCAGCGCAACGCCGAATACCATCTTTACATCATCCTCGCGCAGGTTTGTCTGTAAATCGGCCAGAGAGCCGACGATGGAGAGGAAGTTGAGGATATGGACTGCCATGTCTGGGTTGGACATGATCTGGGAAAGCGTCTCGAGGATGGCGGGCAGGGATTTTTTCAGAGAGGCGGTGAGCTCGTATGCGCACAGGGTCAGCGCGTGCAGGCAGCAGATAATAGTCGACGGGGTGCCGTTCAATCCTTCGCGGAAGACATCGACAAGCGCATGCCGCAGCGGAGTCTCGAAACAGATCTTGTAGCTGACGAGGACAGTGAGGGAATGAAACACGAGACCATGAGCGTCCCGAGCTTTGAGTCCGGGAGGCCAGCGATCGATGTTCGTGCCAAGTTCTCCGGAGACGACGCCCGTCGAAAGGAACGTCGCAAGCTTCGTCATGATCACCTTGCTCCTTGGACCACAAAAGAAATGCTTGTTCCCGAGATGCACCGGCAGGTGGCACAGCACATATGACACAATCTCCCAGTTTCTCTCTCTCTGGAGCACCGTGAGCAGCGCATCGAGGTACAAATCCGTCGCCGAGACACAAGGGGTCTCGCCTTCCGGGTCATACGAGACGAGACTCGAGCTTGGCGTGTCGCTAAGCACAGGAAACCGACACGTCTCTGGCACGGTCCACATCGTCCTCCTCACCTTCGTCACAGGCGTCCCAGACACTGGCGGCGATAATGGCATAGGAGCTCTCGACCGGCTCCTGCTCGATGCAGAATTAGAAGGCCGTCCGCGCCCTCTCGACGCCCGCCGCCCGTCCCGCTCTGCAGCGCCGCGTGTACGCGTTCGTAGCAGCCCAACCTCGTCCGAGGGCTCAGCCGAATGGCTCTTACTTTCCTCGTGGCCAGGTGGCGGAGGTGGCGGGGGAGGCGGCGGCACCCGCCCGATGAGCGACGCCAGCGTGCGCACGTGTCCGTCCACGTCGGGGTGCTTTTCCACGAAATACATCTGATGGGACTGAGTCGCTCTCAGCCGCATCAAGAACTGCAGCAGAGTGAGCTTCGCCCGCGCCGACCTCGAATCCACGAGCAGCTGCACGAGCAACTCGTAAATCTGATTAGCGGCGGTGCCGTGGTCCCTATCTTGAGAGTGGGCAGAGAATGCGAGATGCCCAAAAACAGAAATGAGGGCGATCATGGCGAGCGCCGGTCGGGGGAGTGGAGGTTCTGGCGGTGGTATCGGTGGGGCAATTTCGACGGGAGTCTCGATTTCCTCCTCTGGATGGGGAGCACTTTGCGACCGCGACCCCGTCAGCGAGGACAAAATCGACATGACCGAAGGCATCGCCGAGTCTTTTTCCTTTAGCACAGGCCGGAACTGACTGTGGTGCCTCGATAGTACGGGAGAACTAGCGGTGGATGTCCCAGTGGAAGAAGAGTACGATTGCGGCGACGCCGTGTCAGACGTCGACGTCGAATGGTTCCAATGGGCACTCGGCGGCGGCTCGACCTCCTCTTCCTCATCCGGTGAGCTCTCCACGGCAACATCAGCAAGCAGTTCGATGATATCTTGAGCGGATGCTGGTGCATCGGCATCTTCGGGGTCCTTTGCATACTTTTCCACTGTCAGAAAAACCACCTCGTCTCCGAGAATTCGCCATAAAACGCGACCATCGAGAGGGTCCTCAGGCACTTCGTGGTACCGTTTCTGACAAAAGTTAAACACCAGCTCAGCTAGTCGCATCCGATCTTCCGATGCTTCATGCAGACTATCGTACACCGTCTGCAGCGCCTGCACGATGGCAGCCCAAGTCTGAGGGTGCGTGCCGCTCGAGAAGGTGGCGTTGCCCAAGATGTCTTGCCACTGCTGCAGCCACTTTGGTGAGATCGGCGAGAGGTCACTCTGCTCCAGCATGATTGGCGGGACTTTGGCGCAATCCGCGTCCGTCAGATGGTCCGCAACGAACAGCATGGTCGTGGAAAGCGGCGGATTCAGCCGTATCGAGTGGTCACGGGAGAGGACCGCAGAGAACGTGCGCAAGATGGGTTTTTGCGCGGCAGACGGCTGAGCGATGGGCAGGATATACGGCGTGTCGTCTAAGGTGCTTACAAGACACACATCTTAGGACAAAACTGCGACAAAACACATAGTATAGATGAACGACTAACCTGAGAAGTTGCACATAGCTCGCCAGATTGCGCAGCGTCTGCCCCGCAATCGTCGCCTCGTCCTCGCCCATCTGCCTCACATTCTCCCGCTCATCAAACTCCTGCAGAATATCCTGCAGCGTCCCAGCAGCCTCCTCCACGATCCGCTCCCTGTCCATCTCGAAATTATGCGCCGCCTCCTCCTGCGGCTGAAACCTCAGCCACTCCTCGACCGAGCGCCAAAGCAGCTTCCCGAACCTCACCTCGTCCCACCCCTCGATCTCGTCGCGTGTCCACGCGCGGTGCATGAGCTCATCCCCGATGTCCATCTTCCCCCCCGGCGCACCCGAGTGCGTCGACTGCTCCGCGCTGACACGCGAGATGTACGCACGCGCCATGCGCGCGGTGAGCCGCTGGCGGATGAGATTGCGCAGCACGCGGTGCGCGCCGAACGCGACGACCGCGAGCGCGTGCAGGTCCTCGACGGGCCCATGTGGCGGGCTCAGGTGGCTCTTGAGCACGTTCATGCACGACGGCGCGTCCGGGCCCGAGAATAGCGAGAGTAGCCTCTTCTGGATCTTGCGTTCGATCGGTAGCGCCGCGGGCGCCTGCCCGGTGACGGTGAGGCGCGACAGCGGCGAGGCAAAGAACGCCTGTGCACGGAAGAGGATAGGGAGTATAGATTTGAGATAGCGTGGCGCGAGCACCTTGAGCTGGGACGATAGATGGTTGAGATAGAGCGTGACGGCCACTTCAGGTGGCTCTTTTGTCGGTGCCCCGCCCGCGTTTCCGAGTGACCGCAGAGATGGCGAGGACGGGGCCGTCCTGAGCAGCGGATACGGCGGCCTGAGCATCGCCGACGCACTATGCGGTGCAGCCACATGCTCGGGGGCCGTATGGTACGGCGTGGGCGTGCCTTGCGTCGAGCTCCCCGAGTCCGGGACTGGAGACACCGGCGGTGCATCCAGCGCCCGACATACCAAGTCAGCATACAGATCCAATACCTCCGCAGGCTCGTCCTCCGACTTGAACGTGTCCAACACACTCGCCAGCAAGCCCGCGATGCTCTCCACACTCGCCGCCCTCTCCGCCCTCTCTGCCGCCCTCTCCTCCACCACATAGCACTCAAACGCACCGCCCATCCACTGCACAAGCATCCTCACCAACACTCTCTCCGCCCCCGCAACCTCGATCCCATTCCTCACAAGCCCCCTCAGCGCCCTCAACCGCGCCTCGCCCACCTCAGGCGGCCCCCACTCCGCACTCCTCGCCAGCCCCGCGATGCGCGCATCCCGCTCCGCCGCACCCAGCCTCACATCCCCACGCTCGCAGTACGCAGCCAACACATCGTACCCCGCCGCTCGCAACGCCGGCGGCGCCTCCTGCACATCGCACAGCTGCGCCAGGACAGGATCGAGCACCGCCAGCTTCGGCAGCGGCATGTGCGTGCTCACCGCAGCCACGAGCGCCCGCGCGTTCGCCAGGCTATGCTCAACATCGGGCGACGAGAGGGACTCGACGAGGGCGTCGAACGGGAGGGCGGCGGCGGCGGGTGCGCCGAGTGCAGCGGGGGGTAGCGCTGGTGGGTTGGACGCAGCGGGGTCTGTGCGTTGCTTGCGCCAGCCGCTGAAGGCATTGGCGAACGCGGTGTTGGATCGTGGCCTCGATCGTGGCGGGTCGTCTGGATCATTTTGTGTTCGTGTCATTGACACTGGGCGCTGTCCCCTGTAGCGAGGAGATGTGTTAACGTCGGTTAGATCGCTGAACCATGCGAGTACGGCACGCATCTGCACTCACCGACGTCGTGTGGAATAACGTCGGGCGTATGAACGTTTTTATAGTAGTCGTGAATGTGGTCGTGAATGTAGAGAGTCGAGTCAACACATTGTCATGTCAGAACATGGCCGGGTGGGTCCTCACTCTCTTTTCCGTCATTATCACCCCTGACCGCATCAACCAATCACCCTCTTTCCTTCTGATCACAACAAACGCCTGAGAAATCACTCAATCCTGCCGAGCAATTATATATTCGTTACACTACAATAAAACGGAAACCTGCGCATCTGCTGTGTATGCAATTCTCGACAGAACAGTCCTAACGCAGGCCAGCCATGGGGAAAGTCATCATGCATCACCGAATAAACGTCCTCGGGTCATAAGGTCATCACATACAAGTAGAAGAAAGGAAAAATCCGTGCCATGCTGCCACACCCAGAAACACATTAACGCGGAGCGCCCGTGGCCGGCAACGACGTGCGTTTCGGGGTCGGCTTGTTGGTCTTCGAAAGGGGTGACCCGTGCCCATGAATAATATGGTTCCCTGCCCTACCCATCATCGCACGCGTCCCGCAATCCCTCGGCGCAAGCTCGCCACACTTCACATGAGTCCTGTTGCGCAAGCACAATCAGAAAACTCTCATCAGAACACAACAGAAACACCCAGAACGCACCGCAGTCCGCAATCATCACACTCCAAACACGGCTTCCACCCGATCCGCTTCATACAGATATCACACTTCTGTACCAACAGCCCGCTCGAGAAGAGCAGCTCCAGCGGGCTCCAGCTCGCCGCCTCCCCTTGCCGCGTCGGCGACGTCGACCTGCCCTTCGTCGTCGCAGCAGGCGACCCATGCCCGTTCATGCTCGTCCGCTTCGTCCCGGGACGCAGCAGGGTGAACCGATGCACAAGCGGAATATTCGTCATGATCGACGAAAAGCCCTTCGTAGCCGCCGTGGTAGACGCCGTCGACGATTCCGCCGTGCGGTACGTCTCGATCGACATGAGCGAGTTGGCCGTCGGAGGTGTCGTCGTCATGCTGCTCGTGGTCGTAGACGGAGGCGTGTTCGTCATCTGGGTGCCCTTGGACCCACTCCCGGTCGAGTCGGTAACAGGCGACTCTATCGATGAGCTACTATTCTCAATGACAGAGGGCTCTGTGGGGCGAGGAGGAGTCGAGGGCAGCGCCGTTCCGTTCGGGTTCTGCGCCGGCCGAATAGTCAGAATAGACGAGAGCGACGGCGGCTGAGTCTCCGTCGCGGTAGGGGTATGGTGTCCTCTGATGACAGTAGTGCTGTAATCCGACAGCTTGCTCGATGTACTGTTAATCAGCGGTTGTGCGCTGTTATCACTGGCATTATGCCCTGAACAACACGCCATCAGCTTGAACCAGCAACAAATACAACTACAACCCACCATCCGTAGCCTCGCTCCAGTCGCTGTTCAAATGCAAGCTAACATTCAGCCCAGAAATAGCCTCCATCAGCTCCTCCTCATCGCTGCTCTCCTCCCCACCCGACATCGCATTCTCAGCCGCATCCCCAATCTGCGACTGCCTTATATCCTTCCCAATACCCTGCCCAAAGCTCGGTATACGCGGCGCCGCCCTCGGGCGCTTCGACCCGCCGGCCGTCATGAACTTCACACTGCCCATATGCAGCTCCCCGGCCTCCGCGCGCATAAGCACCTCCGCCTCAATCTCCCGCAGCCGCTCCAGGATCTGCCGCGTGTCGGGGCGCTTCGCCGGGTCGATCGCGAGGCACTCAAGACACAGCTCGACGAACGCGGGCGGACAGTCCGGGTTCGCCAGGCGCCTCACCTCCTCCGCCTCGATCCCGAACGTCGGGCCCTGCCGCTTGAAGTGGTCGTCGTCCGCGAGCCGGCGCGCCGCGATCTCGCAGAAGATGACGCCGAGACTGAAGATGTCTGTGGGCAGATCAAACTCGTCGCCCATGAGGATCTCCGGGGACATGTACGAGTCCGTGCCGCAGAACGTGAGCCGCTTGCTCTCCTCCTCGTTGCGCGCTGCGATGCGGGCGAAGCCAAAATCGGTGATCTTAAGCCGGGCATTGGCCGTCACGAGGAGGTTCTCGCCCTTGAGGTCGCGGTGGATGCACTTGCGTGCATGGAGGTAGGCGAGCGCGCGGGCGATGTCAGTCGCGAAGGACATGCGCAACTGCCATGGGAACGGGCGTTTCTTGTCATAGATGTACATCCGCAGATTACCTGGTGGAAGGGCATGTGAGTGTGGACATGTGAGTGAATGCGTGAGTGGGAAGAGTAGCGTGACGACGTGAAGAAGGCAATAATCGTACCATTCTCGATATACTCTGAGATAATAAAGATGCGATTATCTGGGGGAGGTGCGCGAGAGAGGCCGAGGTAGAGGACGACGTTAGGGTGGCGGGCTTCTCTGTCGGGCTGTGAGCTGGCAGAGGGAAAGGCGATGCAGCGACGCACTTCATGAGCCGCCATTCTCTCTCAAAGTACTTTGCGACGTCGTAGCTGGTGGAGGGGACGACCTCCTTGATCGCGACATCAATGCCGAGATAGTTGCCTGTGGAGATTTTGTCTGAGTAAGATCCCGCAAGCAGGAGATGACGCACCCTTGTAGACGTTGCCAAAGGAGCCTGATCCCAGTTTCTTCCAGTCGCCCTTGATATCCTGGAGACCAACTCAGCAAGCTACGGATGGATCAGGCTGAAGAGGGTAACCTGGAAGGGTATAACATCGAATGCGTCGGACATGGCTGCTCGATGTGAGCGGGTGGACGGGCGGACTAGTAAAAGTGCAGCCAACTTATAAGTTATTAAGTAGCACTGATGAAACCAGGCGGAGTGCGATGAGACATCTAGCCAGATTAGTCACAAATTCCCCCTTTTGTAGTCGCCCGCCCTCCGACCACACAGCCCTCTGAAAGTCTGACAAGTCTCGCTGGAAAATCGGCATATGCGTACAAAGATTCACTCAAGGCATGTCGAAAAAAGCTCAATTGGAAAAGCTACAATTTCAGCAGTGGATTTGAATTTTAGCATCGAGGCCCCCTCTTTACACGTGCCAGTGGCGCGACTGATATCGCATTGGATGAAATGGAAGAATTAAGATGCACACATCTTACAGCCAACTACTACATTATTGCTTTGGAAAGAAACAAAAGAAAACAAGTCCATGATGTATGCATATGGTATATCGCTTCGCAGTGCAATGTCCGAGTCTAGATCGCCATAATCAGGTATCCACACCCTAGATGCAAGTCACCCCCAACGCTTATTACGCACTACGCCTGCGCGACGAAATTTTAAGCGTAAGAATGATCGCAAGTAGGGTAGCCATTTACCCGGAACCCCGCGACACGTCCTTGGGCCGGTATTTGACAATCCACGGGTGCGTCCTGACCTCTGACAGTAGCAGACGTTGCTGAGGATCATATTTCAACAGCTACATCAAGAAACCAGATCAGCATGACGTCGTCCTGTCCCCAAAGTAGCCTAGTGCGTACCTTGGTGATCAAGTCCCGAGCCTCCGGCGAAACGTGTGAAGGCACCTTCAGGTCCACCTTTGCGATCCGCCGGTACGTAGCTAAATTTACACAAAATATTAGCAAAACAAAGAAATTATACAATGGATAAGAAACTGACCTTGTGTACTACTCCGGTCCTCGAATGGTGGGCTGCCGACCAAGAACTCGTACGTGAGCACGCCGAGTGCCCACAGATCCACGCGTTCATTGTGCTCCTTGCCTTCCACCATTTCCGGCGGCAAGTAATCCAGAGTACCGCAAAGGGTCATACGCCGGTTCCCGGGTGCATGCACACTCCATCCAAAGTCCGCAATCTTGAGCTCTCCATTAATACCCAGGAGCAAGTTCTCGGGCTTGATATCACGATGAATAACATGCTTCGAGTGGAGGTACGCCAGCGCGTCCGCCATCTGGTCAATGTATCGCGAGCTCCGCCTCTCCGAGAACGAGCCATGCTTGGACAGCTGCTTGTAGAGCTCGCCTTTGCCCGCGAATTCGAGCATAAGGAAGATGCGCTTCTCGTCATGGAAGTAGCCGTACAGGCGGAGAACGTGCGGGTGCCGCAAGTTCTGCTGAATCTCAATCTCGCGCCGGATCTGCTTCTCGACGCGGGCCTGCACGATTTCGGACTTGTAGAGCGTCTTGAGGGCAAGAATGTAGCGCGGCTCGCACTTTGTCCGGACCATGTACACGCGCCCGAACTTGCCCTTGCCTAGTGGGCGGCCGATGTCGAAGGTGGTGAGGTTCCATTCACGGGTGGGGGACTTTCTGTGTGCAATGCGTTAGGCATGCGCCCCTTTTTCCCTGCCTCGTGCACTGACCTTGCAACACTAGAGTCTAATGCGAGATCTTCCGCAGCCTCGCCAGTGACCTTTTCCCCCCGCTTCTCATTCTCAAGCTCGAGACCACCGTCGTACTTGCCAATATCGATTGTCTTGGGTCCCGGTCTTGATGCTGCCTGGGATGATTCTGCCCCGGCGGTTTTGGGAGCAGCAGGTTTCGTTGCGGGAGGATTGGGAGCGGCATACTTTGCGAGCAGCTTGCCTACGCTGGACTGGGAGGGCGTCTTTATGTGGCCTATGGGCCTTGTCGGACCAGAGGGCTGGTTTGCCTTTTTGGCGTTGACGTCGAGGGCAGAGAACTGCTTGGTCAAGTGAGAGACGGACATGGGAGGGATGGGGTGTGGCTGTGCCCGCGACGGTTGAGTTTCACGCGTCGCAGTCACATGATGGGCTTGTCATAATGTGAGAAAACGCGTCTTGGAGTGACGCGCATGACATGATCACCATCTCTTCCATGCGGGGATTCGGGTTTGTGCCAAGTTACGAATCGCTGTCAGTCATGAGTCGCATATAAAACAACAAAATATCACTCAGATGCTCCTTGAGACTTCCCAGCACCTCTCATGCTGTCGAGGACGCTGCTTGCCCTGGCCGGGCCGTCTCTGGCACTCGGCCAGGTAGTCGATTTGTCCCAGCTTTCTTGGACGCTCAAGAACGCCAATGGATCCATCGCTATCCCTGGATCGCTGCCTTCGCAGGCGCATCTCGACCTTGCAAAAGCTGGTATAATCACGGAACCACTCCTTGGCATCAATGGTTTGCCAGTTTTCTCCAAGTCGTCGTGAACAAAACTGACAGTCATGAAGAATTCACTGAGCGCTGGGTCTGGGCTGATAACTGGACCTACACGGCCGACATGTCTAGTGCAGTCAGCTCTGGCTCGAACGACACGTCCTTGCTCGTCTTCTACGGCATCGACACCGTCGCAGACATAGTGCGTCTCATTGCCCTCCAGAAACACTTGATAACTTCAACGTCACGCAGACTCTCGCAGGACACCCAGTCGGTTGGGTTGACAACCAGTTTGTCCGCTGGGTCTTTGACGTCTCGGGCTATCTCCAGTCACCCGTGGGCGACGACAAAAACCTGACAATCGCCATCGAGTCCGCGTGGTACTACGGACTAAATGCCTCAACGCTCCCCGGTTCTGAACAGCTCATCGGGGATGACGAGGCCTCCCACATCCGCACGTGGACCCGCAAGATTCAGGACGACTGGGGCTGGGACTGGGTATGCATGACCACTCTTCTTTCTTCTTCCATATGGCTCACTAGGCACAGGGTCCGGCCTTCATTCCCAGCGGTATCCACAAGCCAGCATACTTCGTCACGCTCTCGGGCTCTAACGCGAGCAGCGCGTCAAACGACTCCACGGTTGCACTCGAACTCGCATCCTCGGGTCCTGTCGCCAGCAGCAGCTCCATCTTCCTCGATGAGACCTCCGTCGACATTTACAAGTCGGGTACCAACGTGACTGCTCCACCTCCCGAGGATGCCGACTGGGTTGTCAACGTCACGTTCGGCATCCGCTCTTCGGCGGCGTTTGACAAGCCCACAGTTACGCTCGCGATCCCCGAGCTGCAGCTCACGTCCGAGCCACTCGCGCTCGATGCGATCGCGGCGCAGACGACGGACGCGACCTATATGAGCATCAACTGGACCATCCCCGACAGCACACCCCAGCGCTGGTACCCCGCCGGCCTCGGCACCCCGCAGCTGTACAACCTGACTATCACGCTCTCGCCCTCCGGCTCCGGCTCCAGCGACACCATCGAGCAAACCATCCGCACCGGCTTCCGCACGATCTACCTCGACCAGCGCCCCTACACCTCCGACGAAGTCGCCGCACGCGGCATCACCCCGGGCGACCGCTGGCACTTCCTCATCAACGGCCAGCAGTTCTACGCCAAAGGCACGAACCTCATCCCGCTCGACCCCTTCTACCCGCGCCTCGCGACGGACAAGGCGCGCTGGCTGCTCGAGAGCGCGCTCGCGTCCGGCCAGAACATGCTCCGCATCTGGGGCGGCGGCGCGTACCAGCCCTCGAGCGCGGGCGCGGACGGCGGCGTGTACGACTTCTATGCGCTGTGCGACGAGTTGGGTGTGCTCGCGTGGAGCGAGCTCATTTTTAGCGACACGCCGTATCCCGTCGCGGATTGGTATCTCGCGGGCATCGAGCAGGAGGTTCGCCAGAACGTGCGCAGGGTGAACAAGCACCCCAGTAATGTCCAGTGGGCGGGCGGAAACGAGATTGAGGGAATCGTCATGCTTCTCGATGGTGGAGGAGGACAGCTCATGGATGAGGTGAGTGTGCTCATGGAAATTACTCAAAGACGAGTGCTGACGTGCTACTATCTTACAGTTCCTGCAGTTGTTCCAGGACTTTTTACATGACATTGTGTATTCCGAGACCAAATCAGTGAGTTTTTGTATGAGTGACCCCATTCGAACAGTCAACTAAAGCAATTGCAGGTTGTATACACGGACTGCTCAACCACGCATGGTGCGCTCAGTCTCGATCCTTATGTCCTCCGCCTCGGCAATGCTACCGCCGGCTCCATCTACGGTAACAGCGGTACGTCTCGCCATTTTGTGCCTCGCGACATGTATTAAGTACTACAACAGAACGCTACGACTACACTGCTGAAAATGCTTTTAACCTCAGCAGCTTCCAGGTATCTCGATTCGTGAACGAGTTCGGGTGAGTTTCCGACGTGTACATTATGCCCTCTTGACTTACACTGCCCCCATTTTAGTTTCCACTCGATGCCGTCGTTCTACAGCTGGGAAGAGGTCCTCCAATCCCCCGACGACTTCTCCTTCAACTCCTCTGTCGTCATGTCGCGCGACCACCACCCCTTCCCGACCAACATGTCCTGGCCGAACCCCAACGCCCCCGAGGGCCAAGCAGAAATGACCGAGGCCGTGCAAATGTGGCTCCCCACCCCAGGCACCACAAACTCCAACCAGACCTTCGCGCAGTGGTGCTGGAGCACGCAAGTCTTCCAGGCCATGACCATCGGCGCGCAGATCGCGTGGCACCGGCGCGGCGCGGGGCTCGGCGAGAACAACCTCGGGAGCCTCGTGTGGCAGCTCAACGACATCTGGCAGGGCGTCTCGTGGGCCGCGGTCGAGTACTCGGGCCGCTGGAAGGTGCTCAACTACCAGATGGCGAGCGTGTACAGTCCCGTCGTGATCAGCCCGTTCTGGTTCCCCGCAAACGAGAGTCTCACGGTGCTCGCGACGAGCGACCGCTGGGACGACGTGCAGGGCACGGCGCAGCTGACGTGGTACGACTGGAGCGGGAAGGTGCTCAATTCGTCCCAGACGAAGTTCGATATTCCGTCGCTGAACAACTCGGTGATCTTCGAGGGGACGAATCTGAGCACGATTCTCCCGCAGGGCGCGAACGCGTCGGACGCGTGGCTGTTGATGAACCTGACGTCGACGGCCGACGGAAAGGCGGTCACGAACGAGCAATACGTGCGGCATTTTCTCCTTTTTACGTTGGTGGTCTAAGTGGATTTTTACTGACACCGGCCGACAGTTCACCCCCGTCTCCCTCGCAGAAGCTGCGCTCGTCGACCCGCAGATCGCCGTCACTCCTGGAGACGACTTCACCTTCACGCTCTCCGCCAAGGGCGGCGTCGCACCGTGGACGTGGGTCGATCACCCCACGGGCACGGTCGGATACTTTGTCGACACGACGACCGGCACGGCTTCCAACGGATTCTACCTCGTACCCGGCATCGATCGTACTGGTGAGTATCGCCCTATGGTTGCGATCGGGATGAAGCTGACGGAGTCGATGCCCAACAGTTCGATTCAAACTCGAGCAAAGCGTGTCGACGAACACGAACCCCGACCCTGCGGACTTTGTCGTGCGGTCGCTCTGGAATAACACACATGTCTGAGGGTTCGGTGTCCGTTAAGTCGATAGCTAAACAACGCATCCTTAAATCCACTGACTCGAAAGTTTTCGGTTCTTCTTTTGTCTTTTCTTTCTTTCTTTCGTTTGTTGCGTGTTAAATCTGAGATATGTGTGCTACGAAATCTGGCGAAGCGTTCAAAGTTTCAGCTTTGAACGTGAACCTGGCATCGCATTTAACCGCGCGCGAACGATAATTTTATAATTTGTAACATGATTAGAGGGGTGCTCTTATACATATTTATGAACAAACATCCTCGCGGTGCAAGCAAGCTGCCCAACATCAGACAAACATCGATGCGCCCTGGCAGCGTATTTGCTGCATGTAATAGCATTAGCCCCTACTTCTCCGCCTGTCTCTTGTCTTCATCATGTTTGCCATGATTCCACCCCTTCACAGCGATTGTCATTGACCCTGTAAAAATCGTCGTCTAAAGCTACTCATACAGCACTCGTGCCAAGTGTACAAACAATGCTATTAACAGTTGGTATCGATGAGCAAATCCAGAAAGGCAGTGGTGGTAATATGATTAATTATGTGATATACTGTAGTCCAATGAGCACTAGGATTACCCAGATACAACACTCGAACCGGTTTTGGCTCGTTTTCGAATTGGCTCGTCCTTGTATTCGGGCTCCTGCGACTTTCTATTTACTTCTTCCCTTTCCCGTTTTGTGGCCAGAGTGGGCATTTGGTCTTCCGAACCATCATGCGTTGTCGACTTCCATTCCTCGTTAGCCAGGCAGCTATCCATGTAGCCTTCCATCCACTCGTGGGTATTCATGCGCTCAAGACGTTGATCCAAATCGGCGTGTAGTTCTTTCAGCGCGAGGAGACTATCCTCGTCGATATAACGCAGTCCAGCGTGAAATTGAAGACCTTTCAGGAGCTCCTTGAAGTGTGGAGAAGATAAAAGTGACAATGAGCCGATTAGTCTGTCATTTGTTAGAAGCAACAATTTGGATCCCACTACCGACTCGAAGTCGAAGTATCCAAGAAAAGTCTTGCGATCTTCAGGCAGCAATTTGCTCTTGACGTATCTCAAAGTGATCCATAGAAGGACTTGAACGAACGATTCAATGTCGTCAACAACCTTATGCAACGCTTTTCCACGCCGCAAAAGCAGAACAGAACGAAATTGCAGTGTTCCCTTTCATTCCCTTTCAGAACTGAAGACGGGTAAGAATGAAGAGAGACTGACTGTTCGCTCATGCGTTCTCGGAGCCTCATCGTCAATTGATTTTGCCATTTCCCAGTCAATGAGGTATCCGTCGCCAGTGGCTTTATCGATGATGATGTTGCCGACTGAAATATCTCGGTGCAGAATGCGAGCCTTCTTGACAGCTTGATGGTGAGCTGCGCCAATCAAAAACGCATGAGATAGATAACGTGAGGAGATGGAAGGCGTACCCTTAAATGCACAAGAAATCGCATTGACAAGTTCCCATGTTGAAGTGAAGCTCATGATAGGCCGCCCCACCTGTTTCAAGACGAGGCGAAAGTGGACAAGGTGACGGAAGCTTTCCTCGCCTGCGCCACACTCTTGTAGTATCCCTGGAATATCACCGGCAGTCACAACGTCAGGTATGTATGGCACCCCTTCCTTTTTCAATTTGGCGTATGTGTCACTTTCACGACCGTAGGAAGCCACGCGCCAGGAATCTTTGAGAAGTACAAGCCGCGGTTTGCACCCTTCATTATAGTCATATGCCTCAAAGCACCGAGTTCCGCGTCCAATAGGATATGTGTGAGTATTAGTGAAGGGCTCGGAGACAATAAAGGATCGACAGCCTCCATCCTCCTGACTGTAGACAAAGACTTCATAAAGAGGGGCATTCTTCTTGAGTCCTAGCATCTGGCGGGCTGCCTCAGCTCTGTGGTCTGTAGACTCTAGAGGGACGAAACTGGTATCGTGCCCGCGACTCTCGGCGTCTTTTGCGTGAGACAGCCGCCAAAGGAACTCTTGAAGATATGTAGTACTAGTCCAATCAAATAGAGGAGTTACTTCTGTACCGCTTCGCGAGTGACGCAGAATGCAGCAAACTTGACGTCTTATATAGATACCAAAGACTCGTGTTCGCTGCTGACTAGCTTGGATAGCATTCATATACAACCCGAGTTGTCCACGAGTATCTCGCGCCTTTTTGTTTTCGAGGACTTCTATGGCCTGATTGTCGTCCTTGTTTTCGAAAGGATCATCGTACTTGTCGACCTTGAACTCGATAAACGTCTCTAGACCACGGACGTTGCACTTAGCTGGAGCGCCTTTTTTGGGATAGATAGTCACGTCGGGTTTTATAACATGACCCTGGGCAAAAAAGGCGAAGTCCTCGTCTCCCGAGCTGGAAGAGTTGACTATCGACCACTCTTTGGAGATAAACGGAGCCATGGCCTGATTCTGGAGGCGATTTAGAAGCTGTTAGCAGACTAAAAGGCGACAGAAAGAAGTCTCGACGCACGAAGGGATCATACATGTCCTTTTCAAGTCGCTGATTGGCGATTTCAGAGTAGGGCGAGGGGTCAACCTCAGGCAACGTCTTGTCTTTCGGTTGCGGAAGAGAGTCCAGGACTGAGCGTATGGTCATTGTAGTGTATTTGCCACCGATTTCGCGTTCTGCTCGCACGAATACCTCGTGCTTCTCCTCATGAAACGTGGTGAAAGGTTGAGAAGAGACCCGTCGTTGATGGAAAGGAGTGGAGGTAGGCTGTAACGCCCCTTGCGTAGATGAAGGTGGTGTGGTTGTGGGCGACATGGTGATGGCGAAGACAAGAAACAACGAAGAGGATGCGATGTTTGTTCGAAACGCCGTATTGTCTGTCCAAATAAGAGCAATTACATACAGATCAATAGGAACAAATAGTGGTAATTACATAAAGTTGCGCAAGCAGGCCAACTTCTCAGTCAGCAATCTTCTTGCTGGCTCATGCCTAGCTTGCGTCGCGTTACGTGACGAAACTTATAAACTTCTTGGCCGTCGAACCCGGGACTTCCAGTCCTTTGAATGAAGGGGCAATCAAGCAGTGGTACTGCTCAAAGACACCTGGGGCACGGCTTCCTTCGGTATTGAAAGTGACAGACATGCTCCTCAGGCTGAAAGGCACAAAGGTTGAATACTACGTTCCTGATGTTGCGGCTGCCGGAGATGTTACAGCTTCCAATTTGTAGTTGAACGCGTTGGAATTGAGATTTGCGCAATGCGCATTGTGAAACCCCGGAAGGCGCTATTGCATTGAGCAAATCCATGATATATTGGAGTCCAACGCTAAGGTTACCCAAATATTGAATCCTCCAGCCGGTTTTGGCTCGTTTTCGAACTTGCTCGCTATCCTATTTGGGCTCCTGCGAATTTCTATTTACTTCTTCCCTTTCCCGTTTTGTGGCCAGAGTGGGCATTTGGTCTTCCGAACCATCATGCGTTGTCGACTTCCATTCCTCGTTAGCCAGGCATTTATCGAGGTAGTCTTCCATCCAGTCGTGGGTGTTCATGCGCTCAATACGTTGATCCAAATCGGCACATACTTCTCTCAGCATAGGGAGATAATCCTCTCCAGCGCGATGCAGTCCAGCGTGAAATTGAAGACCTAACAGGAGCGACTTGAAGTGTGGAGAAGACAAAAGTGACAATGGGGCGTTGGGATTTGTAAGTAGCATCATCTTGGATACCGCTACCGACTCGGAGTCGAAGTATGCAAGAAAAGTCTTGCGACTTTGAAAATGCAAACCGCTCTTGACGTATCTCAAAGTGATCCATAGAAGGACTTGAACGAACGATTCAATGTCGTCAGTGACCTTATGCAACGCTTCTCCAGGTTCCAAATCAGGGTCCAAAAGCCGACCAGAACGAAACTGCAACGTTCCCTTTGATTCCTTTTCAGAATTGAAAGTCACTTAGAGTTTAGAAAGACTGACTGTTCGCTCATGCGTTCTCGGAGCCTCATCGTCAATTGATTTTGCTATATGCCAGTCAATGAGGTATCCATCGCCGGTGGATGTATCAATGAGGATGTTGCCGACTGAAACATCTCTGTGTAGACTGCGGGCCTTCTTGAAAGCTTGATGGTGAGCTACGGCAATGAAAAACACATGAAGTAGATGGCAGAAGGGAACAGAGAATGCGTACCCTTGAATGCGCAAGACAATGCCTTCACAAGCTGCCATGTTGAAGCAAAGGTCGTAATAGGTCGCCCGAGCCGGCTTGGGACAACGCGAAAGTGGACAAGACGGTGGAGACCGTTCCTGTCTGCGCCACACTCTTGTAGCTTGCCTGGAACATCTCCGGCAATCACAGCGTCATATATGTACGGCACCCCTTCCGTTTTCAGTTTGGCATACACGTCACTTTCACGCCTGTCAGAGGCCACGCGCCAGAAATCTTTGAGAAGTACAAGTCGTGGTTTGACTCCATCATTATGATCATAGGCCACAAAGCACCGAGTTCCGCATCCCATAGGATATCCGTGACGGTTTGGAGACAATAGAGGATCGCTGCTTTCTTCTCTTCTAACTGTAGACAGAGACTTCGTAAAGGGGATCATCCTCCTTGAGTCCTGGCATTTGGCTGGCTGCTCCAGCTCTGTGGTCACCATAGGCTTTAGAGGCACCAAAGTGGTATCGTGCCCGTGACGCCTAGCGTCCTCCGTGTGATACAGTCGCCAAGTGGACTCTTGAAGATATGCAGTAGCAGTCCAACTGAACAAAGCCAATACTTCTGTGACACTGCGTGGGTGACGCAGAGTATGTAGCGAAGTTGGCGTCTCCTTGAACGCACCCGTCGGATTGTTGATGACCACAATCCAAAATAAGAGCAAATAAACATTCAGTTATGTATTGAGCGAACATCATAAGCTTCCGGAGCTAGGTGGTCGTTTACCCTACGCAAGTATTGTCACCCATTGTTGATCAAAGCAGCTGGAGTGATTGAGAAGGAACAGAGGGAACAAATCGGAGGCTCTGCATCTCTTCATCCGATCATTCAAGTAGCCGCCCACTCCCTTATCTTTCCCAAAATATACCACCGAGTGCACAGCGGCAAACCCTGCACTTATCTACTCGTTAAAAACCCATTCAACATGTCCTTCCTGTCGCCACATCATGAAGCTCGACTTCTTCAGACCCTCGCGGTGGGCTCTCGAACCAGAGGAGGCAAGCTTCGCGCCCGCGAAAGGATGGAGTAACAAGGATATGGATCCAGTCCCCCCGCATTTACGCACCTGGACGTATGTCACCAGTCAATTACGTCAATGTCAGTACAAGTGCTAACGCGAGTGTCTCGGCTAGGACATGGAGCTACGTATGTTGACACGACAAAGTCAACTATCTCTAAGTGAAAACTAAAAGCGTTGTCTCATAGATCTCTTATTGGGTCTCTGATGCAACTAACCTGGCTGTCTGGGAGCTTGCTAGTTCCATGCTTGCCATTGGTCTTTCTTGGTACGACTTTTCTTTCCATGCTCATGTCTTGTTGACAGTTAATCATAATATGCAGGCGGCAGGCTCTACCATGCATTGCAGTTGGATACTGTATCATATCTATTGTGATGGTTCTCAATGGCACGACAGGAGCGCGTCTGCACGTCGCGTTCCCCGTCCTGAATCGCTCTTCTTTCGGATTTTGGTTCAGCTACTTCACCGTCTTCAGCCGTGTCATCTTGTCCATGTTTTGGTTTGGGATTCAGGTATTCTTACCTCCTTTTGACCCGCCTTCGGTTCCCTTTAACACGAATGTCGGCAGAGCTACAACGGAGCTCTATGCGTGTATCAGGTAACTTCCCCAATACATACTCTACCATCCATTCAAGCTCGTAACATTTCAACCCAGATGCTCAAAGCCATCTGGCCCTCCATCGCTCGCCTCCCGAACCACATCTCAGACACCTCCATCACAAGCTCGGGCATGATGTGCTACTTCCTCTACTGGCTCATCCAGCTCCCCTTCATGCTTCTCTCGCCCCAGAAGATCCGCTGGCTGTTCATGGTCAAGGGAGTGTTCACGCCCATCACCTGGCTCGCGATGGTGATATGGTCCTTTGTCCGCGTGCCGGCGCACCAGCCTGGCGGACTTTTCAACCAGCATTCGACTCTGAGCAACCCGACGTTCTCGTGGGTCTGGCTGAGCGCAATGAACAGCGCGTTGGGGATATACTCGAGTTTGTCTGTCAATATTCCCGATTTTACTGCAAGTTCCACAACTTAGTCTCGCTTCGACTGAAGAACTAATCCTGCTCCCCTAGCGATATGCCAAAGACGAAAAGGCGTATGTCAGCCACTTACAAATTTTCCTCGTTTGCTAACACCTGTGTTAGACAATACATACAGCCTCTCATCATCCCCATCGCCTTCACACTCTGCAGTTTCGCCGGAATTGCAGTCACTAGCGCAGGCATTACACTGTATGGCGACATCCTCTGGAACCCCCTCGACCTCATTGACCGATGGGATAACCGAGCCGCAGCGTTCTTCGCATCATTTGTGTTTATGCTGGCCACTATTGGCACGAACATCAGCGCCAACTCGCTGGGATGCGGGAACGACATGACTGTTCTTTGCCCCAAGGTACTTCTTCCGCTCTCTGCTCGTAGTCATGCACTGTCTAAACTTGTCGTGTCAGTACATCAACATCCGAAGGGGCCAATTGTTGTGTGCGCTCATCGGCGGCTGGGCATTGTGCCCATGGGAGATTCTAGCCAAGTACGCCTTAAACACGCACGCAAAACCAGTTTGTTTACTGATATCTTTCTAGTGCAACTGGCTTCCTAAACTTCATGAACGGCTACACGATCGTTCTTGGTCCCTTTGCAGGAATCATGGTCACAGACGTGCGTGCAGTACATCTCGTCTGTTCTTCAACGATCTTCCTAACTTATCTGGTGTCTTGCTTTAGTTCTGGCTCGTCCACAAGGGTCGAGTTGATGTACCAGCCATGTACGACCCTCACGGGCGATATCGCTACGCGGGTGGTTTCGTGAGTACTCCCATTTTCCAGTCCTTTGACCGGACTGTCTGACAAGGCAGCCAATAGAACTGGCGCGCGGTCCTTGCAATGCTAGTCACGGTCATTCCGACCCTCCCCGGTCTAGCTAACTCAATCAACCCCAACATCTACGTCGGCAAAGCCGCCCACCTGTTCGACATCGCATGGATGTACGGCGTACGTGCCACAGGTCTTCAACAATGCTCATGAACTTAATCTTGTTTACACCGTAGTTCTTCGTCTCATGCGTGGTCTATTACACGACATCTGTCCTCTTCCCGCCCCGCGGAACGTTTGTTGACGAGCTCATCCAGGCTTATGACGTCGATCGTATACCGCATGGTGGCCATAAGAACAACGAGGGTAAGCCAAAGTTGCCGACGGGAGGCGAGGGCGAATATGACGGAAAGGAGAACGTTGACGTCAAAACAGTAGAGGTATAACACGGGAAAAACCCAGTACAGTCGACATGCCCAACATGAATTTTCACCTATAAGAATGAATAAAAACCAATATATCCGGGGTTATTCGAGAAAATCCTCCGCATCAAGCTGTACGTAGTGCATAAAACCTGTATTCCTGGTGTGCGTCAATGTCGGCGTAAGGTCTTCACACATCGTATGAAAACTTACCACCCAATCTTGTACGTGAAATTCCTGTCAATCGGCGGCCTTTCTGCACCCCTCGGCACGCACATCGGCGATGAGGACCAGTACGGCTCGTGTTCTCGATCCAGAGATGTAAACAGGTAGAAAATGGAGGGTAGCACTGGCTGCCCGAATCCTCCGTGGTGGAAACCAGGGGGGGCACCAAATTGCCCGTGCCCGCCGAAGCCTGGAGGTTGGTGGAAACCGTGCGTTTGCTGCTGGTGGAATGGGTTCGCTGCGAAGCGGGGGTTACCATGCGGAGTCGGCGGCGGAAACCTGCAGTCGCGGATGTAGAAATCCTGGTGAGTGCCTGCGCTCGTCACTGCGCAGAAACATTGGGAAAAGCTTAATTGACGACGTTTGTAGCGAAGGCAGCATACCGAGGATAAGCTGCTCGGGCTTGACCGCCGCCTCTGCTGCTATGGATTTCCCGTTCGCGAGTAAATAACGCCATGCTTCTGCTGGCCGCTTTACGATGGCTTCATGAATAACCATGATGTCAACTTGCTCGTAAGGAGGGACAGCAACTGGCCATCTGTACCAGCGGCCACCTTCAGCAAACATAAATTCACCAATCATGCATCGGACTTACCCAGCAACATTCTGAGGCAGCTCAAACGGCTGCACCTGCTCCCTGCGCATAGGCCACGCCTTCCAGTTCCAGCTCTCCGCCGACCTCTTGTTCTCCACATCAAGTTCCACAAGCTTATCCTCCAAAACATTCCGTATCCTCACAAACGAACCAAACTTCTCGCCCTCCGGCACGTACCCCACATCCCCCACCGCAAACTGATGCGCCTTCACAGAGCGCTCGTACCACATGTGGTCGTGGGCGCCATTCGCAAAGCTCGCGTCGCGTATCTGGCGCAGCGTCACGAGCGGCACGTCGAAGTCGCTGTCCTCGACGAACCGCTCAGCTGTCTGGGACAGGACCGCTTCCTGCCCGTCCTTCGGGAAGAGTCCGCGGATGAGAGCGATCACCTGATTCACTTTCCGCTGCATGTCCTCGGTCAGGTCCTCGTCGCAGTGCTCATAGGTATAGGATATACGCCCGTTGTTGGGAAGCATCTGTCGTAAAGTAGCATTGATCTAGGACCGGTGAACGTGGTTGCTGAGAAACGAAATTGCTCACACCCAGACATGCGTTCAATAATGTATGGGCAATGCCGTAGTTTCGAGCGCTGAACGAGTTTGCACTTCTTGGTGGGGGAAGAGACACGACTAAAGTCTTCGAATCGACGTGAAATGTCGAACCCTGAAGAGAGTGAATATCACGTCCGCAAGGCCACGGTTTGGCTCACCTCAATAAAATCCTGAAGCTTATTCTCATCGAGACCCAGCTGCTGCTGGGTATACATGGCCGTATCCTTTGTCGGAAATATATAGAGGTCCGTCTCACCAGAATAGCTGAAGCTCACTCACCGCCAAGTCGCGGTACTAAGCTCAATGAACGTCTATATTGAACTCGGGAGAAGAATTTACTCTTACTAAACGCAGCATAAGCTCAACATTAACCGCTACATTCGCTGAAGATAGCACTTGCCGCGCAAGCGCTTGGGGGGACTGTGTTTTGACTTTAGTGAAGGTCTATCCGCCACTAATGAACGAGATGACGTATAACTTACTTTGAGAAAATACGATAAATGGGGTATGTGATTTCTCGTCGGAGAAACCAAGCATCTGAGGTAAATTCGGGTGGCTGAAAGGTAGATCAGCACTTGAAGGCTACTTCGTTAGATATCGTTTCTTACTAGAGGTTCTGAAGCATTTTCACGTCCCGTAGCCACGCCTGTTGAAGGAGGATTAGCTTCGGGTTCAACGACGTTACATGTCAATACGGACCTTCTTCGCCTCGCCTTTTGGCCCATTATATCTCTTGACAAGAGCAGAACGACCTTCAACGCGAGCCTCGGCCGTACCAGCCCACCATCCTTGCTTTCCACGGGATCGACCCCGGAGCACGACGTCGGACTGGTGATATCGACGGAACTGGCCCAAAAGTCATGTTAAGTCCTTTTGAAGTGGTAAGGCGGGAAAAAGAACATGCCCCGTGCTCGTCATAGGTAGTAGACGAGGATAATTCCCCTGGGAGGAAGTAATCCAGGTCTTTATCTTCTGCTAACTCATCGGTGAGTTCTTCGGAGCCTTGAACCTGGAGTTCGCTCTGCAGATCTTCGGCGAGTTCAGCAGCTCCCTCGCTTTTCAGTTCTATGATCTCCTCCTCGGCTACGTCCTTCATTGTCTCCGGTTCAGAAGAGTAGGGCGGCAAAGACATCTGTCCCCCGACCGATACTGAGTCCTCGCCTTTGTCAAGTGCTGGTTTTTTGTCGCTTCCAGAATCCTCTGAACGGGAACCAACAGTGTAATGAATGTCAATGAGAGTAGCCATCTATAATTCTGAGGTTCAGATTCAGACATAGTGTTGAGTGCTCTTACATGAAAAGACTGTGCCGCCTCGTTCAGCCTCAAGCCATGCTCCTTGATAGCACTTTCAATCGAGGCCTTCTTCCAGAATCGATCTCTCCACTTCGCATCTGCAAGCTCCTTCATGAACGAGCTAAGAGCTGACAGGGTCCTGACAGAACTCAGTGCGTTTTCGCCACGGAAAGAGCACTGACATACTCCTCGTATTTTCTCAGGTTCCGTAGGAGTGGCCCCGGAGCCTTGTCCCACCGCCCCTGCATTTGTTCGTTGATGTCCACCAGGATCGTTGCGGCGCGCCTTGCTAGCCTATCACAGTCAGATTTGTTATTTTGAATACCCTATAAGGTGTCAATGTTAAGCGCGTCGATGAAGTCCAAATCACGAGAGGAACAGCTTACTTGTATGGTGTTTAGGATAACAAGCACAATGGTAGCTGCCGCTGCCGCTGGAGGAAACTGAAGGGCATTGACCACTTGCGCTGTGATTTTAGAAGCGGCAGTGACAGCCTGAAGTGAATTGGCGAGGGGCACTCTCCTTCGCACGAAGGTGAGAGGCATGTTATTCTGACGCTGGACGGTCCACCTCTGTCCAACCCGTTCAAATTGTGAAGACCAACAAATGTAGGAGTTAGAAAGACTGTGTAAACAGCAAAGTTGACATTTCAGCGCGCGAAGCAGTGCCAGCAAACAGATCCAGGTGGGCGTTTGAGAGCCAAACTGAGTTTGACGTGCGCAGTTGATGCCTGCTTGGATGCTGCCATGGTGGCCACTGGCGGACGTTGGACGGAGCCAATATTGGTCAGGGGCAATTCCCATACGGTACGAGCGCCTATTACAGACTATAAAGCGCGCGCTTGTTCGGGGAATGCCGTCGATGTGTCCGTCTATAACTCTCCTTAAGTCAAGCCACTTTCAAGTTCACTTTTTCCCGCAATGCAGCTGGATTACTTGGCCTCAACGACACTTTGGCTCATGGTTAGTGGCGGTCTTTGGCTGCTTAACTGATTCTCTGTTCGCTGTTTGGCTACGTCTGATCACCAGCCACGTGTCTTTCGTGTTTTTCTTTGGTTCTACCAGAATATTGCTACTATCTACGGCTCAGCTGGGGCTGTTTTGGTGTAATCCAGTTCTTCACGCCGACCTATCATGACTTGTTGTCGCGCTTCATTAACTCGAATGGTGCTCTAGGTTTCCCCGATACACTTTAGCTAGGGTTCTTCAACATCTCCTATACCATGATCTTGTCGGCTTGCTCCCTTCATTTTTCAAGTGAAAGATCGGACGTGTGCATCTTGGATAGCTGGATACGTCCTGTCTTTCGTGTCCGGTGATTTCGTCGTCCGATTCGATTGTAAACTCTGAGAGCTCCAGTGATGGCATTTTCAACTTTCGAACTCAACGTGGAAAAGTTTCAGCTATCTCTCCTTTCTGCAACTGCCTCGGATGTTTGCTGCAGTTCAACCATTTTGCAGCCTGCCACTGTTGTGACGTCTGGTCTCTGTCTCACTCTGCTACATCGAGCTCGATTCGACGTCACCTTGGACCAGATCAAAATCTATTATCCGCAACATTAGAATCTGGCCTGGGATCTGGCCTCATGGTGACTGGCAGGTCAGCCTAGCATATAACAGCTTGCTTCTGGCTCCTGTCTTTTCATCTTTCTTCTCCTCTTACCACCTCTTGTCTTCGCAACCTCCACCTGTCTTCGCAACCTCCACCTATCTTCGCAGCCTCCACTTATCTTCGCAACCTCCGCCTGCCTTCGCTACTGCAACACCCATCTTCATAACTTTCTAATTTACAACTTGCCTGCTATGTCTTCGTTCGTTGCCGTCTTCTGCACCTCGTTCGTCCAAGCCCTTTGCAACATTGTTTATATCCTTCGCCTTCCCTTCATCAAGACCGCAGCTCTTTTCACATCATGGTTCAGGCCACCAGCTGAGGATCCATCGTTACCACTCCCAGCAACGGCCCCTCATGAAGAGCAGACAAAGAAAGGTTCCCGCTTCCACATCTGGCCCTTTACCGTCAAGGGCAAGTCCGAAAGGCCGTCAACCTCGTTCAGCAGCCTCTCCCATAGTGCGCACACACCAAGGCGGCCCCGGCTATTTGGCCTTGGCAGCAAATGCGAGGGCAAGTTTGACATCATTCACTCTGATGTGGAAAAGGGCTTGTCAGCCGATCTTTTACCCTCGCCCATCGAAGATTACTCCCCGGTCCACAACGGCACCTCTCCTGTAGATCATCCTAGGCTGCGCGACCCCGGTGACCAGCACCGAGTCAAGTACACCCGTTCTGCTCCTTGCCTCCGCGTGCGCTCCGATTTTGGATCAGAGTACGTGACTCTTGCTTACCCACCATTCAATGCAAACTCTGCAACGGCTGATCACTCTTCACCAGATCTTTCCCTCCTTCCCCTACTCTCTTCCTGGGCCGGTCCCCCACCGCGACAGCCTCCCCTAGTTCTTCGACCCCCACATCTCCTTCCATCCCAGCCTCTCCTAGCACCCCTGTAGTGAGGCGATATGCTCGCACTGCCCACCTCTTCCCTCTGGACGAACTTACGCCTATCAAGCCCAAGGTGTCAAGTCGACGTTCCGACGCAGACCACCTAGACGATGTTGACCGGCTCATCATCGAAATGCAGCGTGAGCTTGCGCACAACGCAAAGAACACCAGGAAGTTCTCGGATCAGGTCAGAGTGTCCCTCATGGTTGTTGACGATGAAGTAGTGATCTAGCTGTAATCATTGTTGTTGGTCATTTTCCTCTTCGTTTTCCTACGCTTGAGATTCTCCCTCCCGCAAATTTGCATTACTTCTCCACATATTATATGTCTTCCCTTTCTAACCTTTGCGTCTCTTTCATTCCCGGCTTCTGCCCTTCGTAAATTTCCCCGATATGCATATCCCACTATGCCTCTTCATCATAATTCCCCTAATATCAATAACCTTATATCCTATATATGTAGCTGTAGCTCTAGTAACGTGTCTGTTTTGCTTGTGTATCAAACAATGGAAAACATCTGCCTTTACATGGCAGTGACTACCAACTTGCGTAGTGCGATCAAGTACCAATCCGCGTACTCTTACCAGTTTACAGCATGAACGCTCACTCTATAATTGACGCCCGACAAGTCCACGAAGTTCACAATGGCCATATGCAAGGACGATCCTTGAGTAATCTATCATAAAATCAAGCTAAATTCTGGTCCCTGCGTCCTCTGATCTTGGCGCCGAGCTCAAGTGCCCGCTTGCCTTCGAGCCAAAGCATCGCCTCTGAAGGAATGGTTATGTAATCAGCGACAGTCGACAGAAGAGCAACTAAACCTACCTTTGTACGTTCTGGGAACGACCCTCCTCGAGGCTGGTTTGCCATCGTCACGCCGCCAGGTAAAGCGGAAGTCGTTCGTCATCTCCTCTTTCCCAGTCGATACGTCTACCACGTAAGCTTGCACCGCGACGTGCTGAATTGCAAAATTTAGGGATAATGAGCCTTGTCAGACCAGAGACATGCACTACGTACCACTGCACCCTTTCCAGCCTCCGGTGGAGTGGAGTAGATGATCTGGGAAGTTAGCCGCAGGATGCATCCGATGGGCACAGGTCTCGCAAACGATATTCTGTCCAACGACAAGAACGTGACGTGCGAACGAGTGAACAGTGAAGCATTGGAGAATCCGAGCTGTAAAATGTTGGTTATATCCTAGTGTTGAGCAGTGAAAGAATCATTAATCGTACTTCGTATGCAAGACGCATGAGATATCCTCCGAACACCTTTGAGTGGACGCTAACAACTTGTCAGAAGCCGAGTTTACTAGCATTGACAGCAAACTCACTTGCGCTCTTGTGGGAACATCAACATCGTCTTCTCTAGCCGTGTGTCGCCCATCCATAATTTCTCCTTATCGGCCTCCTCTTGACCGTACTTCAGCTCATATGCATGTAAGTCGGCGGCCTCTATTTTGTTCGGAGGTACCCGTTCGAGTGATTGTGCAAGGTTCTCGCGCCTGCGGTTCTTTGCAGCTATTATACAGCAAAATGCTCGTCAGCCAAAAATTCTGTAGCTCCAGAACAACCCCAGACCTTCACCCATGTTGAATAATGATCGCTCCTCGGGTGTGGAAATCACCAACGAATTAATCTTGCGCGCACGCTGGGTGCGAGCGTCCCTGCATACCATGGAGAACCGGCCTCGAACGTCATGAGTTTGACCGTGTCTTGCAGCATTCTTGAGGGTACAACGTACCTAGCATGACGGTCTCGGGTTCCTGGTCCGTATTCATGGCCTCCATTTTAACAGCAACTTCCATCGAGCTCGACCCAGTATAAATCACCTGTCCACTCAACCTCACATCCCTTACTGGGAGGAGAGGCGCAAGCATGTCCAGCCTTTGGAAAGCGATATGCTCAGTATCTAGTGGAATCAAAATATTCCCGGGGTCCGGTGATGCTCACCTCTCAACCGACGCTGTGACAAAATAAAAACCTCTCTCCTGAATCTTTCCCAGTGTCTCTACCTCCGGGCCCAGGACATGCTTATACGCGATCGACCCGGCGAGCGAATCTAGATGCTCCATGAGCATGCCCGTCCGCAAACCGCCATACGCGTTCGTGTATTGCTCCAGGAGCTCCGGTGACGATGCGAAGGGCAGTGTGATTTCCGTGTACGTGTCGTGCATGTTTCGAGGTGGCAGAGCATCCTCAGCGTTGCTACCTGTGCCTGCGTTCTGCGGTGGTGCACCTTTCGCTACACTTGCACCATTCCGGTCCGACGTCAGAAGCAGTTCTGACCATAAGCCATTGCTCCTCATAGGCATGGTCCTAAACATTCGAGTCACATCATAAGAATCTCGCCTTCCGAACCCACATTCGTTGAGACTGACTTATGATAAGCGGGATTCGCCCTAGCCCCTGTAGTAAAAATCATGCTGTCAACAACACCTTGGTGGAATGCCATTCAATAACATATCACTCACGGACCGCCCGTAGTAACCTATCCATCGTCTTGATATCATTCGTTTCCTCCGCTGCCCTGTGCTCGGCAGCCACAAGCGTCGTATCTACAGCCTCGGTCTGGATTTTTCGAAGTCCAGAAGCCTGAGGCAGCTGAAGCGTCAGTCTCCTTGTGGATGAAGGTGCTGCCTTCGCCAGGGCTGCCCTGGCTGTCCTGGCTGCGAGCATTGAGGAGATGGTCTTGTGAACGCAGACTGGTAGTAGGGATTGGAGACAGTGCGCATTAACAGGGACCGTTCTGGTCGCGTATTGGCGCGTTCGCCCTTGGTTGCCGGTGACAGCGTCCGACTTTGCCGAACGAAGCGCAAAGTAGATATGTTGCGGAGCCTCTTTCGTAGGCCATGACGCATATGTACTCGCGCATTGCTCTGTAACTAGTGCAGATTAAAGTTACTTACACTTGAAGTCACGTCGTTACGTACTTCAAGTTACAATCAAGCTGCAATTCGAGCTTTGAGCTTTTCGTAAGTATTTTAGTCCCCCCCTACAGACATTATAATAAGGCAGGAAAGTAGCCGAAGAGATACAAAGGCACACACAGTGTATTGCATGTACTACCCGCAGTCCCATCTCGGCATCGCATCGAAAATCGAAATCGAAAGTATCATAACTTATGTAGAAACGCTCATACAGCATCACCAAGTCAAGGCTTCTCGTGTTATGCCAATAAGTAACCTCTCTTTCGCGCCTCATGCCTATGCATCCCGAGCGTGCTTGGTTTCATTTACTTCATCCCGCGGAGTGACTTTTACCTCCGCATGCAGGCATGAGCGAACGCAGCGCCGAGTCATACGTAGCGAGACCAGAGACCATAAACAATCAGACCATCAACCTCAACGTCCAACCACCAGCTCTCTTACGGCTCAGCACGGTCAATCCTACGAATATCCGAGTCAGGCGAGCAACGCGCATCAGAAGGCGACACCTCCTCATGGCCCGTTCGTTGTATGGAAATCTCGATTGGGGGGAAGAGACTGCCGTTGAACGAGCCGCGGTGGTTCGGCGGCACAGGGAAACTGATGCTCAGGAAATCCGAACCCCTGTGGTGGCCATTCGAGTTGGTGGTCGCTATTGGACTATTCGTGGGGCTAGGGAGAGCGGGAGGGAAAGCAGGAGGGCGAGCAGGAGGGAAGGAAGGGAAACGATTGTTTGCAGCACAGATGTCGAACACACCCATATTCTGCAGCTCTTGAGCTTTCTTGTTCGAGCGCCATGTCTGCAACACCGAGGACTCGACCGACGAAGTTGAGTCGGTGGACGTGCGGTGGGAAATTGGCGGCTTGTTGATCTTGTCACGCAAGATGACGGAGAGGCCGCCGCTTGTGTTGCGGCGTATGGGCTTGCCGGACTTGTCACCGGTCACGCCCGACGTCGGGTTGATGAAGCTTGCCTCAGGGAAGCCGGTTTCTTCAAGCATTTGCTGCACCCAGACTGATGGCCTCTTCAGCACGGGGTCAATCGTTACAGGAGTGGCATAACACTCACGATAGTGGGCCAGGCCCTTGCCAAACTGCAGTCTGCAGAAGAACGCGAGAATGACAGTCACGATGAGCATGAAGTCCGCAAAACACGTGAAGGCCCCGAAGAACGACCATGCTCCGAGCTCGTAGATGAACACAGGACTCGTGAACCACGTAGCGTTCATCCCAATGAATCCTAACGTCATCGAGAAGAAAAGGGCAAACATCCAACGGCATTCCCGGCGCATGGCAAATGCTCCGAGCACATACCATGGCACGATGAGCTGTACAAACATGAGTCCAGTTAGTGGACCGTCATGACTATTACTCACAGCAGAAGTGACATAGAAAGGTACGAAATACAGAGATTTCTTGTACGTCGCAGGCTCGATGTCCGAAGAAAGTTTGTTGTACCAGACGGCAGCCGATGCCATCATGAAGAAGGCGGAAAATTGGAGTGCCACATAAAGCCAAAGGACAAGCTAAAGGGCCGCAGTCAACTACTGATACCACATCTTGCAATCAAACCCAACACTCACATTATACATTCTGCTGATTATGCGAGGTGCGCCAACGCTAGTCAAGGTAGTTTTCAAATATCCCTAAGATGATGCATGAGCAAACCACACTGATACCGGAGCTGACGACTCACCCGAATGATTTTGTACACGAGGAAGCACATGATGAAGAAAACAACGGCGTTCACTCCAATTAGCTTTTTATAACACTTCAGCTTTGCCTTTTCAAAAGAAGGAGATAATAAGACATACTGCAATGAGATTACCCTCCTCTCGCCAGCCACCCAAAACATCCACTCCTCCACACATGTCGCCGACTATGACGTTCGTGTATTGATCGCGCGTGGTCTTGTCTGTGTAAACACGGAACGAGGCCCAAGCGGTGTTCAGCGCATGGCTAGCAAGCACTACAATCCTATGGAAGAGTAAAGGGGCTGGTGCGGTGAAGATATGATTTAAACGTACAGATGAGGAATGGATTCCGAAAGAAGCTGCACAAACGCTGTCAAAGATAGCAGACTTTCAGAGCATACAAGATACGCACACCGACGACGGAGAGCAAGAACTGCCAGGTATGGAAGATGAAATGTGTAATATCCTCGCTCATCGCATCTCTCAAGCTAAAAACTCATCAACAGAGATATGCAGGCAAAAACAGTGACATACAAGGTCTCCAGCGGAGTTAACGATTCAACGCACTCCAAGCTCAATGTAGCAGCACCGAATGCAGCGTCGGTAACATGCACGCCCACAACAACGCCATCCTCGTCTACGACCTGTGCGGTGCCCAGCGTATCCTCAACGACTTGATCATAAAGGCGAACTGAGGTTGCACTGAGTTAGGCATTTTGAGGAGTATTGGGATATAACGTACGTGCTCGCGTGGCAAGAACCGGACTGATGGAACTATTCGATGCCGGGATACAGGTGGTTCCTGCTTGATTCGGGATGCCATTGCACAACATGACCTGGTTGCCCTCAATTACTGAGAAGCCTTTCTGAATGCCGGCCGTGAAGACGATATCGGAAACAAAGTCCCTCCCCTGCATGCTCATGACAAACTGCATGGTCATGATGGTCGTTTGTGCAACAGAGTTGGCGAAGGCGAGAACGAAGAAGCATAGCGTGAATCTATTGAGAGTGATCCTACGATACTGTGTAACTTATGGGTGAGCATTTGCAAATGCCAGAGAGCAAAGCGGGGACTGACCCATGCCTTGAGGGTTGCAGGCACAGATTTGGTCGTTACAAGCTCCCTGAGCAACATAATTAGGAACAGGCCTTAAAGCTCGAAACGTGTATGAGCGTGCGCACGAGCCAGCCGTGCTGAAGCGGAAGGAAAGAAGGGCGGAGGGAGGGTGGAAGGAGATCCGAGTCTAGCAACGCCGGGTTGCAGGATGGAGAGGACTGGCCATAAGGTGGGTGCGCCTATATGCGCTGGCCCGTGGAGCCTTTGCATGGTTTAGCGTCAAACAGAAGGGGAGGGCGGATGACGCTCTGCCAAATCAAGGGACATGAAACTGCCGAGACATCAGTGGGACATGGCAGGACATGGCTGTGTCCTTCTCCGCAGATCTTCGAGACGCTCATCATTTCACCGCACGGCACTTCCCGGATTTAGTCCCCCTTCCACTTCGACGCTGCCATCATCCCGTCATGAAGCATACACACTTGAGCACTCAGCGCCAAATAACTTCTCACACGAATATCTCACACTTCTGGCTCTCTTCTCCACTCGTTACCAAGCGCCTTGCGAAGCCCAAATCAGCTGCATCAAAATCAACGTTTTTGTGAACTACATATACAGTATGATGATCAGAGTGATATAGGTGTCATCAATATGAATAACTGTGGGCCTTGCTTGGGCAAATCTCCTGGCCCCGGCAACCACACTTCGAAGTTCTGCCAGCTTAAGGCAGTTGAAATTAACTAGCTGCTGGCTTAGAACTCTGTCGTTTACCCGCCTACCTCCCTAGGAGAACGTAAGTGCTGGAGTCAAATATGTCAGTTCCAAACACTGTCCCTCGATAGAGACAGCGCGCAGACAACATATATGGACAGTACAAAAGGATTGGCTCTGGCAAGGTTGACCACTCAGCAAACTCCAAAACTATATCTTACCTGTTCGATGACTTCTGACGGGTAGATTCCCAGCGCTCTCATAATGGTTGGCTAGCTCATCAACGCGACGTCAACAGCGTGGGCAGTCGCTAGGTACCCCCTCACCAATGTTCTTGTTTGCTTAATGATCTTGTACAATGCTTGGATTTCGTGCCCTCGCGTGTACCTATGCGTCATCGCCCCTCAGCCAATCTCTGCCAACCTCAACTATCAGATCAATAATCGCTTAGGGCCAGGTTTTGTCAAGACCTGTTCAGCGCTAAGGCCCATTGATGAGCGACTTGCTTGCTCTGGATGTAATGGTCAGTACGAGTAAACCACAGCCATAATAACGTCTATGAAGATATATAAATTAGTACTGTATACGTACTAGTCACGTAGCATACGTAGTTTGTATGACGGTGAATCCCTCCGATTACCAGACGAAGCTGAATAACTCAAGTACTGATTCAAATGGAATCAGCGCCATCGAGTGCGGGTACGGTAAGAAGCATGCTCACCTGGGCAGCTGAAGCAGGTAAGGCTGCGGGTTTGTCACCGACTCGACGGTGGGGCGCGTCTCGCACGTCCCGTTATTGATGCACTGGGCAATCGCATTTCCCGCATCCACGCCCTCGTAGTAGGCCCCGTGCAGGAAACCTGTACAATATCGACGGCATGAGCTTTAGTACGATTGATCCACGATTTGATTGACAACTTACCATAGTACTTCAAACTGGTCGCCTCGCCCGCGAACCATAACCGTTCGCCGACTGACGCCCGTAGATCCTCCGCGTGGCCGTTAACGAATGACGGTGGCCAGTTGGAGTATGATCCTCTAAATAGCGGGTCTAGGCTCCACCGGGGGTAGTGGAAGGCTAGGGGCTCAGGAATGGTCACGTTCGGATACATGCTGCGAAGGACACCGACAATTTCCTCCTTCACTTGGTCATCCGTCAACAGGTTGCAGCGAAGAGCAAAGTCTCCCTATAGGTGCCTTGTCAGGGTTCGAACACAAAATAGCGGGAGATAAAAACATACTGTAACGGTGACGAAGAGGATACCCGAGCCAGGGAAGAACTTGGGGTGGTCCAGACTCTGCCAGACAGGATACCGTCCTCGTTCAGGGTCAGCGTAGACGGCCACCTATGTATAGACCAGTAAGCTTTCATCATGATATATACAGAGCTTGACTTACCTCAGTGTCAAACCAGAAATGCTCCGGGAATTGGAGGAATATCTTGGTATAAGTAGCCTAAGACGATCATTAATCCATGCATCATATCCCAGTTATTGGCCACCACCTACCATCCGGACGCTATTAATAGCCTCCTCCTTCCACGCTGGCAAAGCAGGCTTGAAGATTACATCCTGGTGTTGCAAGACACCGACGCTGAACGTGCAGATGACATAGTCTGCAGTCAGCGTCGCGCCGTCAGTAGTGGTAACGGCGACGCCAGTGTCGTTGTATGCGATGGTCTTGACGGTGCTGTTAAGGAGGACCTGCTGAGGCTGAACGAACTGCTCAGCCTCGTGTTGAATGATGACCTTGTACCCGCGTTGGTCAACGCACAGCAAGTTGTCTTCAGAAAAGCCGCCTTCTTCCGGGACGTAAGTGAGGTTATTATTCTAAGAGTAGACATTAACGTCCGTTCCCTTCCCTCAAAAGGAGAAACACACCCAAGCAGAAGCGATCCAAGATGTCTGGGCTGGTGTCTGGTGGCGAGCGCATGAGCAATCTTCAATAACACACAAAGCCGACCAGCTCACCTGTGCATCTGTTGCGAGTAATCTGATCAGATATTTTTGACCAAAGACACTTATAAATGAGATCATGACGTACATTCCTACGCGAAAGGTGTAGCAGATCAAAAGAATGGTGCACTACAGTCAAGTGAAGTTACGCACAAAGTCAACTTGCCAGTATTCGGAGGCAGCCTCCTGCGGCGTTTGAGCCTGTTCATTGATCATCGAGTATCCCGAGAACAAACTCATGTCGACTTGCTGGTTGGCGACGCGAGCACCTACATCGCATCCCGTCAGCGTACTACTTCCCGCCGAGGAGTATAAACCTCACTCACCAGCAACAACGATAGCATTGTCAAATGCGTCAACCGCATTGTTGAACACGTCTGTATAATTGTTGTACCCCGTCCAGTCGTACGTCAATACGTCATCGTACAGGTCGTTGTTCACCGCCGTGAGGTTCGCCTTCTGAGCGAGCGTCAGGATTGGGTTAGGCGTCCCACCCTTGACCACCGTGCCCTGGATCCAGTTGGGCCCCAGCTCGACCGTGTACTGCTTACCCGGGATGCCAAATGTGTAGTTCTGCATTCGCCCACCGAGCTCGTGTCGCGCCTCGACGATCGCGTAGTCCTCGATGCCGTTCGTGTGAAGGCTGTGCGCCGCCATCACGCCCGCAACGCCGCCACCGAGGATGAGGACCTTGTAATGTTTGGCGCTGCTGGCTTCGTTGTCGTTCGCGGCAGGAGATTGAGCGAAGACAACAGACGTGTTGAGAAGCGTAAGTGCCGTCAAGACGAGGCCAAGAAGACCGCTCAAAGAAGCGGAAGGCATAGCAGTAGGACGGCTGAGACTCCTGGGGAGCCGAAGAGGGCGGGGCACTCATCCTTTCATTTTCCAGGTTATATATGTAGGGTCATGCGGCGAGCGTCAATTATAGTTGAGACGCTCTAGGTCCCCCTCCCACAGGGACACGAAGTAGCTTCTCGAGCAGGTGGGCTACCTTATCGGCAGAATGATGGAAGAGACGCGAGACGCGTGGGGCCCGAACCGATGTCCGTAGCCACGGTGGGATGTTGCCAATATTGCATCAACCGGAACATGGCCTTTTCGACATTCTGACAGCCGCAACGCAGGATCGACATCGTAGAACATTGACAATATGTATTAAATCTTCAGCCATGTGATGAAACCGGCCACCTGGACAAAGCAAATTATCATAAAGAGATCGGAACGCGCAATTCACTCTCAGCTGTTCTCTGTTGCTATCTCATCCGTCCTTGGGGGCAGCAGTATCATAGCAAAACATACCATTGAGTTTGCAATTACAGCTTCTAGGAACATACACCTCCATGGGAGGGACAGTCGCCAATTTCAGTCCCGTCCCAGGAAACTAACCAAGGCATACCTGATTACACATTATCAGGATAACACATACATGGACAAATGAACAAAGACGCACTTTCCGCTGACCCTCCAGCGTTCGCCCTTCTCGTCCAGTGCCCTTGCAACCTCTTCTGAAACACCTACCGCAACATCCGCCTTGTTCGTCCGGAGACTTAGGATGGGGAATGATCCGGCGAGAGGTCCTGATAGAATCACCAACGGGCTCGCTCATATCGCGTGTCAAATAAGCAAATTAATTTGGTCCATACCAATAGCATCTTTGAAAGGCGTTGACACGGGCCATTGCGTATCTCCAGTGAGCCTAGCATCTATTAAGCCACTTTGAAACGTGGACGACTCTTCGTGGTGGACGTACTTTCGGTAGCTTAGGAGCAATGAAAGCCAATCGACGGTTTAGTCATCCGCACTCAAAGTTCGACAGGAACTCACTTCAGATCGCCCTGGACGATAATTATCAGCACCTCTTCGCTGAAGACACGCTAAACCCCACCTTGAAAATGACGAGCTCACTCTTCGATAGCCAGTCCCAAGCCTTGGGCCCTTGCGCTTCCATGTTCCAGTAGGGCCAAGGTGCAGTCCAATACTTAGTCATTTGGATGAAGTCTTCGTTACTATCTCTCATCCTTGTAGCCAGGGTAAATGTCCCATCTTCAATGTACTTCTTCCAACGAGAAACCATACGTGCAAGATTCTCCTTCGCCTCTAAAGATGGTGCATGTGCAAAGAACGCGTCCGCCTCCATGGACTTGATAGTCTCGTCAAAATCGGCGGGATTTACGTCGGACACAAACCATGGCATAAGCTTCGGGCTAAAATGGTCTGCGTAAGAAAGATCCTATGCGCCGCCACCACACATGGCTTACTGGAAGATGATCTTGGAAAAGTATGGCGTGTAAGTAACAAAGAAGTCGGCGAGGACGAAATCGGTAAAAAGCTTCGCAAAGTTGAGCTAGACGCCACGGGAACGTGGGCATGGCTTCATACCTCAAATCCGGCTGTGCCAGCAGCGGTTAATTTCTTCAGAAGTATAATGATGTAGGACCACATACAATTGTCCAAAACTATATCGCAACGTCCACCTTTGAGTTTGCTGATATGTTCCCAAGCCTCATCCTGATTATCGAGCAGAATGAACTCCTTTCGCGCCTGCTGTGCCTCCTTACCCACTGTCTGCAGTCGTTCAATATCCTCATGGGACATGTGAGTGAGGAGGGACAGGTCCTGACAATTTGCATGAGACTTGTTGGCCCCCGATCGTACAACTGACTTACAGTCGCATTCCCCCTGTGACTCAATGCTCAGCTTTCGTTCCACAACGCGAGGCTTTTTGCGTACCAAAGGCACATCTGGATCATTTCCCGGTAGAGAGCTTGCAGCTTCTCCGGATCATTCTTCAGAATGTCCTTCTCTTTTTCGATCTGATCCATAGTGGAAGCGATCTCTGTAGTAGAGAGCGTGAAGCCAAATATTGGATGTAGGCATCAGAGGATCATCGCTCACGAAATACTGCAGCTCCACTGTTCTTGAATGTCTCATTCTTTTGAGCGAAGAAAGGATCAAACCCGCGCCAATGCTTCGTCTGATTGAAGTATGAACGCAGTAGTCGATAACTGCAGAGGGTGTTCAGTGTTTATCGCCGTTCAGAGCTTTGTCTCTCACAGGTGGCATCTTTAGACAGAGTGTAGTCAGGATAGAAGGCGATGACAGCGAGAACAATAACAGACGTACTCAGCAAATAACCAGGGTGCGGTGAACCAAGTGTTCCGCGAGCTCTGAGCCAACCGCTCTAGGTCTGCGTTGTATTCAGCAACATACATATCGCCATCCTCGGGCACTTTCCTGTTCGGCAATTGCGCAACAAATTTGGAGGTCAGCACTAACATTGAAATAATGACATGCATATGCCACTTACTCAAGAGGGTAATCTCTAGCCATCTCATATTTCAAACGACTAATAGTCTCAATTATCTTCTTCCCCTCGTTTATGTTCTCGGTGATATTCTGAGGGGCTTTTTCGCTGCTGTTTTGAATTTCAATTGTCATGTCGTGAAGCAAGTGGTGGACGTGATCAATAACGCTGGTCAAAATGACAGGCCATCGCTTGAGGACAGACTCATAACTTGAGTACAATAACTTTCAACCGGGATTGCAGCGATCTGATTTTGTAAGACGACGCACGAAAACCTGATTGGGATCTCATTAGTCCTATGAAGCCTGCATGAGTGAGGCCGGAAGGCCGACGCGAACTCACCCAGACTTATCAATAGGATCGCAAGGAGGATAGGGTGCTTCATACAACTCTGACATGATGACGAAGTGGGATCAGGTTCCTCAACTCTGCCTGATTGGTAGTTCGATGCAACAAAGCGGATGAGGGTCTTGGCCGTCCGAAGCAAGTCCGAAGAGCGATAAGGCTTTAAACACGTTCGATCACCTTGTACGGGCCGGAAAGTTTAGCGCTTAGCAGACGCGCTCAGGGTCACATGCTTTGACAAACCTATCGTGTGACCACGAGGCACGTCGTGTTTTTATCTGCGACCAGACCTTTATCTTCTCCTCAAGGGACCTTTCAGCTCTTCCAACCGACACCCCTCAGTTTCCTCTAAATTGTTCATAGCGAACTTCCAACATTTTGGCGTGTTACGTCTCGTTACTCCCACCATCCTCGAGCTCAAGAACGAGCTTAATCCGACCCTTGCAACTTGAAGCTGCTCGCAAGTACGCGGCCGCTGCGCGGTCTATCGGCGGGTCGAATATCCAATTCTCTGAAAATACCAAAATATTGAGCATTAGAGGGTATCGCTCTACAACCAAGTGGCTTGTATGACAACATAGGTGATATCGAGGTCTAAATTTTAATTTGCTTTGGCCAAGTAGGCCTGGTATGCCTTCGGGGTAAACGATTTCTTTCGAGAAATTATCAGCTCAATGGAGAGGATCCCAGCCTACTCTAATGTCTTACCTGAGAGAACGCATGTATTTGTGCGATCTCGTTCTTCAGAGCTTCGTTGACTAGCATATCCGTTCACTCATGGCTGTTTCTGTGCAATCCAGGGCACTCACTCATTCTATGTCTGGCCAGTACGGTCTTCCCTTCGAACGCCTGTGCAAACAAACTTTGAGTTAGAGTGACGTATCTCAGCGCACGTTGTGCGCTCCAGTACAACGGTACATGCCTCGCTCACGATGAGTACCGCATAACTGTTCCCACACCCACTCGACTGGTCTTCAATCTCAAGATGAGCGACCGGAAACGCTTCTTTGATTGCTCTGTCAAGATCTTCTGCTTTCACGGGCATGATGGGGAGCAAGAACCGGGAAGGACGCTTCGATGACGAGGTGGACAATATCTAAGGAGATTCAAGCTTCAAGGGTGGATTATAAATATAAGAAGTGGGCAGTCGGCCGAGAAAGTCATCTGATAAGATTGGCGACGTTACCACGGTCGGCGCCCAAGAGCTTCCGCGCCGATGAGATCATTCCCCCTATTATCTCTTCCACCCCCTACTCCCGCAACAGGTTTTGTCACTAGATGACCATAACTTACGAGTCTCTCGCTCTTGCAGCATTTTACTACCCTGCAATTGACAACCACGCCCATCCATTCCTAACAGCTTCGCAGCGTTCTGCTTTTGACTTCGAGGGGCTTATCTCTGAAGCTCAGGGTGATGCCTTGAAAGACTCTGTTTATACACTCGCGTGTTTTCGAGCTGCCGCTGAGCTCGGCAACCTCTATGGAATGGAGGAAGACGATGTTTCCTGGGAAGCTGTCAAGGAGAAACGAGCAAGCCTAGATTATGACGAACTTTGTGCCATCAATATGAAACCCACAGGCATTCAGTGCATCCTGATTGACGATGGACTGGGAGGCGTAAACGAGCTTGCAGAGAGTTACTCATGGCATGACAGATTCACGACAAGCCCGACAAAACGCATAGTGAGGGTGGAGGTGGTAGCGCAGGTGCAACATATCTGAGGCTCCTTAGTGCCGGGCATTGACCGTCGATATACAGAATACCTTAGAGCAACTGGTTGAGCAGTACAATGCATCCCCACTTTCTACGGACGTATTATGCGATGCATTCTCTTCCAGATTTTTTGAAAGCATCAAAGCTAGTGCGAAGGACCCTGAAGTTGCAGGCTTCAAGTCTGTAGCCTGTTACAGGTAAGCAAACCCTAGATGTTAAAATATATCGCCGAACCTACCATGATACAACAGAACTGGCTTGGATATATCATTAAACTGCACCTCAGAAGAAATCCAAAATGCCTTCGCAGAGGCCACAGACGGTGTTCGCCCTGGAGATAAGATTCGTTTGTCAACCAAGGTGCTCAACGACTATCTTGTGCGAATAGTTCTCGAGATTGCCGGGCAATACAAAAAACCTGGTTAGTCAATACTTGTTTCGTAATATCTCTCAGCTAATCAGACACCTCTCTAGTTCAATTCCATACAGGTCTGTCGAAATCTGAGTTGCTCAAAAATGTTTCTTACTAGCCATCGCCAGGTCTTGGAGACAATGACATTAAGCTCGTGAAATCATCACCCGCTCATATGCAACCCATCATCGAGGCATATCCTGACACTACCTTCGTTCTTCTTCACTCGAGTTATCCCTACACTCAGGACGCCGGGTACTTGGCCGCGGTATACAAAAATGCGTATCTTGACTTCGGGGAAATATTCCCGTTCTTGTCTGGGGATGGTCAGAGGGCGGTTATCCGCCAGGTTCTCGAGTTATCTCCTGCGAACAAGATCTTGTGGTCCAGTACGTATCATCATGTTGACCGAGGTGGGATTAATTGCTAAGTTAGGATAGCCGACGGCCATTGGTGGCCAGAGTCTTTCTACTTAGGGGTGAAGCAGTCTCGTGAGGCATTATACGAGGTACGTATAGCCTGCTTACCCGATCCCTGCACTAACTTTGTTCCCTCAGGTCTTAGCTGAGAGCGTTCGCCGGGAAGAGCTTACCGAAACGCAGGCTGTCGCGATTGTCCAAATGGCATTATTTGAGAATTCCAACAGAATTTACGGCTTGGGTTTACAACCCAACTTATCCATTCTCGGCTGATCTTATATAACAGTAAAAATATACATGTATATGAGCATGATATGTTCCTTCTCAAGGTCTTACGGGCAAGAGATAGACTCAATGTTAATGTTGAGGTTGCCTTGCTGAAGGACGCAAAAAGTCAGGGAGTTATTTAGGTGAGAACTGTTGGTCCACTCACGTAAGACGAAAGCGCGCTACGAGCCGATGTCGCGATATCGAAAGCATTGACACCAGGCGCCTCGCAGCACTCCTTCGGGTTGATGTTCTGAATGGATATGAGCCTTGCCTGATTTTAAAGGGAATAACGATCACTTACGCCGCCGAACTGGGAAGTCTTGCAGTAATTCTCGGGGTGTTCAGACGGGCATCTATGGGGGACGATTCATCAGCGGGCTGCGCAGACAACAGGGAGGAGCCGAGAGACACTCACGCATCGATAACCTTGACGACGATGCTTTGACCAGAGCAAGAACCAGAGGTTTCTCCATCCAAAGAACTGGCACCTGAAACCGTTGAGTAATTTTTATCTGGCCGGTTCACGAGAAATAAGCTTACAGCTTATGGAGAAGCACTATTGTGATGGTGTTAAATTTCATGTGCATTAACTTGATGAAAAGTGAGCTTACCAAACCACACTGGCCTTCACCAGCGCAAGAAGCTGTCAATCAAAACCGTAAGTGCATGTATAAACATGCAGACTCTTCTCCTACTCACGTCCAGTGCAGTCATTGCACCCGCCGGAACCATTGCTGTTACAGAATTCATAAACAAACGATAACGCAACTATTCGCCATTGCCTTACCACTTGCTGCCGTCAATGCTGCCGGCGCACTTGGGTCCCGTCCAGAGAGGAGACAAGTCGCCCAATGCAGCTGCGTAAATACCGTTGCCTTGGTCATTTGAAGAGCCAAAGCCTGAGCATGCGACACCGCCCTGGGAGTCGTACTGGCCAGCAGGTCTAGTCAGTGAACTAGACAAATGCGCATGAGCACAACGGTAACGCTTGAGCACTTACGTCGTTGAAGGTCGTGACACCAGAGTCACCCTTGGCAAGCAGGGCAGACGCAAGAAGGAAAGGGAGGGCTGCAAAGAACATATTGTGATGTTGCTGGTATATTTGAAGGCTGTTGGGACACTGGTATCGTGCAATGACCTCAAGCCTCTTTATACCTGCAAAACTGAGGTGAACTGTCGTCCGGCTGTAACATGAGCGTAATGTGCCGGTATGCTGGAGCCGCGGATGGGCTTCGAGTGCCTTTCCAGCGATAACGAGCGGATCAATAGAGTGCAGGTGCGTTGCCTTGCATTACACTACATATCATAGGTTACACTCACAGAATGACAGTCAACGACAGTGAGTGACGTCGCTTGGTCGTAAATGAATCTAGCGTGGCCGAGGATCACAAGCAGGAAGTTCGGTGAACTGAGATGACTTGAGATGACTTGCGATGATCTGCGCTAGCCTACATGGTCGCCTTGTGACACATGATCCATGTATCATCACTTTACCCCACAGGATTATCCGGGCCAACGTATGTCGATATGCAACAAGGTGCAAGAGGCCCTGACACAGGTGGAGACTTTTGATCGTGCCCACCGACCTTTATCCGCAGAAGATCAGATGTCTGTTTGCCACGTGGTGGGCTATGTTAAGGAAGCACGATCGCAGCAGGTGAGCATGAGTCTCAGTCCGGGGTAGACAATCGGGAAAAGTACAAGCATGGTACTAGACATTACTCAAGTTGTAAACTGTCAAACAGTCACAATGTTTCTCATGAGTGTTATTACCCCGGAAAGACTTGACAATATACAATGGCGACCCAGCTTTAAGTTATGGATGCCTCTTAACTAATCTTCCCACTCTTCTTCTCCGTCCAGGAATTCAGCGCCGAGGGATTTTGCCGTTGCAAGTGCCAGTTCCTCTTTGCGTTGAGCAAAACCCATCAGAGATATGAGAATATCTATTTGACCTGTAAGACGTATTAAATCAGTTAATTGTTATCTCAATGCTTTGAGTATGAAGGATAGATGCACCTTCCATGTAATGTTCCAGCATCTGCCTGGTTGCGGGACGAACATCCAAGGATGATACCCGAAACTCCGTCAACCTCAAAGCCATCGAGCCAATAGTGCCCCTCTCGATAGAACTGTTCGAGATTTGTAGAGCCAGCTGTGGCTCACTGTCTTGAAACAGTCCCTTCGATAATTTCATCTGTAACATTTCTTGCAAGAAATCTGCGGCGTCTAGCTCAGTTTGAAAAGCTGGGGTTTCCTCTGTGCGAACAGCTTCAAGCATTTCTTCCCATAAAGTTTCGGCCCCGCGGGCATTGCGACCGACTTCATGTTTCTTAGCTGAGCCACCGAGTTGGAGTACAATGGTATCGTCAGGATTGTTCGGGAGAGAGAAACCATAGCCAAGGATGAGCTCTGAGTTTGGTTTTGGACCATAGTTATTGTAAATTTCTTGTCCTTCGTTAAAAGCATCATGCGACACGATAGAGATGGTAGTCTCTGTGGATACTTCTGGTTCAGATGAGCGCCCAATGACCCAAGAGACAGGTTGGGCGCGGCGGTGATTTAAAGAGTCAAGCACCGGAAGCAGAATAGGATAATTGGTTGGCGAAGACTCTAGCGAAGGCGTTCGATCAAGTAAACTGGATGGGAAGGCCCTCGAAGAAAGATATGTAGCCGATGAATAGTACCAATTCTCCCTAGACAAGGGTGTCAGAAATGAGGAGCGATAGTTGAATAGACTAACAAATATGAAGAGGGACTCACCATTGGGAATAGCTCTGATTACCATCATTAATTCGAGCACTGAGCGACAGCTGTTGCATCAGGGGCTGACAGGTCTCCCATTCAAGTTTCAGCTGTTTTCTGCGATCTAGAACTGCCCCATGGATATTTGTACCAGCGAATGCCCTGAGTTCATCTTCTGAGAATTGCATCGGCGTCGTGAGCTTCCCGAACGATGGAAGGCAGTCTAGGTAAGGCTTATATCGTAAACATGCGGGGCGACTTGGACATGCGTCGTAAGTTTATTATAACTCCAAACGAATCGTTTGCTCACTTTTCATCTGGGTAAAGCCAGTGGAGGCATATATATGTACAGATCAGCTGCCTCTCGGACCATGACTCCAGTGAATGTGAGCTGGTCAGACTGTAGATAGCTCCGCGAGCCAAGGAGGGGGTGACGACTAATGAAGCAGGGATCGTTGCGACGCTGACGTCTGGTGGAAGGTTTGCTTGCGCGATTGCCGAGCATCCGGATTCGCCTGATTGGCTCACATAAGGTTGTTCGATGGTCGTTACAATATCTATCATGATGACATACCCTCCACTAGGGCAACGGATGGGTGAAAAATGCCTCCATTTTCAAAGAGCCACTCTTTAAGTGCAACAAATCTGTGGGACTCGGCCAAAGGTGTGACTGTCATCATGGAGATGTTGCAAGTTTTGGCGCCGATCGTATGGAAATTGACGCGGAGACGAAAGCTTGCCAGGTCCAAATTTAAACGCATATGCATGTCAAGGGTCATGTGACATGGCCGCGCTTCGCGAGCCTTCGCGTCGATGTAGCCCAATTTAGCATCTGTGGCTACTTCAAGCACCTCCAAGCACTACTCATCATCACTCATTTGCTCCCTGTTGCACATTTCTTCATTGCTATCGATAGAAGTGAACTGGTTTCAAGGTGCAGACTAGTCTTACACCAATCTATCTGACCTTTACTGGTTAAGAGTGTGGAAGTGCTCGGGCTCCCGCTATACCCCAAGATGCCGCCCGCCAACAACTTAGAAGAGCTACGAAGGAAGAGGGAGGACATCATTGACCTCACCTTGGTACCCTCCAAGGACCCTAACACATCAGCATCATTAAGCGGAAAGGTACGCACATCATGCCCAAATCTGCACATTGTAATGACCCGAGCATGATTTAACCCAGGCAAGCAGATTTCAGCCTGCAACAAACTCTACACCAACAACCTCGGCGTGTAAGATGATCCCTGACTTGATCTCAAGTTTCTCCGGACTTATGTCCATCTAGCACGCGCTTCCAAGTTCCAGGCCGGTGCTGCCTCTACAACCAGTGCTCCCGCAACCTCTGCATGTGAGAGCTGCTTGTATGTGCTGCGTAGTATCGAGCTCACTCTACTTGACAGTTCGTAGCAATGTGCCCAGACAATCGCTGCCTTCCTTTGCCACACCCAATTTCGGCAAAGGACTTCAGTCTGCGCCCTCCATCGAGCTTATTGAACCCCCTCCAGACGCATCATTTTCTAGCCGTCGCTCTTCTCAAAAACGGCATTCTTCTGTGTCTCCAGATTCGGGTCGGGCTAACTCACCGAAACGACTTAAGCAGCTTGCAATGCAGGAGAAAGAGAATATCGATACCATTGACACGTTTATCAACAATATCTCCAAAGGGAAAGGAAAACAGAAGGACAGGGATGAAGAATCTCGTCGGTCGCCGCTGCCGGTGAAAGTTCTATCAGGCCCAATGCATGCACCGGACCCAGCTGCGACCAACCGGGGTAGTGGTGAAGATGAGCTTAGCAAGGCGAATACATCGTTGGTCTCTATAGATTCTTCTGCTAATGCCGACATGCAGCGCTCCGTTGCTGATCTACTCAAGATGATGGTCAATAACTCAAATTTACGACACCACGTCATGAAACAAATGCTGCAGCATGAAAGGGCTACTGATGTCTACGACACCTCGTTTCTAGACAGTCTGATGTACGACAGCTACCGCTTGAGGATTTACCTATTGACTAACCGTCATCAGGACTCAGATAGAACAACGAAATTTACTTATCGAACGTGCGGTTGCGCAAGCAGAAAAGAATGCAAGCAAACCTTCTTCACAAGTTACCGGTAATGATATTCATCCCACCCCGCCTCGACCCCTCGTCCAAGAAATTTCGCATGATTTCTTTGATGATATTGAGATAGAGCCGCCAACGAAAGTGTCGGCGTCTTCTGGCTCTCAAACAGCTCACACGAGCTCTCCCTCTGCGTCCTATCCAGCATCTACTTCCACTCGCCAAGATCATACAGCCTCGCCATATTATTCGGAGATTATTTCAAATCTCAAGAATACTTTCAAGCTATCATCTTTCCGCACGAACCAGCTTGAGGCGATCACGGCTACATTAGACGGCAGGGATGTCTTCGTTCTCATGCCAACTGGAGGTGGAAAGAGTTTATGCTACCAGCTCCCCGCCATTTGCAAGACCGGAAAGACACAGGGAGTTACGATTGTCATCACACCGCTCCTGGCATTGATGACCGATCAAGTGATGGCGTTGAAGGCGAAGAACATTGACGCCGTCTCACTCAGTTCAGGTGCCTTTTGCGGAGAAACCACCCGCGACGTCGAGAGCCGACTCAGGAGGAAGGGTGCGCCAAAGCCGAGCTTGGTATACGTGACACCCGAGAGAATGCAAAACAGCAACTCTTTGCTATCTCTCTTGGACGAACTCAATGATTCAAAGCAGTTAGCACGCTTTGTTGTCGATGAAGCACACGTAATTCAATCTTGGGGTCGAGATTTTCGAGACGCGGTGAGTAACAAACCGTTCTTTGTACATCACGGGCAATACCGAACATATTCTAGTATAAGGAGCTTAATGTCCTTCGTAACAAATGGCCCAATGTTCCCATCATGGCACTTACTGCCACGGCAGATGAGACGGCAATCCGGGATATCACAACTCAACTCCAGTTGAAGGACGAAGTCAAGCTAATGCAATCTTTCAACCGGCCCAACCTAAGCTACACAGTACGCCCCAAGCCCAATAACAAGAAGCAAGCCACCCACGAAATAGCTACATTCATTAAATCGCGACATCCCAACAGCTCAGGCGTGGTGTACTGCTGGTCCCGCAATGATTGTGAGGAAGTCGCAAGTCAACTTCGCGACGACTTTGGCCTGTCAGCGCACTATTATCATGCTGGCATCGACACGGCTACGCGACCCGTTATTCAAAGCGACTGGCTCTCAGGCAAGTTCAAGATTGTCGTCGCAACAGTGAGTGGATATGCGCTCCGCTTTACCTTATCAAATGCTAACTTGATTTAGATCGCGTTTGGTATGGGCATAGACAAGCCTGACGGTAATTTGCTATCTACTTGCATGCAGTTCCCATATTGACAGAATCACAGTGCGGTTTGTCATCCACCATTCCTTGCCTAAGGATATGGACGGGTAAGAGTGTTTACCTCTTTTGCGAGGCGGATGACTGACATGTAAATAGGTATTATCAAGAGACGGGTAGAGCTGGACGTGACGGTCTTCAGTCGGACTGCGTACTTTGTATGTCTTGAGGTCAGCGTCGGTTGGCAATATCTAACTATTGTGACGCTTCAGTCTTTTCTAACAAAGACCTCATGGCGCGGTCAAGCATGGTTCAGAACGATAGTGAGAAGTCTGCTGAAGAAAAGGAACGCCAAGCTGCCGCCCTTCGAGCAGTAGCCACCTATTGCTCGAACGAGGTAGAATGTCGTCGGACCATGGTCCTTAGACACTTCGGCGAGAAGTTCGATCCCGCCAATTGCCACAAGCAGTGTGACAACTGTCGCAAGGATGGCGCGTCTGTCACCCAGGATCTCACTGCTTATGCGCAGAGAGTGATTGAGCTCCACAAACAGATGTCTGCTACAGGCTCCATGATCGCTACTGGGACTCTCAAGGCGGTTTTCAAGGGCCGAAACATCAAAGCGGTGCGGGAAGGCGGGTATCAGCAGCTCTCGTTGTGCGGTGCTGGGAAGGACCTCGATGCAGCTATACTCGATCGACTTATCGAGCATATGCTCCACAACACCAGCATTCTTCGCATTGAACGAGTTGCTAGAGGACAGTGGACCCAGAACTATGTGGAGGTAATTAATATCCTTGCTATTTATCACGCATTCTCGAGAGATTTTGACTCCTTCATTTGAAGCTGGGGGACCAGGCCGACGACTGTCTCAAAGGACGTCTTCAAGTCTGCCTGGCTTTCAGAGATGAAGACATTGGCTCCTCCAATCAAAGCTACTCTGGGTCATCCATCGGACGGCAGCGGCCAGCAAAGGCACCCGCCAGTGGTAGTACGCGGCCTAGGGAGTCCGTTGACGCGAACAACTCCTTCAACGAGGACGACCTTTACGATGACAACGACGGTGACCCGATTTCTGATTTTGAACCCATTAGGGAGGCACCAGATCCCCAGCTAATGGGCACTACATCATTGTCAAGAGTACCGTCCAATGCAAGTTTTGCTGCATCGAGGCCAGCTGAGCACGATAACACGGACATAGATGAGGAGCTTGTGCAACTGCGTGAGCTTCGTCAAAAGGTGTGTCCGTCTATAGTGTATGTTGCGCAGCTGCGCTTAAGTTTCGTAGTTTGCTGTCCAAAAAGGGGTCAATTGCGAAGAAATTTTCGAGGACTTCATTCTCGACAGCATGGCCGCAGTTCGTCCAAAATGTGAGTCTCTCCTGGCTGTTCTTCGGAAAGCGCTTATGAGTCCTCAGCTATTGATGAGCTGAAAGGATTGTTGTCGACTCTTTGCCCGAATGAAGAAGAAGCTCTAGTGAAGCTAGACCGGTATGGCAAGGGGTTTGTGAGGATATTTGCGCATGGCAGCAGGTAATCCACTAAATGGCCTCTGCCTTGATTAAGCTGCCATCTAATTGTCTCTAGTGATAGCTTAGCTGGCCTGAAATCCACCACGCCATTCCACAGTTCTCAACTGCATCGACAATATGACTATGCACCCTAGTAGTCATCTATATACACAGAGGCCATTATTTTAAATCTGGATTTTTGATCATTTTGTCATTGCAATATTGTCTTCCCCATTATTCTATCTGCAACGTCTAGTATAGAGACATCATCCGCTTCACATCACAGCACTAAATCATACCAACTAATTAGCGCGCCAATCCACCACTATAATTAGATGATAATCATGGTATAGACATGTAATCAACAATAGGCCTGCTAGAGCAAATCAAACTCGAGTTCAGAAAGACTACCCTGGACCAGCTGCAGATAGCTCAAGAATTTGAAGGCGATGTTGACACAAAATTCCTGTGTATTAATACTCTCTTCTACATATATTCTAATGTAAGTATGTAAAGCAAACAAATTAGCGACGTCGCGGAAAGAATGGTGGCGGAAAGAATGGTGTAGACTCAGACATTATAGTATTCAAACGCCGGAGCGCCTGGTTCTGAAGTCTCGATGATGGCCTTTGAGTAACCCGGACCCTCCCTTGCCAGAGCCTCGTCAACAAACATAACATCTGCACCGACCAAGTTCAAAGACTTTTTCAAATATGGCAGGAACTGCGTCAACACTTCCGATTCGGAGAACGGTAGCCCTCTCCGGAAAGCGGTCTGTGCTCCGAACTCAGCCATCCGTTTCTGCATGAAACGATCAGTAACGAGTAGTTACTCAATGATACTTTCGGACAAACCTTGAACAGCTGAATGAAAGGCATCGCGCGCTTGTCCTTGATGAGGCCCTTCTGAGCAAGGATTTCGCGGACCTTAGCATCATCAACTTTGTTCGCCTTCTCATCATATGCGTCCTTGACCGCCTGCACGCACGCATCCTGCCACTCCGGGAACTTGGTCGCGACGTAAACATGAACGCTCTTGGGTTTCTTAGGATCGAACGGCGCGTCCTCGCCACCCTTGCCCTTCTTTCCCTTCTGGATCTTCTTCAGCAAGTTGGTCTCAGCGTCACGGATCGTCTTGACCGTCGTGCGCATGTACGCGCCGGTCTCAACGATAGTCTTGTCAACAGGCTTGGATGGCTCGGGCCAACGAGCCAGTTGCACGGACTTGGCTTCCTTCAGAATACCAGTCCAGATATGCTCGGCGAGATGAGGCGCGATTGGGGCGACGAGGAGAGCGGCAGTGCGGATCCAGTACTTGACGAGGTCGGCGTGCATACCAATGTCAGCGGTGACTTCACGATACCAGTCACGGGCGCTTTGGAACTCGTAGTAGCCGTACTTCAGCGCATCCTTGTAATGCATGCTACAAAGGGTTAGACATAGTTTAGGAAATGGAACGGACGACTGACTGTCCGTAATGACCCTTCGTTGTGCTGAGGAGGTCGTTGATTTCCTCCTCAAAAACGCGATCATGGTATGAATTCTTGGGGCCGGTTCTCAGCTTGGCCTCAGGCTTGAGCATGTCCTGTGAGATGAATAAGCCCCGTGCATGCACGTCTGGTTAGAGCGCTACACTCACCTCGCACCAACTCAGCAGTGTGTGTATCCGAAGAATCTGAGCGTTTGCAGTCTTCTCATCGAAGTTGGCGTCTTCAACACTGTCACCAGCATCTGCCAACGCCAAACGCGTCGCGTCCGCACCGAACTTCTCCACGCTCTCCTTGAGGGTCAGCGAATTACCCGTGCTCTTCGACATTTTCTTGCCGTTGAGCATCAGATGTCCGTTTGTACGCATGCTCAGTGGCCATTTCTCCTCAGGGAACAGTGCGACGTGATTGTACAAGCAGAAGGTAAGATGGTTCGGCACCAAATCCTTTCCGGACGAACGGAGGTCGAAGGGGTAGAAGTAGTTGTATTCGTGCTTCATCTTGTCCACCTTCTCCTTTGGCAGCGGCGCGGGATCGGGCCAAGGTCCGTCGCGGAAGATATACTCCCAAACCTCGTCCGTCAACTGGTCAGGCGTGATACCCAAGGGTCCGATTTCGCGGCCGAAGTAATCCTCTAAAGCGCCGTTAGTCGAGTCCAAAGAGGCGAAGACAAACCACGTACTGTGCAACAGATGAGCGAAGGGGTAGTAGGCCTGGTAAACGGTTGAGTCACTCAGACTCTCCACGAGGAACTGAGGATCCCAGGGCAGCTTAGAGCCGAGGCCGTAAGTGCGAGCACATGCCCACTGGTTCAGCCAGGCAAGGGTTGCCTCAAAGGCATTACGCGTTTCTGTAGTATACATCTCCATCTTGGCCACCAACCTGTGCACATTCCGGGGCGTTCAAGTTAGATTCTCCAAGAAGAAGTCGTTCACGCACTTCTCAGTCTCCGCCCGCCACGAGGCTTCACCATAATCAAGGTACCACTGGTCCATCAGCGCGACGACACACTCGTCTGTACTGCGAGAGATGACCAAGCCCTCGGGCTCGGCGTAGGCAAACGCAGCACCTTTAGCAATCATGCTGTCCCTGACCTTCTGCTTAGCGTCCTGCACCGACAGTCCCTTGAACTCTCCGATAACCATCGTGCCCGAGTAGAAGCCTTCCTTGTACGATATTTCCTTTGCCTCCGCGAGTTGCTTCGTGTCTTTCTGCGACTGGATCTTCAACTTCTGGACCAGAGCGGGAGCGGTCATCTCGCCATAGGTTGGCGTGGAGAGTACGGCGACTGGCTCGAAAGCAGCCCATTTGGGGTCAATCTTGTAGAACTCTGCCTTCTTGCGCAGATCCATCAGGGTCTGGTAGTCATCTGGAGAGTCGGAAGGGACGGAGGTAACGACACCAGTACCCTATATTGATAGTCAGCGGAATAAACGAATCCCAAGATCTTGAAGAACGCGCCTTTGTAGGGAGAACGTTGTCCATGGGCAGGACATATACCTCGGGGTTTACTGAGAAGGGAGCAGAAACCTTGGTACCAACAAGGTCAGTTCCATCGATCTCCAGGATCTGCTGGATCTCTCCACGTCCCGACAAGAGACCCTGGAAAGCCATGTTGCGAGCAGCGCGATACGTGCAGAGGAACGCTTCTTGATCGTTGACGACGAAAACACCATACTTGATGGCGGTTCCGACAAAGCAGTTAGTCTGACCGTACCTGCGAGTCGGTGAGCCCGGGAGTCTGTTACCGTAGTTTCCGTATGCTTACATAGTCTCTGGCCGCAGGGTAGCAGCAACCATAGACACCTTGCGACCTCCAAGCTTTCCCTCAACAAGCTTCTTCGCCGCCTCGCTCCACTCGCGAACTTCCAGCTTGATGCCAGTGTATTCTTGGGGACCGAGCGCCTCTCCCTCTGACCGGTCGTGGTCCATGCAAGGCTGACCGTCTTTGGGACTGTAGATGGTGTAACGCTCTCCAAACTTGATTTTTCCAAGAGCATGAAGTTTGTTCGTCTGCCATCGTACGAAAGAGTCAAAGTAAGGATTGGCGTCAGTGGTGATGAAGGCGCGTCGCCAGTCTATCCGCGAGCCAAATGCATCATTGTCTTTCTAGGCCAAAGGTTCAAAGGAGTTAGGTGGTAAGATAGATGAGAGCTCACGACGCAGATAGGCGGGAAGAACTCCAGCCAGTAGTATGGGTCGGCAAACTTCTTGATATCGGTCCGCGGGATACCAATCGACTCCATGATTTGGAACTGATATTTATGCCCGGTGGACTTTGCCGCGAGTTTTCCTTTGGTGGCCTTACCCACTTGTTGCGATTGTGAGGCGTCCTTCTCCTCCTTCAAACCACCGGTCTCATCGTCGAAGCGCTCGAAGTTTTCCCCGAACATCTCCATTTCTCGGATGACTTTGTCCGAGGCAGACTAAAATGCATGTTTAGAATGTTCGACCTTTAGTAGAATGAGCCCCCTTACCTTGATCGGCATGCCCGTTGCATGGAACCCAAGAGGGTACAAGACACGCTTGCCAAGCATACGCTCGTATCCAGCGGCAAACTCGACTTTGGACATGGTGAACGCGTGACCAAGGTGAAGGGAGCCATTCATGTAAGGGAAGGCGAAGTTTCCGAACCACTTGGGCAGCTTCTCTTTGACCTCCGCAGGGCTGAGGCCCTTGAGCTCCTCGGGCGAGGGAGCCTCAACCTCAAAGATGCGATCTTCCTTCCACTTTTGCTGATACTGCTTCTCGAGAGACTGCAGCCAGTCACGCTTGCCTGTCTGATCACGGCGATCCCAGAATCAGTTTCGAGGATACAATGAGCACAGTGGGGACATACTTGGGCAAGCTCAATCGTCGCGGCCATGCTTGTGTTCGTGGAGAGGTATCTACGGAAGAGATGAGAGGATAATGTACAATGCCTGAGGGGACCGCCTCTTGGCGTAAGACGGAGGAGTAAGACTGAAATCTTTGATATAGATTACGATCACCTCTAATCCTCTTTTTAGCCTGCCTACAAACAGCAGGGTGCTCTACTCAGATCGAGTCAGAGAAACAGCGTGAGTTCTCACAACAATTGCAAATAGCCCGTTTGTGTCGCGCTCTTCAAAACAAGATTCAAAAGGTTCTTCATTTCAATATATGCAGCCTTTGCAAGGTTTTTTTCGTTACTAGTCAAGCTAATCTAACAGTACAGACCTATGTACTGTTATACGTGTTTCCCTCTCGTCCGAGACGCTATGCTTGCAAGTCCACACCTGATTAAGATTCTCGATCGAGATTTTGCCGAGATTTCAGAGCGTCACGAACGCGTCTCATAACGCGTGACCGTTACCAGGTGTGTCACTCGTACTCAGAGTTAACCGGAGTGGCTCGACCAAGACGACCACATACGCGTTTGGCGCATATACTATGCCAGGACCCTCCAATCTGAATAAGAAGAAAAAGAAGCAAGGAAAACAAAAGGTCCTATCTTCCAAGAATCCTCTGGGAACTCAAAACTCTCATGCAAAGGCGTCGCATGAACAAGACGAGAACACCGTTCCAGCCACGGTGCAGTGTGTGCAGTCTAACATTGACGAAGGAAAGCCAAATAAGCCGCCTACTGAGCTCAGATCTCCGCTCTCCTCTCAGCAGCGGCTCAATACCTTCGATGACCAAAACAGCGTCGGGCTCATACCGCCTCCTCCCTATATCTATGATCCCGGTAACGGACCACGCGTCCGCGATACACGCGGCTTTCTCTCTTCCTTCTTTGCCCAACCCCCAGCCCTCAGTGATCCTCTTTGCGCTGAGTTCGCTCAGGAAGAAGTCTTGCAAATGCTGCACACAGTCCTTCCAGAGGAGACCGCCTTGGTATAGATCTCATGGACGTACACAAGGTTACCCCTAACCATGGTTGCTGCAGATACTATGGTATAATAAGAGCCGGACCAAAGGGCGCATATGCCCCTCGTGTCGGAGACTTTACTGCTTGGGAGATATTCTACCTGATCTTATTGGAGAAGACCAAGCAAGCCGGCCTTCAGAGCCACGTTCCCCATACCTCTTGCGTGAGCAAACCATAAGCGGCTTGTGTAAGCAGAACCACCCTGCATCTCTCATTGGGTCTCGTTTTGACTGTATGCATCGTCTGCATCGTCTGCATCGTGTTCAGGTTCCCCGATGTGTTTTATACTCGCATCATTCAACTATCCCGGCGCTATCAAAACAACATGGGGTCGTGTTGCGGAAGAAATGGATGAAACAACATGGAATCTGCTAAATGGGCCGGGCGAGGGGCACGGGGATATGGGTCTCGGAATGCTCCTCAAGATGACACGTTTAGATGATCTGGGACTGGGGCAACTATGTCTTCCGGATGTTGATTTTGATTCTCAATCACTGTTAGAACCGCAGTGACTTCGACGGTCTCAGACGCGGGCCGCTTCATCACCGAGCATACCCTATCGAATATACCTAATTTCGTTATTTCAGGTGCGTGTCAACTACTTGCATATATTGCACGAGATGACAACGGTTCTTCAAGCTTCAGCTATCGTGACATTGCGCTTTCTTGCATTAAGGACTATCTAGCATAGATACGGACAACGCATACGACTACACCATGCTATATACCACGCCTACGAATCCGCTTCGGAACTCGCTCTGCGACGTGCCCCTTCAATTATTCAAAAGAAGTGCTCCACTCGCACTGCACGCACTGCCTTGCTCAAATGCGGGAGCAACCATGAGTGGGGCGGTTGGTGACCGGCCTTGGCCGAGCTTGACCGGTGACCGCCGGAAGTAGTAATGCCTTTGTTGACTGGTTGGTGCGTGCGAATATATAGGACTTTTCGCACGGTTGGCTGGTGGCCAGTGCCCCCTTATACTGGGCTCCCACCCGCCAAACGCCCCCAGCCAGCTCTGCCTATAGCTGTACCGTGCTTGCTCTCCCCGCATAAGTCCATCCCCCCTCCTCACTCTCGCTATCATCAAAGGTGAGTGCTCGCTCTATTTTTTTTTACTGCACAAACACTTTCGTGGGTCCACCTGCGTCGTCCTTGACGTTCATGCCCTCGTCGTCGTCGTGAGCGGCGTCGTCGCCAGCGTTCAGAGCGCATCGGCCAACCTATGTTTGTTTGGCTAGGCGCGTCGCGCCGCGCTCGCGTCTCCCCGTGCTCAGCGTGTTTCCCCGTGTCCTCTCGTGTCTCCGACGTGTCCAACGGTCCACTAACGCTACTCCACGTTTCAGATGCCCAAGGAAACCACGAAAACCAAGGTAAGCCTTGTTTAATTACCGCCTCCGCCCGTGGACAGTGCATCAACACCCCTGGTTGCATGCTTGTCTCCTATACACCCCAGTTGCGGATGTATGCAGCCTATGCCACCTCTTAAGCTCCACGTAGCATGCATAAGGGCAAGTTACTGATGTCACTTGTTTGCATAGCGCAAAGCCGCCGAGAAGGATCACAAGGAGCCCAAGTCTAAGGCCAGGAGCGGGCCCAAGCGTCCTCTGTCCGCATATATGTTCTTCAGCCAGGACTGGAGGGAAAGAATCAAGACTGAGAACCCCGACGCTGGCTTCGGTAAAATTTCTCCAGACCCATCTACTGCATATATTCATATGAATGAACCATTTTCTAGGCGAGGTCGGTAAGCTCCTAGGGGCAAAGTGGAAAGAGCTCGATGAGGAAGAGAAAAAAGTTTGTAGAATTCTCGTCGTCACAAGATCTCGTACTGATATCTATGTCAGCCCTACGTCGAGATGGCTGCCAAGGACAAGGTGCGCGCTGAGGAAGAAAAGGCCTCATTGGCTGCTGTAAGTAATTATATGCGCCTTGGCCATCTCGTCGCTCACCTCCCTGTGACCTCCAGGCCAAGTCGAAAGCAGGTGGCAGTGGTGAAGACGCCGAGGACGACGACGAGTAATTACCTCGCGTTGCGTAGCTTCTATATTGCAACACGCTCGTGTCTCATGGAGGCCCCGTACGTATCCCAAAGTCATGCGTGGACTTTCCTCGTCTTAGTATTTGCTGCCTCTGAATAGTACGATCTTCAACTGTTGACCCATTCACGCGTCTGTCATTTTTCTCGCTAGCTTCCTCTCTTGTCGCTCCCCACCTCATCCGTATGCATATTACCCGCAGTCGTCTTCTCGCAAAAGTTGTAGATAATGTGTACCGCTTACCACATTGTACCTTGAAAGCAATGGACGTCAGTGCGTACTTGAACCGATGATTGCGATTCTTCTGAGGGTAAAGAACATGGCCAGCTGCTAGGGTACATGCGCTGCAGGCTCGTTGCTGGCTGGGCGTGCATCTGATGACACCCAATGAAACCTTCAAAGCTCCGTCATCAGGAGCGTCTGGTTCGAGACTAGTAACAGTATGCGTTTCATGTCGATCTAGCGCTCGGCCACAGTGACGCGATCGCGCGTATCACATGATTGACCATTATCCCCAAACAGCGTTCATTTGCCAAATATGATCTTGCTCCTAACTTAAACCACATCGCAGGTTGGGAGTCTCACTAACTTCCAGTTCAAAAGAACGACGCATACATGCCCTCTGAGCCGATCCAAAAGAAAAGCGGCTATGACCATAGTAAGTCAGGCCTTCCACGGAAATCATTGGTCAATAGGTTATTAATCTATCCAAGGAAAACTTGAGTCCATAGCTGCCCCTCTAGGTATTTCGCCGCCCTTGTTCGCGAAGGATAGGGCATAACACGAATGCGAACAGAACCCGACTCAGATTCAGACTTTAACGAGAGCACTTACGTATACGAGACAAAGCCCAGGCGTAAACGCAAGACAAAAGAACCTACGTCCCCTGGGCGCACCAAGTCTCAGTCGCGCACACGAAGGACTGACGTGCTAAAAGGCGTTGGACCTGCCCCGCGTTCCAGTATGCCATGTTATCTTCTATACTCGATAGCAGCCGTGACCTAGTTCTGCAGAGAGGCAAACGCGAGAACGCGTGGTCGGCCACAATTACAATCCTCTGAAACAGTTCTTCGGTAAGTCTAGTCCTTGGTTGTGGAGGTTTATGTCTTCTCTAAAGAATCACATGAGTAGACGACACTTTAAATCTTCACTCCGCTTCCGAGGAAGAGGAAAATCCTGCAGAGAAGTCTGAGAATATAGACGGGGCAGATGACTCTGCTTCTGAGACAGACAAAGACGCAACAGTTATTGTTCTGAAATCAATGGCCAACTTCTCTCAGCAACAATCTGAACTCTCTAGTCAAATAAGTGCAAAGCCTCCTCCGGAATCTTTCGACCCTGAAACTGGTAATTTTCGTTTTGCCTACATCCTTTTATACCAACCTCTTTCTCTAGCAGAAGATGACTATGTTACCGGCGAGTGCTAACTTTGAAGGCTACACGAAAAGTGCGACTGATGTTATACAGAGTCAGAAGAGGAGATGACTGCTTCCTTCACATTAGGAAAGAGGAAGGAACCGACGTCGCTTATGAGCATGCCTACCTCCAAGCGGCCGAAGCCACCTGTTGCGGAAGGTGTGGTTCTGCCCCGCCTCGGCGCATTCATGCTTGCCAATAACCTTGTGAAACTTCTCAGATGACACTGACACTGAGTCTGAATCTGAGCCAGGAGTTGTCGCTCAAGCAGGTTGGTTCCTTACTTGCAGATCTCGGGAGGTATCCTGCTCAATATTGCAAAGGCAATAGCTCTGAAACCGAGTCCGAATCAGAGTTCGAATTACCTCCAAATCCAGTAAGTATCCTTGATAAACACAGTGATCTACGATTTCCTCATCTTGTATCAGAGTTTAAGCCATCGCCCTGGGTTTTCCCTACCTCTAGGTCAGCGGTCCCTTGGTTCATACGTATTGGACAGGCAACAGGGTACTGCAGTACCTGCAGCCATTAACACCCACTTGCGAGACTATCAACGAGAAGGAGTCACTTTTTTCTGGGAACGGTATAAAGAAGGTAGAGGCGGTCTTCTTGGAGATGACATGGGCTTGGTGAGTGCTGGGTATCGAATGCTTGCTCATCGTTTGCTCACCCCTAAGCATAGGGTAAGCAACCAAGGACACATAGTGTGCCTGAATCTGACTCGCGTCCTCTAGGTAAAACAATACAAGTCATATCATTTTTGTCTGCCATCATGCGAAAACAGGGAGACAAACGAGACATAGATCGACGGCGGAATCACGTTTCAAAGCTACAGGATAAACCTGATTGGACAAAACACGGAACACTGCCACTGGCAAACGAGACATGGCCTACTTGTTTAATCGTTGCCCCTTCGTCCGTTGTGCCTAACTGGGAGCGGGAGATACACACTGTAGGTTATCAAACCTTCCTCAGCAGAATTTCTCGCTGAGCCTCTTAAGTGGGGGTACTTTGAAGTTGGTGTGTATGGCGGACAGCCGACGGAAAGGGAAGAAGTCCTTAGTGAATTCAAAAAGGGCCGACTTGATGTAGGTCAGTAGATCACTTTCGACATGCACACTTTATACTGAAGATCGCGCAAAGTGATCACTTCCTTTGACATGGCTCGTCGAAACATCGACAAACTTGAGGAGCTCGCTTGGTCCACAATCATTGTCGACGAGGTGCATCGGTTCAAAAATCCAAGTTCCAAAGGCACCGAAGCTTTCAACCAATTCCTATGCAAATGCCGCTTCGGTCTTACTGGAACCGCTATACAAAATTCATACAATGAATTATGGACCATCCTGGACTGGACGAATCCTGGTCAATTGGGCACGCTTAGGCAATGGAAGGGTTATGTAGTTCAGCCCCTTACGATCGGACAGTCGTCGAAGGCATCAGAAGAGGAGAGGACAAAAGCGCTGGTCGGTAACATCCTTTAACTCGTTAGTACTGATCATTAATGACCCTTACCGAGTACGTTGTTTAGGTTGTCGCGACAGTACTGAGAGACAAATTGTTGCCTCGTTTCTTTAAGAGAAGGTTCTTCTAGTTTTTCCTTTCTTTCTGACTCGGAATGACAAATCGCACTTTGCAGAACAAAGGACATAATTAAGAGTCAGGTAAGTCCACGCCGTTATCTAGTTTGATTTTACATGACAGATATATGCTAGCTTCCGACGAAGACAGACGAAGTTGTCTTCTGCCCTCTAACACCAATCCAAATCACTGTCTATAAAAGAATGCTGGCTTCAGATGATATCCAGAGGCTCTTTAACAAGGACAGCTATTGCACCTGTGGTTCCAAGAAAAAGTATGTCGGGGCTTGAAATGTACTGCTCTAAGTGACTGATAACGCTTGATAGACAAAAGGACTGTTGTTACCCGATTGACAAAGGTGTTGTTCTGAAGTACATGTCAATCCTGATCAAGATATCCAACCACTTGGCATTGATTCTACCAGGCTAGTTGCTATAATTCTGGTGGTTGAATGTTCACGGACTCACTCAGACTATAGCACCCAATGACTCGTCTGAACAGGCTCGTACCTTGAGTTTTGTTGATGGTGTTACTGACCCAAGGCTTATCAGACCAAGAGAAACCGTGAACTCGTTCAGATTGCGTTTCCGGATGAAACACCGCCCAAGTTTGGTACTGCGATGCTTCAGCCTCAATTATGCGGGAAGTGGCTGGTCAGTAGCTTTCGGAGCTCTATATCTATAAGACTGTCAAGCTTATCTACAAGCTCGTCAGGTGTTGGATGTTCTGCTCAAAGATTGGCACGAAGAACCTTCGAACAAAGTGCTAATCTTCACCAAATCTGTCAAGTTACTTGATATGCTTGAATTTCACCTTCGTGCAAATAGTACGTGACAGCCCTTGAGACGATCGGATATTAATACATTAAATTTGTTTAGATTTTGGATTTTGCAAGCTGGATGGCTCGACTAAACAGCCGGACAGTAAGTCTGCTGTCCCTTCAAATGAATCTAATACATGGTCCGTACAGGAATGCCCATGATCGACAAGTTCAATCAGGATCCAGACATATACATTTTCTTAATTTCCACATTGGCTGGTGGAACTGGGCTGAACCTCACTGGGGCAAATAAAGTTGTAATATTTGGTGTGTTATAAGGTCCCTCTTACGGACTCAACCATTGATGCCTGCTTCAGATCCAAACTGGAGTGAGATGATATAGTCAACAAAGTATTCGTTGATGAGACTCATTGTTTCATTTAAGATCCTGCCCATGATCTGCAAGCAATGGACCGAGCGTACAGATTCGGTCAAACTCGCGATGTATCGGTCTATCGTCTACTTGGAGCTGGCTCAATTGAGGAGCTTATATATGCTCGTCAACTTTACAAGCAGCAGCAGATGGCTATAGGATACACAGCAAGCGTACAGACAAGGTGACATTATCCTATGACTTTGCTGGTGATACCTTCCTAAGACCAAAAAGATACTTCCAAGGTATCCAAGGTGATGCCTCGCGACAGGGAGAGTTGTTCGGTATCAAAAACATATTTAGGCTACATGAAGACACTTTAGCAACAAAAATGGCTGTAAGTCTACTCTGCTTTACCCAAATGGCACGAACTTAACATAATACAGATTGAAAGAGCAAATCTTCTTGAACTCGACTGGGCTCTTGCGCATCTTAGAGGCAAGCCGAAGAGATCTTCAAGCCAAAAGGTGGACAAATGGGTTCACGACGCCGACAGCAAGGCCAACAAGGAGGACGTATGTTAATTCTCATTTGCCTTGTGGTAAAAATTCAAACATTATGGTACAGACAGATCTCAAAGGGCTCAGTGCTCTACTGTTTGACGACGGTACTCTTTTATAAACCCTTGCTATCGTTGACGCTCACTGCAATCCCGCAGAGATCCCTGAAATACAAAGCCAGGGCGATGTTCAGGACACCCTCGCCGCCATCGGGGTGAAATACAGTCATCACAATGACGAGGTGCTGATACCAAGTCGCATCGAGGAGGAGCGTTCTCGCAATGCTCTCAAGGTTAATATAATCATGACAAAGTTTGCAAGTAGTTGATGACGCCTACTAGGAGTACAAACTCCAGAAAAATGCAAGGGCGAAATCGATCAGACGGCCCAACGCTTCGTCCTCTACGACTAGAAGAGACAAGACTCCCGAACCAGTGTGGCCCCCCAGGAGACGACATCACAAACCGACATTAAGTCCCAATTCCAAGTGAGTCTGTCAATTTAATGTCTCAAGCATTTGACGTTGATTATTACTCTTCGCCAGACTCGCTTCGAGACAGAAGGCCCTTGTGGAACTTGGAATGATCAGTCATCCTGTTGATCTACCAACGTTTGCACAGACCTTGTGAGTTGCCCATCGCTCCTTTCATTCATGTCACTTAGTCCAAATCACTAGCGGTCGAATGTCAGACGAAGAACAAGCTGAGCTTCTCGGAAAACTAGACCAACATGCTCAAAGCTCTTCTTAGACATGAAGCTCATATCAATAGACTCTACACTGTCTTTAATGCGAGGACTGTACCGATTCAACTGGTTTTCGTGGGCTATTGTAAAACATCCGTTCTCTACTGTCATGCATATACTTCAACATCGGTTTTCGTATTTTAATCAACCTGTCGTAGTCCTACTTTATCAGATCACTTTAATACTCTTCTTCAACCTAATCAGTCTGACGGTTTCGAACATCCGCGCATGGTGACTTACCCATACTTACCCTAACCGAAAAGCGTTGAGTTAACGAAATGGTTCCGTAAACAAGTATATACAGTCGAGATCGTAATGTGTTGGTCTGCCGACCCATGTGCATGGGTGCTTACCGAAGCTTGTTCGATCGCGGCCTTTCCCTTCCCAATCGCAACATACGGACTCTTTCGTTTCGTTCTTACTTTCCCTCCAGAAAGCTGCTTTATTGATGAACCGTCCGCCAACATCCGGGCCTCCCCCTGAAGCACGTAAGTTGTTATTAGCTTTACAGTAGCGGGTTTTGTGCTAATCAGGCATTGGCTCATTGTCTAACTACCGTATCTATCTCGTTTATAGCGCGTCTAAAGAGCACAGGCCTCCCTAATGACGAGCCTCAAGCCCAACTACCAAGCCAGAATCATCCAGGTGTATCCGGACCTCCGACTGATTTCATGGGTGGCCACCCGATTTTGCCTGAAGACATGGGTAAGTCTTAGAACGTCATCGTTTCGCGTTCTTGACAACTGACAAAATGAAGACATTCGGGATCTCCCCTCCAATCAGCTCTACGAAATGAACCAGGTGAGCTTGCTATGACGGCCCTTGAGACATCACCTTCATGCAGCCTAGAACCTAATGGCGGAGAGCGTCTCCACTCGACCTCTGATCGATCAGCTCACTCCTATGGAGGTCCTTCGCGCCGAATACGAGAACGGATCAAGAACGTTTGTTAGCCAAATTGACTACCTCATGAACAAAGGATACAGGCATATTTGGCGTGCTCGAGGTTCCGAAGTTTCGCCCTGACCCCGACGATGCGTTGCTAAGAAAGATGCTCTCCAACAGGTGACGGCGATTGCTTCTATAGATGTGAAGTCGTCTCATTTCTTTCATATCGGCAGCTCTGACGTGGTGTAGCTAACAGCTCTGGCCTACGCATTCGTTCTTAATATGCTGGACGCTCCTCAGGCAGAGCGTGAGATCGTCGTTGCAACCGCTCTGTCCCAGCTACAATCATGCAAACCTATGCTGAGTCAGGCCGGGTTCGAGCCTATCGCGTACGACATGTTCTACGAAGCTTTTGAGGCCGTCATTCAGAGTGTTGTATCGGCCACCGAGGAATACGGTCTCCTCACCTCCGACAGCCTTTTACGGATCTTTCAAGATGCAAATAGTATGTCGTCCGGTTCAATGGGGCGTCCGATAATGAGATCTAACTGCTTGGTTAATAGACTCGAATGAGATTGTGGCATTCCTCCGTCTATTGACATCGGCGCAGATTCGCTTGAACCCCGACGAATATGCTGCATTCATTATTGATATGGAACCTACACAATTTTGCAACAATCATGTAGAGCCTTTGGGCAAAGAGGCTGGTCGGTAGCATGCTCTCATCGTTCACAATGGCACGGCTTAAAAGTTTGTAGATCATATCCAAGTCAGCGCCCTCGCCGATGCTATGCAGATTCGCGTTCAGATTGCTTATCTGGATGGTCACAAGGCAAACGAAGTTGACTTTATCGACGTCGGCAACAAAAACAGCAAAGAACCGTTGCTTCTACTATATAGGTGAGTAGATCGATCGCTTCGGATGAAGGATTATTAACACGCCTTTCTATTTGTTTCCTCAAGGCCTGGTCATTATGATATTCTGTCACGCAAGGTCATGTAAATGGCAGGACCCTCGAAGCTGGAAACACGACGCAAGTTGAGTGTGTAAGATACCAAAACGACATGTATTATATGAGATCAACGGCGGCTTCTACAGAGTTTTGAGAAGAAACTAGTGTGATTTAAGTAATGTGAGAACTTGGTGAGAACAAGGGACGCGACCAAGGACGCGACCGGTGAGGGCGTCGCCAGCCGATCATGTGATGGTATATTCTTCACGTCTCTCTGCACTGAGATCATGCGTCGATGCGTTACCGCTTCCGCTATCGCTTTCTACCATCGGGAATCTACGTTCGCAGGATGGTCCCAGCAGATTATACATCTTGGTCCAAGGAGGAACTCATAGCTCGCCTTACCGAGTTAGAGGCCAGGGAAATGCCACCACCTGATATCAAAGACAGTCAGGTGAGACGTCCGCCACCTCCAGCCAAAGCTCAGAAGGTCTTTCGTTTCTCCAACCACCCTACACGTAAAATCGCCCTCAAATTCTGCTATTCTGGCTGGGAATACAACGGGTTGGAGTTCCAAAAGGATGCAACACGCCTGCCAACTGTGGAGGACGTCTTGTTTAAAGCACTAGCGAAGACGAAGCTTATAGATGAAGACGGAGGGTTTGAAGCTTGTGGGTGGGAGAAGTGCGGTAGGACAGATATTGGTGTCAGCGCGGCTGGACAGGTTGTTTCGCTTTGGATACGGAGTGCGTTCGAGGAGAACAGAGGCGCACGGATACCGCAGTCCCCGCCCGAGGACAGCTCCGACAACCCAAACGATATTTCAGCCGTCTCTGCAGAAGATGCTACTGAGGATGTTCCCCCGGACTTTACTTCCCTTACCGTTCGACGACGACCTACAAACGAGCTTCGCGGACTACGCTATGTCACTATGCTGAACCGTGTTTTGCCCCCTACAGTTCGTGTTCTAGCATGGTCTCCTGTCGAGCCAACCTTCTCAGCTCGATTCAATTGCCGTCATCGACATTACAAGTACTTTTTCCCCTCCCGAGAACTCGACATCTCTTTGATGCAACAAGCCGCTGACTATCTCGTGGGCGAGCATGACTTTCGCAACATGTGTAAACTCGATCCGTCCAAGCAAATCACCAACTTCAAACGACGCATCCTCAAAGCTCAAATTGAAGCTGTAGGTCAGGAAAACAGTAATATGTACGTTTTCAATCTGGTAGGGTCGGCTTTCCTGTACCATCAAGTTCGACATATTATGGCGATTCTGTTTCTCGTCGGTACAGGCCTTGAGCCTCCGAGTGTGGTACTTTCGCTCATAAACACGGACGCGGACGCAGCCCAGGAACTTGGTTTGAGCGCCGACATGCTAGTCGATTGCAAGCCCGTGTACCAGATGGCTGAAGCGCTGCCTCTCATGCTCTGGGACTGCGTGTATTCGGATACCGATGTAGACTGGCACATTGACTTCGAGGATAAACCAGCAGGCGCAGGAGCTGATCTGCACAGCCAGATGCAGTCTGTATATGACCGCTCGCAGATACATGCTGCATTAGATGGTCATTTCCTTGCGTCTGCTACCCGCTATCATCGCCCAGCTCCCATCTGTTTCCCCTTCAGCCAAACTGGCCTTTCCCCTGCATCTATTCCTCGTGTCAAGGAATCTACACCACCGGTACTTAGCATCCCTTTGGGTGGCGGCACCTTCAAACGACAGGCTAGTTACGTGCCTCTCCTTCAGCGAAAGCGCATGGTTCATGTGGATATTGTTAACGCGAAGTGGCTAGAAGGGAAAGGCGGGAGAAGGGAAAGCAGGAAGAAAGGACAGGTAGTCGATGATGTTGACTGACAGGTAGTAGATAGGGGATAACCTAGTATAGCTGCGTGTGCTCGGTTATAGCCGATGTATCATCGAGTACTTAATGAACCTGCTGGGTTAGCCTGCTTGTCATTGCACCCTACGCCCATTTTCTGTGTCCTCCTTGCGTTATCCAGCACCGCCAGAAACGATATGTCTAAACCGCAAAGTCCATCCCCTTCTAACACCTTGCTTCTGCGCAGGCAGCTGACCGAGCTCACCAAGAAACCTGACTCGGGTTTCTCTGCAGGTCAGCGAAATATGTCTCCACTATTTTGATCTTCAACCGATTCCTGACAGAGTTGGGGATAAGGCCTTGTTGATGAAAGCAATCTCTATGAGTGGGAAGTCCTGATAATCGGGTGAGCTGGCTATGCTCGAGATCTTCGATGCTGGCTCCAGGCTTAACGTTCCTCATCAGTCCTCCGGATACACTCTAGTATGGCTGATCTCTTTCTTTCGATTGTCTTCAGTCATTTATACCTTGGGCAGCGAGGGAGGCTTCTTCAAGGCGCGATTGTCGTTCCCACCAGAGTTTCCGTTACTACCACCCAAGATGCGTTTCATCACTCCCATGTGGCACCCAAACAGTAAGACCTGTATTACCTGAACTCAATCGTGAGGCTGACGTGTTCCAGTTTACCAAGATGGGATTGTTTGTATCTCCATTCTTGTAGGTTTGATCAGGGCGTGCATATAATCGTCAATGCTGATATTGTCTTTAGCACGCACCAGGTGAAGATCAGTACGGGTATGAAGACGCAGGCGAGCGTTGGATGCCTGTCCACAGCGTGGAGTCAATTGTACGTAACACTTCCGTACTTCGTCGCCAGAGATCTCACCCGGTTCTTTCAGCTCATAAGTGTTATTTCGCTGTTGTCCTCGGATACTCCCAACACCGATAGTCCTGCAAATGTGGACGCGGCCAAGGAGGTGCGAACCGACATTGAAGGTAAGGACAACAATTCTCATCGGTTTCCGCTGGTTGATTGTGTCGCATTAGGTTACCGAAAGAAAGTGCGACGGTTGGCTCGTAGGAGTGCCGAGGAAGCCTTCGATTAGGCTTTGAGTTTTTTTCTTGTCCTGGCGCCTCTTCCTGTCATTTCCCTGTCTGTTATTAGTACATCGTAGTACCTTTTGTATCTTGATTGTTTCAGTTCAACTAGTCATTTAATTCTCGATCTTCGCCAGAAATGCTTAAGCATTACGTAGAGCGAGCTCCAATGCCACATTCGAGTATCGAGAAGGCGCACGTGGGAAACAGTCAGTTTCTAAATGGTCGTACGGTACAGAGATATCCTACTTGCAACGCTACATTCACCACCACTCTCACAGCAGCCCCAATCCACCTTAATCGTCCTCACCTTACTCGCAAAAAACATGGCGGAAACCCCAGGAGAGGCGAGTCGCTCTAAGCCCCACTTTAGACTACATGGTTTGCGTGCTAAACGCCGTATGTCGCATTCTGCGTTCGTGTCGTGCATATAACTACCAACAGGCAGTACCTGCAGCACAGAAGAGCACTTGGGCCTCTTTCGTGAAATCGTACATTGATTTTTTCATCGATTCTCCGTACCTCCGCTCACGATCTGCGACGTAGGTTGGCTAGCGTTTCGGGCGACCTGTCATCTATGACGGCGCCTCCGTTCATTCTGTCTCCGACATCACTTACTGAATTTCCTGGTGCGCATGTTGTGGTGGTTGTACACCGCAGCTCTAAGCTGATACCATTTCAGCATATTGGAACGAGCGCCCGGCGCTCTTTGCCGCCATTGCTGATGGGAAGACGGAGGAAGATCGTGCCCTCGCGGTACTGAAGTGGTTCATCGTAAGGATCTGTCTTACTGCAGGTACAAATTTGACATCACAATTTCGTAGAGCACGTTGAAGAGCCAATACACCTCTCGGAATGAATCCATGGGCTCGGAGAAGAAGTGAGTCATCGTTGACACTGCAGTGGATGTTGCTAACCCCTAACCAACGAGGCCCCTCAACCCCGTGCTCGGAGAGTGTGTCACATGTTTCGCGCCAGCATTCATAGCGGAGCCTGTTACTGATCTGATTGTGATGACAGGCTCTTCTATGGGATGTGGCCAGACGCCCCAGACCGTGGGGGTGTTACTACCTTGGTCGTTGAGCAAGTGTCACACCATCCACCGATCACGGCCTTTAGAATTGAGAACAAGGCCAAAGGAGTAGTCCTCACAGGGCATAACGCTCAGAAGACCTCTTTCAGCGGTAAGTTTCCGCAGGGGAAGAAGGCGTGATAATAAACTGTTTGGCAGCCGGCAGCATTATCGTGAAGCAGGTTGGGCATGCGTTGCTCACTGTACAGACGGCTGAGGGTGCTCTTGAAGAGTATATCATCACTCTACCTAAACTTCGAATCGACGGTATCTGGTATGGCTCTCCATACATCGAACTTACCGATACCAGCTACATCCAGTCTTCAACCGGATGGCTCTCGACAGTAAGAGATGGGCATTATAGCCCATGGTATTGGCGCTTATCAACGCTTCTGTAGGTCGACTACAAAGGGAAGGGCTACTTCTCTGGAAAGACCCACCAGTTCAAGGCAACAGTCACTAAGGATGGGATGACGAAGCACGTTATTGATGGTTTGTGGCATACTACAAGCAAGGACACGACCACTGGCGCAACTTTCCACGACGTTTCTTCCCCTAAGGAGGAGGTAGTCGTGGCACCCCTTGAAGAACAAGGAGAGTGGGAGAGTAGAAAACTATGGTTTAACGTAGCCAAAGGTATAAGGGAGGGCAACTATGATGCTGCCTCAAAGGATAAGACACGCATCGAGGTATGTTCAATACCAATTCCCCTTCAATCAAAATGACGAACACGTCTTTACCAGGTCGATCAACGAAAGCGTAGACAAACCGAGAGGGAGGCGGGAACCACATGGGAGCTTAAGCACTTCACTCATTTAGATAATGATCCAGTCTGTGAGTACACACCCAGTCATATTCACTCGAGACATATGTTGATTTTTTATGCAGATGAGCGTCTGTACAAGCTGTTCAAGGGTACGGGTCTTCCGGAGAAGGAAGATGTATATGTATACCGAGACAACGGACCACACCCTTGAATAACCCTTGAAGCAACGTACCGATTCCACTACGTACTACCTAGTGCCTTGCCCGACACTATGACCCTGTTTACTATTGGGCATGGCACTCGTTCTCATCTACCGTCACGACAATTCTGCATAATATTGTGTTATGTAACTAATAAATCCTTCACTATTGGACTCTTGCCTTCATGTGTACTCGTACAAGATTCGTATGTCTGCCGGAGCACGTGATTGATAGCTCGATCCACAGACGAATTTCAATTGCTGAAAGATGATTGAAGCCCAGACGCGACTTGGTTCCGAAAGACCTTTATCACAAAAATATTATCTTCTCGCTGAGGATGGGTACCGCAGATGACGAAGAACATGATTGGGAGCAGCTGAACCAGACAAATTGGCGCGGCTTAGGGGTTACAGATCCAATCAAAAATGTCGAGGTGCGCCGACACCGAACATACCTAATTTGCCTCCTCACTCTGCGTTTGCACAGGACAAATGGCTTCTCCTACCCGCCTTTCTCAAGGTTAAGGGTCTAGTAAAACAGCACATCGATTCGTTCAACTATTTCGTCGATGTCGATATCAAGAACATCGTCAAGGCAAATAACAAGGTGACTTCGGACGTAGACCCGCGCTTCTGGCTCAAATACACCGACATTCATGTCGGTTTCCCAGACCGTACCGACTTAGACGCAATCGACAAGAGTATCACTCCGCATGAGTGCCGCCTCCGTGATATCACCTACAGCGCTCCGATCCTTGTAACCATCCAGTACACTCGCGGCAAGAATGTGGTCAAGAGGCCCAACGTCAATATTGGTCGTTTGCCGATCATGCTGCGCAGCAGCAAGTGTATACTGACCGGAAAGAGCGAGGCCCAACTGGCTCGCATGACAGAGTGCCCTCTGGACCCTGGAGGATACTTTGTGGTCAAAGGCACCGAGAAAGTTATTCTCGTCCAGGAGCAGCTGAGCAAGAACCGCATCATTGTAGAGACGGATCCGGTCAAAGGAGTCGTACAGTCATCGTGTACTTCGTAAGTCATAGATGTTGTTTGCGTTCCTCGGTTATTCGAAAACATTTTCAGGTCCACTCACGGTGGTTTGAAGTCGAAGACATATGTAGCAACAAAGAAAGGCAAAATCTATCTTCGTCACAACTCCATTCATGAGGACGTTCCTATAGTTATTGCCCTCAAAGCTCTTGGTATCCAGTCTGACAAGGAGATCCTACTTCTCACTGCTGGCAATACTGAGGCTTATAAACTCGCGTTTTCTGCAAACTTAGAGGATGCCGCCAGGCTGGGCGTTTTCACCAGACATCAGGCTTTGGAATGGATCGGGACGCGTGTCAAGGTAAACCGAAAAGTTGTGGGTCCCCGACGACCTGCATGGGAAGAGGCACTAGAAGCTCTGGCGACCATCGTTCTAGCTCACGTCCCAGTCAACGGACTTGATTTTAGACCCAAGGCCATATTCGTGGCCACCATGACTCGGCGAGTTTTGATGTGTATGGACGACGAAAAAATGGTTGATGACCGAGACTATGTTGGAAATAAGCGCCTTGAACTGTATGTTATCTGCTTTCGTCCAAGATATAAAATTCATAGCCATGTTACAGTGCGGGCCAACTGCTCGCCTTATTGTTTGAAGACCTGTTCAAAACTTTCAACACGAATTTGAAGTCGGCCATCGATAAGGTCTTGAAGAAGCCTTCTCGGACGAACGAGTTCGATGCTTTCAACACCATGCAATTTCAAGGAGACCACATTACTTCCGGCTTCGTTCGTGCGATCTCTACGGGGAACTGGTCGCTGAAACGTTTCAAGATGGAGCGCGCAGGCGTCACGCACGTGCTCAGCAGGCTCAGCTTCATTTCGGCTTTGGGTATGATGACCCGGATATCCTCACAGTTCGAAAAGACGCGCAAAGTCAGCGGACCCCGTGCCTTACAGCCCAGTCAGTGGGGCATGCTGTGCCCAAGTGATACTCCTGAAGGCGAGGCTTGCGGACTAGTCAAGAATTTGGCCCTGATGACACACATTACCACGGATGTCGAAGAGGAACCGATAATTCGGATAGCATACATGTTAGGAGTTGAAGGTCCGTAACCGATCTTGATTGGGCTTCCTGAGACATTTACCGATGCGCTTCTAGACATCAGTTTAGCTTCCGGGACGGAGATATACGGGCCACATACGTTCGTGGTTAACGTAAACGGTACGATCATTGGCTTAACAAGGTACCCCACACGCTTCGTGACGAACTTCCGGAGACTTCGCAGAGCGGGCCGCTTTAGCGAATTCGTGGGCGTATATGTGAATCATCACCACCGGACCGTTCACATCGCCAGCGACGGTGGCCGGATATGCCGCCCGATGATTATCGTGGAGGATGGCAGGCCAAGAGTTAACTCTGGACATATCTCGGTGAGTGTAAATCTCACCACAGCTTGAGATTGCAGCAAACTTACCGTCCGTGTGGCAGCTACTCAAACAAGGACATCTCTCATTCGATGACTTCCTCCGACAAGGCTTGGTCGAGTATCTTGATGTGAACGAGGAGAACGACTCCTATATCGCGTTGTATGAGTCCGACATCGTCGCAACGACCACGCACCTCGAGATCGAACCCTTTACAATCCTTGGTGCCGTTGCCGGCCTCATTCCATACCCGCACCACAATCAATCTCCACGAAATACGTACCAATGTGCCATGGGTAAACAAGCTATAGGTGCCATTGGGTACAACCAATTCAACCGCATCGACACGCTTCTGTATCTGTCTGTTTATCCTCAACAACCGATGGTCAAGACGAAAACAATTGAACTCATTGGGTACGACCGTCTACCTGCCGGACAAAATGCCACCGTGGCCGTCATGAGCTACTCCGGCTACGATATTGAAGATGCCCTTATCCTTAATAAGGTAAGCCAGTTGGTTCCGCCGGTCCAAAGCTTCAACTCTAAGCCCTTCCTAACGTGTGGCAGGCCAGTCTCGATCGTGGCTATGGTAGATGTCAGGTCCTACGCAAGAATGCAACTCTGATACGTAAATATCCCAACGGCACGTGAGTGCATAGTATGCTTCGTCAAGTTTTGTAAAGTTAAACGTTGTTCAGCTTCGATCGGTTGGCCGATGCACCTCTAGATGACAATGGACAAATTCAGAAAAAATATGATATCATACAACTAGATGGACTCGCTGGAGTCGGGGAGCGTGTCGACCCCGGAGATGTCTATGTGAACAAACAAACGCCAACGAACGCTAATGACAACACTTTCACTGGTCAGGCCGCCGCAGTACCCTACAAGAACGCGCCTCTTTCGTACAAGTCACCTGTTGCTGGTTATATTGACAAGCTCATGGTCAGCGACACGGAGAACGACCAAACACTCATCAAAGTTCTGATCCGTCAAACACGAAGGCCGGAGCTTGGTGACAAATTCTCGTCTCGCCACGGACAAAAAGGCGTATGTGGTTTGATCGTGAATCAGGAGGACATGCCCTTCAATGATCAGGGCATCAACCCAGGTGCGTATGGCAAGTTCGGACCGATTCACATCTCACCCTACCGCAGATACGATTATGAATCCCCATGGTTTCCCCTCTCGTATGACTGTCGGCAAAATGATAGAGCTGTTGAGTGGCAAGGTAAAACTTTATGCGACTTAGCAAACACCAAGTTGACGGTTGCCCGGAAGGCCGGTGTCCTCAGTGGGAAGCTCCAATACGGGACAGCATTTGGTGGCTCCAAGGTACAGCACGGTAACCTATCAAGACAACGATTGTCATTTACCACCTCGTTTAGGTCGAAGACATGTCACGAATCTTGATCGAGCACGGCTTCAGTTATGCTGGGAAGGACATGCTCACTAGTGGTATAACGGGCGAGCTGCTAGAAGCATACGTCTATTTTGGACCGATTTATTACCAGGTAAGCGCCCTCACACGTATGCAAAGAATCTGTCTTTAATCTACCTGCGACAGAAATTGAGTAAGATAAAATCGTCCAAAGCCTCCGAGTATCGTGATTCAGTCGTTTTACAGAACATATGGTCATGGACAAGATGCATGCTCGAGCCAGGTATGACTAGCTTGCATTGGACTCAATCAGACACCTGAAACTTGCATTCATAGAGGCCCGCGAGCAACGCTTACCAGGCAGCCTACGGAGGGCCGCTCCCGCGAAGGAGGCTTGCGTCTCGGCGAAATGGAGCGCGACTGCCTCATCGGTTATGGTGCTACTCAACTGTTGCTCGAACGTCTAATGATCTCCTCGGATAAATTCGAGGTTAATGCCTGCCAGGAATGTGGCTTGATGGGATATAACGGCTGGTGTCCATACTGCAAAAGCTCGAAGCAGATGGCCAAACTCACTATACCATACGCGGCTAAATTGCTGTTCCAAGAGGTGCGCGATGGCGTTGAGGATCCGTCCAATTTGCAGTGGCTCACAAAATCTCTTCGTCATTTAGCTGATGGCTATGAACGTAGTCCCCAGGCTGATCCTGGATGATGCTTAACTGTGACGTCGGTTTTCTTTCTCTTTCTACTTTTTTGCATTGTCTGTAGCACTGCATGTATCACTAACGCATATCACGCATAAAAGTTATTTTTCTTTAGCATAGATAATTTCATCTGACGACTCAAAGCACAAGCGTTCTGTATTCGACGCGCACCTCCCTGTAAAGATGGCGATGTAAGTTACGCTTGTGCTAAGGATTTCTCGCATCCTATCCATTTGCTGCTGTAGCTGATGAACAGATATCTTTTCCGAACAACACGCCGGGAATATTACAACCCCGAACTACTGGGCGTCCACAGCACTCGAGCAATCAATGCATCGAGTACCGGGCCGGAAACGACTAATGATGGGCGCCGTTTCTGAGATGCTCTCCACGAGATCTCACGTTCACCTGTCCCCGCTGTGCACGGATACACATGGGTCGGTCTCACTCCTTCAATGATTGATTTGGTCCTTTGGTCGTTGATGTTAGACGCATCAATGACCAAGTCGTTGGTCCAAATCCAAAAGAGACGGTAATTACACTGCACACTTCTCTGAACTGAACCTTGCCGTGACACGAAAAAAATGCGGCGTTGCTGTTGGCAAGACCGTAGTAGGAAGCATGAAAGAATGAGTGATCGACTTAGACTGGGCTATTATACCCAAGTCTGCTCGAAGGAGGTACGATAGGCCACCATGAGTAGATCCCATGACGTCGACCTTTGTCAAAATTCCGTTTGATCTTTCGTCCATTGAGGCATTTGGCCTGGTAACGGTCGATCAGAAGAACAAACACTGGGACTTTCATCCCCCGTTGATGTTGCTTCAACGCCCTCAGCTATCTACTTGAGAGCTTTTCGGAGTTGGATGGATAACCGTGATTAACCACTTCAATTGAGTCAATTGACAAGGTGACAGGGTGTGACTGTATGACGTGACACCCCGCGATCGGCCGGTGTCACCACTAACCAAGGTTGCCGCGCCTCCTCGCAATACTACCACGTCTCACTGCCCTCGTTCTACACACATGAACTCTAGAAACTCTAGTGCCACGGCCTTGCGCCGGCTCATGACCGAATATAAACAGCTTATCGCCGGTGGTATGTCTAGGAAAGCCATGACAAAGCGACGGTCACTGATACGTCCAACCTGAACAGGCTCTCCAGACGGCATGTTCACTGCAGGTCTGGAACTCGAATTCTTTTGTCTGCACCGGAAGCCAGTGTTGCAACTGTTCTCACCTCTAATGTATTTACGGCTAGGTCCAATATCCGAGTCTGATTTCTTCACATGGGAGGCGCTGATCTGCGGGCCTAAAGACACGCCGTTCGTAAGTGCATCATGCCTCGCCCTTGACCTTTCTCGCTGACAAGTTCAGGAAGGTGGCGTCTTCGTTGCAAAGCTGACATTTGTACGACCCTCTACCCACATGCTCACAGTCTGCCTCCGCTCACGTCGTCTGTCCACGAATGGCTAGCCTTCCGATTACCCCCTGTCGCCCTTCAAGATGAAGTTCGAGCCTCCTCTGTTTCATCCCAATAGTAAGCAATAGTCTGTTCTCTTAAGGCAGCCGGCGCTTACGATGTATCAAGTCTATGCCGACGGCACCGTCTGCATATCGATCTTGCACACTCCCGGCGACGATCCTACCATGTATGAACAAGCCTCGGAACGATGGAGTCCCGTTCAGAGTGTCGAGAAAGTGATTCTTAGCGTCATTTCCATGCTAGCCGGTAAGTAAATTCCCTATCGATGGGTTATGCTAATCCGTGGCTGGTTCTAGAGCCCAATCTGGAGAGCGGTGCAAACATCGACTGTTGCAAACTGTATCGAGATAACAAGCCGGTGAGCTAACTTCGTTGCCTTAGTCGTCTCCTGACAATATTTATTCGGACACGTGATATCTAGGAGTACGAGCGAATAGTCCGGGAGTCTATCAAGCAGCAGTTAGGATTGTGAACAAAGGTATGATATGTAAATGCAGGAATTGATGAATGATGTATAGGAATAGATTAGATGAGTATATGCTCTCGATGAAAGTTGTGAAAGTAATGGATTAATGTGCAGTAAATTGCCACTAATGCATGAAGATGAGGTTATACGATGGTAAAGTATGAAAGTTAGCGAGACGATGTATACTCCTTAAATACTCTGCCGTCGAACTTGGGTCCGGTCTTGCCGAAGAGATGGCGTTGAACATACTCGTTGCGGAACAGTCCCTGTGGGTCCACGTCCTGTAGCACCTGGATGAAATCATCGAACTTCGGATACAACTTGCGAAGTGTCTCTGGACGGAGGTGATGAGCTTTTGCCCAGTGCGGTCGGCCCGCGTGCTTGAAGAGGATGTCCTCAAATCGCTGGAACAGCTTGCGGTACGGTACTTGACACCCGTAAGGCCTATACGCATAATCAGATCAATGATGATTATAGACCCACAAGTGTGCTTACTTGAATTGGACGATCCCAATCCAGCACGTCTTTTGCCCGACACTGGGACTCAGCCAGATGTCATCGCTGGCCGAAAAGCGCACTTCTATCGGGAAATGAGGCCGAAGCCCTGAGGGGTCGGAGAATTCGCGCTCAAGCCAATCACGGAGTTCGCGCATGCATGCCTGAGTGTTCTCATACGGGATAGCCCACTCGGTGGTATGTTGAGGATACTGTGCAAGGTCGAAACTCGGCTCAGGAGCAACCCAAGATTAGATGGTAACTTACCCTGCACTCCAGATTGAAAATTCGGTGACTATCATCAACGGCGACCGACCTCTCGCTGACCAGCCAGGCAGCGAACCGACCAACCAGTATATTCAAGGGAAGGTAGAACCGCCCAAGGAAGAGTAGGAACTGGATGACGTGGAACCCCAGGAATGAGTGCCAGAGCCAACTTCCAACTACATGGGAGGGCTACAGGGGGTGGCTCCGACTGAGCCGACGTTTTAGGATAGGAGCGTAGTCGTCATACCTCGAGCGTCCGGTTAGCCGAACTGACCCGTACCGTCCGCGCGGCAGGGAACCACCACAGCCTGACATGCTGCGCAGAGCGCGCGAGGGAATCTATCCGATCAACGCAGTCATCGAATAGGAGCGTCTCCTGAACCTCCTTTAACCGGAACGCAGGCTCTACCTCCAACGCCACCGTCAGGATGAGGCCTGTGCTTCCCAAGCCACAGATAGAAGCAGTGAACAGGTCGGGTCGTTCTTGGCGAGAGCAATACACCCGTGAACCGTCCGCCAGCAACAGAGTAAGGCCTATCACATGTGTCGAGATAACGCCATAATCGATACCCGTTCCGTGCGTAGCGGTTGTGACGATGCCGCCCAGAGTCTGGTCTGAAATCGAGCCCACATTAATCATCGCGAGATCGTGTCGCGCGAGTTCGCCATGCAGCGCGTCTAACGTGATACCCGCCTGCACGACGACGTATCCTTTATCGGGATGTACCTGTAACGGATGACATCGGTCGGTGTCAGCGTGCCTGATGCATTATTAACATCTGCCCGGAGAACCTCCGGCGAGAAGGGCAAATGGACGGAGGAAGCATATCGGAGTCGCGAGATGCGATCTCCGACTGCGTAAAGTGATAAAATGGCTATAATTGACTCACCTCCAACACTCTGTTCAACTTCGTGGTCCGCACCATGAATCCAGTGGTGCATGCAAGATCGCTCGGACTGTGGCCTATACCGACGGCTCTAACCACCTTCCCTTCGCGCCGAGCGAGCTCCAGTATGAGTTTGCAATGGTACTCATCCTCTGGTTCGAAAACAGCTAGGGGCTGACAGGTGAAAGTGAGACCCCAGTTGGTGAATTTAGCCCTCGGGGAACCGCTGGGTACCGTAATGGGCTGAAGGAGGTCGTAAATTAGAGAGATGGGGAGGCTCGCGACGCTCGCCATCGAATACTATGGGAAGAAGAAAATGACCAGGAGTTAGCATGCTTGCTTTCGAGGCTTTATAAGTTTTGGAGATGACACAGATGCGATGCATAGGGTCGGAAGATGCCGAGATCGAGATCATGGCCGGCAGATCTGGACTGCATAGGACTGCATTGGTCCAAACGATGTTTGCGTCAAAAGCTGACGTTCGGAGGGGGTAATGCAACCACAGGCACCGACCGGAAGGCACCAGGGCGTCCCCGTAACGTAGAGATCAACCATGAGATCGGGAGCTTCTTCACTCCAAGCCGAACGGACGGGCCAAAATAGAAATCGGAAAAGACGCTCATCCGCGTCACAAGAGATCCTAGGAGATGATTGGCCCCGCGTATGCGATTGATGTACTGCTTCAGACTGCGGTGTAAGCTGGCCAGGGTGGCAAGATGACCAGGCTGAAGCGTGTGCTGCAAAGGAACCATCCATCTGATGGATAAGGCGATAGATATGGTGAGCAATCGGCCAGCGGTGCGTCAGCTTTGCGAATGGCGGCATCCTCATCGATACGGTACGCTTACGATTGACCGTCCCAACCGCATCGATCTCCGGCTGGGCGATTCGCCGACGGATATCTGAACGTATCAATGGTAACATCGGACTTTTACACCATATGCCCTCTACCTCCGGTCCACGTGGAAGCTAAAGGATGGACTCTTAACAAGGTATGGTCCAGCGGAGGCTGATCGAGCGTTGATCGAGCTCTCGGGAACTTGCTTGGATCTGCCATGCCGTCAGAGGTCGTAAACATTGTGTCTGAATGAAATTGTAATACTATGAACATCATCGCAATATTGAAATACAAAAAGTAATCAAACGCTAACCTCCATTTCACCGTCTCGTCCGCTGTCATGGAAGATGCCGAAGAGAGCTACAAATGAGATATGATGCGAACAAGCTGGAACTGGCTGGAAGTAGTAGCGCGCCATGAGATTTGGGGCTATTGGGGGTTGAACGTTTTTGTACAGTATTACTGCGCGCACCGGCTGCTTCCTGCAAACGTCCCAAGTTATTTTTGACAGCATAGCTGCGCCGATGGATATCATTATAAAATAGAAGTATTGACCGTACATTAGATCTTGAATATTTGAATATCCGTGACACCCTAGATCCCAAAAGCCGCCCTCAAAGGATAGAACAGGTCTCTCATTTCTGCCATCAGTTGAGGAAGTCGAACACGACACGACTCCACTCCTGTCCTTCGTAAAACAAAACTCCTCGCACTTCTGCGCTATCGAGCTCGAGGCCGATCTCGAATTCTATGGGCCGTTGATCTTCTTATCAATCTTCTGGAGTGTACAAGATCTTACCTGTGAAGAACCCGTTGGGCTGCGGCATACTTGAGTTTCGTTGGAAGCTGGGCAATGAGCTCAGGTCAACTGTCCATTTGCAGAGCTCTATCGTTTCTCCCTGAAGTTAAAAAATGAAACTTAAGTCCAATGCCTCAATGCCGGAGGGAAAGAACCTACTTCATCGCTATAACGCATCATCTTGTCCGAGTCCGCGGTGTAAAGGACGGCCACGAAGACACAATCTGTACAGTATTATCTCAGGTCAATCAACGTGGGCTAACGATGGTAGTTTGCGTACCTTGTGCGTTTTGGGAGAATTTACTACCGAGGTGGCGTTAGAAGCGTCACGACCAGATTAAAGAACCTCGGGCATACCAGAATTTGGTTTTGACTTGCTGCCTGAATGATAGCGATTAATGGATAGTCACGATGTACAAGATGTATTGTACTCACCCCTTCCGAATGATGGCACCCTTCATCACCAAATACTGCAACCTGGGGGATAAACGAGGTAAAATGAAGCCATACATGCCCAGCCAGATACAGACGGAACGGACCTGTTGTCACAAATGGGGATCCCCGCATTGTTCTCTCGGATGTAAGCGGGACGCTTTGCCCAGTCCTCGGGCTCCGCAGGAAGCTTGACCTATCATAGCAAATATACGGGTTAGTGCGATGGACGCGTAGCCCGGAACACGGCCTTACCTTCATTATATATGAACGGGGCGCAATGACCGTCGAAACGATTGCCTTCCTTGCTAGACCGTACTGAGCGGCGCCGCGGACTGTCGCAGTATCAGCATCCGATGGCCTCGCTATTACCCGGATGGTACTGCCAAGTGTCTCCTGCACAGAAACTTCAGAAACGAAATCCTACAGGAGGCTCGACGCGTCCGCACCTGTACCCGCTTGAAAAGATACTCGCTGCCTGCGAAGCCTCCCACAAGTAGAAGCGCGTCAATACTTTGATCGGTCTTCTTGGACTGTTCATGAATCAAATCGAGGACCTGTATGGAAGGAAAGGGCGTCAAGGGATTTTCATGATGACGTCAGGGACGGGACTTTCCTGGTTCACCACAGGATCAAACACTTCTCGGCGAATGAGGTTTCCAGGAATGTTGACTTCGCCATTAACAAGGCCGACGGAAGGGTCATGGGGGTCTTCCACATTGAAGCAGGTGAAGTGGAAGAACGTATCTGGCGATCATCGTCGTCGCTCAACGGTCACCCCCGAGCATAAAACGTCGTGTGCTTACCATCGTCAATCTCACCCCTGAAAGCCAATTTGTCCGTTTCGCTGAATGAATGCATGAAGTAAGCAAGACTGGCGGGATCGAGATGGACCGGATGTTGCTCCAAGAGCGTCTTCATTAGCTCTCGGAAGCGAAGATCGAGGAAGAGCGACCCGCAATTAGCCCCGGAACGTGCACACATCTCCGCAATCTCGAGGTTGGACATGTTCCCGATAATTTTGTACACGGCGAGGTCCTGCAACCGACGTTTGTCTTTGAATCACGTCTTCTTCAGAAGCAAACGCACCACTGTGCCGCCTCCGGCATCACAGATCATGAAGTTCTGGTTGGGATGCAGCTTGTGTAGATCCGTCAGACGAGCGCAGTGTACTGCAGCTGCTTCAGGTTCCCTAAGAAAAGAACGGAAAGTCAGCCTTGGGCACGTCTACTTCCATGGCGTGCCTACGTAATAATACGTAGCCTGTCGCGCCAGTTCAGATCACCCGCTCGAGCAGATTGGACTAATCCCGCCTCGATGGCAGCATTCCGCATCATATCACAGCCTTTGGCGTCCCAAGCCGCGGGGCAAGTCACCAAAACATCCGCGCTATCTGCATGAACAAGGTCAAAACCTCCGGAGTGAATGTGTCCAAAATATCACTGACTCAAATCCGCCACTGCGCCGATCTCCTTGGTTATCTGTTCTTTGGCATATTCCCACATACACGAGAGGAAGTCCACGATGAGGTTCATAGCGGTTTTGCCGGGCTTTTCTAGAGTGTCAATTCCCTTTCATGAGGGTCATAAGGTGATTTGAAAAAACGAACCGGCAACTGGGGCAGTCGGGCATCTGCGTCTTCCCCTCTCAGAACACGTGGCTCAAGGAAAAGCTTGAACCTGGCATGATCATCAGTGATATCAGGCGCATATACTCGCAGTTTTCCGCACCATTCGCATTTCACTGTCCCCGGCATTGGACCAGCATTCTTGGCTTCGAGGCCCCATGCGACAATTTCTCCACGTTCATCGTAAATTAAGCAGGTGGGTATCTTACGGAATGTTTCAAAGGATCCCGGCCAATTCAGTATCTGTTGCACCGTGCCTGATGCAATGCGAGAGGACGCATATGCCTAGTGCTATATTAGTAGACATTAGCGAGGTAATATGTTCATACGTACCACTCCGGAGAAGGTGGTACCTAGAAAACAACAATAGATAAGCATCATTGCCAGGTAGTACAGGAGAATGACTCACCAAAATCAATGGATACAGAGAGCTTGCCTTCGTCAGACGGTGCATTGAAGTCATTCCTAGGCCCCGAGTGAGTGATTACTGTCGGGTTCGGCGAGGTGGAGAGGGGCGGTGAGCGCAAAGCCTGGAAGGCGTTGGAGGGGTGAACCGCGCTTGGATACTGGAGTGCAGGCGATCCATACGAGCTCTGGGGAAGGGGAGGAGTAGCGTTGAACAGAGCTCCCGGGGGCGGCATGTTGTTCTGAGCGTAAGACATCCTCTGATCCAAAGGAGGGGACGGTGAGCCACCCCATGACGGAGTGAAGCCACCTGGATGGGTCGACTGGAAGGTGGAGGGTGGAGGAGAGGGCACAGAGCTATAGAACGACTTCTCTGCCCCGGGCATGTGCGCGCCTGGATGCGGACTTGGCTGGTGGGTCACGATGCCATTGTGGGTTGCGTGGGCATTGTTGGCAAATTGCTTGTCCTTGTCTTCAGCAGCAGTACCACAGCAGGACACCATGCTTGAAATGAAGGGGCCAAGTGGTGGAAGAGGAGTTCAACGCTTTTGGGCGTCTATTACATGTTGTGTGCATTGATACGGTACCTATAACAAACCAAGCCGAGGCAAGGGCGTCGTTTGTGGCAGTGCCTCCATCAATTTGAGCGGCGGGCGCTCTCGACTTTCAAAGCAAGTTCTTACCAAGCACTTACTACGCACGAGAGAAGTAGACATGAACGTTGTCTCAATTGAAAGTCAGATAGGCTCAGTCTCGTTGACTTTACACTGTATCTCAAGTCGTGTGCAACCAAGGCGAGCTTTGACAGAGGCAAATGCAACTACTTCAGCACTGACTTCAAATTAATATTGCAAAATAGCGAAGCAATTTGAGCGCTCGCCGGTCGATGCGGGAAGTAGGGTGCAAGACGGCGCACGACAGCCTACGACAACTGTCACCCGTGCCAGTACTGTGTCAGGAAATTGAATGCTGCGAAGATTCTGATTAAGCATAGTGACTGTACGACTAAATGCTATCAGACGACATAAAGCTATGGCAACCTTATGCCAGTCCGCCTCGTTCTGCCTCGCATTGTACCCTCATCGAAACGAACTATCTGAGGATGACTTGCCAGTTTTGCATGCAGCTTTTCAAAGTTTGATGATCGATGGTTCGCCAAGTGCAAAAATCCAACACGGTACTTACTTAAATTGCTTCACGATAAATTCTGTGAGCCGATATCAGATAAGAAAAAATAGAGGAAAGATCGTTTGAGAGGTAGGTAGACATAGCACAAAAAAGTTCAAGTTTGTATGACGTACTGAGCTCATATGTGAGGCCATCTCACCTGCAGTATTGACGCCCTCGCATATGTGACACAATTGCGAGCCACCGAGCCCCATTGCATTAATGCTGGGAACTTGACTTGGCAAAACCTCTCAAAATCAAATGGATGGTTGCACGCCCTATTGTCTCCTCCGCATTAAGATTCCTTGAATGCTCAGCGCTCAGCATGAAAAGGTATGTAACTTACAATAGCTCTGATTACGGTGGCGGATAAATCTATCTAACAACGGAAATCTCAAACGCCGTGTGGCGCGCTGAGAGATTGGCTAGAAAGCGATTTCTGTTGAGTTTGAGGTGACCCCAAACTAGAATGTTGCAATGCTTTCTTCTAGTTAGCATTTCATAGCCCACAAGATCGAGCTTTAGACGGATCACAGCGACAGGAACGGCACCCACGTACGGGAAATAGCCAGAAGCAGTTGAAAGTATACGGCAGCACTCAGTACAGTGGAGTTATACTGTGCCCCTAAAAAGTCACGGTGGTACTCGTGGTACGTCGAAAAGAACGAGAGAGCTTCTCACCATCGACAAATCTTCTTCGAAACACGAGGGACGAAGTGAATCAGCGATCCAGTTCGCGTAGGCGACCTTCCAGTCATGTACACCAAGGCACAGACGCAAAAATAAACAAAATAAATCGAAATCGCGGGGTAGTGTATTGTCCAAACAGAGATCGACCACTTGCCCGGGTGAACACTTGGACGCCGGTCTGTATGCATCGATAACGCCTGGAGGTGCTGGCCAACTGGAAGATTTAATATGTACTCAACGTGACTCCCGCGCTATATGGTGCTGGCATGGGCGCATATGATATAGACACGAAAAGTCCTAATTGGGTTGAAACAGACCCGATCAATGTCTGAGAAATTGGCAGGTTGTTGACGATGATGCTCTCCGACGGCAACGCCCAAATCCAAAGTTTAATGGCGATACTAACTCAAACCTGGCGTATCTATACTCAAAGTGGTCACGCGCATCCAAAAGATGCAGCAAGTTCTAAAGGAAAATGACGGCAGTTGAGCACAACGGTTGAGTGATACTGATCCTCGAAGTTTTTTTTAGTATTCCCAGCGTCAGAGAATCTCGGGCCCGAACGAGCGAGCGTTACGTCCAAACATGTGGCCAGAAGCATGTGGCCAGAAGGAAGAGCACAAAACACCGTCAGCCCCTGATATTCAGATTGCTGCAGTAATGACTCTTCCTAGTTTCAAATATCCCTTGTCGGTAGGCTTGAAGACGGCTGGTCCGATTGGTGGCAGCAGACGCCGCCCCATCATCGTCAACCATCAACGGATAGATGATTTTATATTGCTTAGCGAGAAATAAAAGGCATAATGCACAGTCATGGCTCTTGCACGGGCATTTGGGCGCAAGAGTTACGGAATTTCTTCTTTCGTGATCCGCCGCAGGCTGAACGAAATAGCCAGTGGCGAGTACGCAGATAGCACGACTTGATTTAGTGTCCATAGGTGTCCATTGGGTCAGAGTGTCATGCTAGTCCTCGGAGCGGAAGTCACCGTAACCACAGAAGTTTACCGCTGTAGTCGAATTCTTCGCGGAGACGGAAATAGAGCAAAACACGATCTCTCGGTGTAGCCGAGCGAGAAAGCAGGGATTGTTCGTTTAGTTTCTGTTCGAACCGATGGTACATGCTAATTATTTCGCAGTTACACGTGTAGTCATGTCGTGTGGGGGCAGGAAGCCAGCCATACTGCCTGGACAGCTGGAGGAGCTGAGGAACATGAGTTTGATCAAGAAGCTTGGGTAGTACAGATTTAGGACGACATTCAAGCTCCGCATCCATGCGCGTCTAACAAGTCCCGGCAAGTGACATCAGAACGTCAACGCGTCCACTCCAGCGCTCCTGTCCCGTTCACTATGGCAAGTTCAAAGGCAGCACAGAAGCTCTTTGCCATCGCCAAAACATGGCCGGTCGATCCCTTTCGACCAAATATTCAACTCAAGAACTTTCTTCAATCCCTCTCCACGCACCCGCGCTTGACCGAGCAGATAGTTATCCCTGTACAAGCATTGAGGGATAACACGATCCAGACAAAGGTGTTTACCGTTCCTGTGTTCTCTGGGGTAATTTGCCTCATCCTGTTTCTCAGTATCCGCTATCTAAGAAAACCCTCGAGCCAGCATCCATGCCGAAGCATTACACACGGGTGGTACAAGGGTACGAAAATAGTGCGAAGGGCACGGGAAGGTCGTGGTGGCAGATTTTCTTTGGTGTTTGGCGGTAGGCAGTCAGGCCCTTTGGACCATCGGAAGTTTTCAACTGTCCATCAAAGTTTGAAGCTTTCACCTGCTGGCCCGTCTTCCGGCATCTTCTTAATATTAAGTGTTTACAGCTTGTATAATGAGTTTATTGTAATCCACTTGCACGATCGCGTACGTGTGCTCAGCGCTCAGCACTCAGCTCTCGCTTGCAGTCTCCATGCTTTTTTGAACAGATCGTCGGAACGTCGATCACTTCAGTACTTCTTCCAGGGGCTTCACCTTGTGTGCGGCGGATATTAACTCACAAGGCTTCGCTACGAAACTTCTGCCCCACGAATTCGTTCCGTGCTCGATTGCAACGCATGTTTCGAATGTCATTTCCGAGGCTCTCATCCGCGCCATATGGCTGGCTCATTAGAACAGATCACCGTCTCTCCTAAACTCTTTACCCCTAGTGGCGGCGGCGCCCAGCGTCAGCATTCACCTAAACCCCGACACAGTCCATGATAGTGGCACGCTTTGGATGTGGAGCTTACGTTTGCCACGGCGACTGGGGACACAAGTTGCGAAACGGTAGCATCATTCTGAGCTAAGATTGAACTTCCGCCGTGATCACTCGTCCAAAATCTCATCCTCCCCCTTTCTTGCCTGCACAACGATCAGCTCCACGGATCACGGGCTCCCGAGAGATCAGTCGAGACATACCTTTTCCACTAGGCGACTCTTCTTTTCCCTTGCCTTCCGCTGCACTCCGACGTACTTGCCTAATGGCGAATTCGCCACCTTCACCTCTGCCTCCCATGCCTCTACGTCGCCCATCTTCCCGGGTCCGAAAGTCAGGCCCTTGCGCGCCTGCTCCACCCAGCGCGAGCTCTCCTCTATGCGCTCGACGAGATTCTTGACAATGCCCGTCTCTTTCCCTCCTGCGCCTTTAGATTTTGATTTGGCGGTCTTAAGCCCCTTGCGAAGAGCAACGACGACCGGGACGACGATTTCGGGGAAAGCCACACTTCCCTGGATCGAGGGACTGGAAAGCCATTCTGCTAACACGAAGCAGGCCTCCTCAACAAGACCCTCTGTGTAGACCTTTGTCTTGAGATATTGCGAAGGAGCACGTATGTTCGTGTCGAATTCCAGTGGCCGCAGCGTAGATGATTTGGGTTTGCTCGAGCTCGACAGCGTGCCAGTCAAGATAGGGACAAGGTATGGCGAGAGGGGGATGAATGTCCGCGTATGTTGGGTCAAGTGAAGCATGGAACGCGAGATATGTATGTGGAATGGATACGTCCGCGAATTCGAGACAAGCTTCATAGCCCCAAGGCTGACCTGGACAAGCGGATAAACAAGCGCTTTAAGCTCGCTCTCTTCTCCACCCCGTTCAGCGAACGTTTGGGCATTGCAGGCCTTTGATAGTACCAATGTCCAGAAGTCGACACAATGGACATACTGCCAGTTGTACACCTGTTTATAGGCCTCCTGTTCGAAATTGTTATGAGAACGTTTCAGCACCATGCAGTAGCCCGTTCACACCTTCGTCTTGTTCTTCATGCTATTGCGCAAATGGATAGCAAGTTGACGAATATACCCAAATGCAAGCTGATACGAGGATGCATGGTCTATGCAGAACAGTTCCGCCGCACAGTTCTTCATGAGATTGATAAACGGAAGCTTGTGCGCTGTCGTAGATTTGCACGAGCGTACGAGTTCCAAGTATGTGCCCTTGTAATACTTAGGGATGGCTAAAGTCAAGTAGATTGAGCGCATACCTTTAGAACCATATCCATGATCGAATCGTCAGAAGACGAAGCCAAGCGCCGTATGGCCGAGAACGCCGCTATCCGGACATGGTCATCGGCAGTCGACCAAAGCTCCAAGCATTTCTTACAATGCACTATTTTAGCACGAAATTGAAAGCTTTAAGGCGACATTGCTGACCTTAAGATATAGCTTGACGGCTTTCCGACTTGTTATGACGTAGGGGAGGAGTTTAGCGCTTTCGGTGATGGCAAGGGTGAGCGTATCATTGTCAGTCAGCTGAGACAACACATGGATAATGTTGTAGAAGTATGAGAGAACAAGTTTCGAAAGCGTCTTTTGTTTTGTTGTTTGTGTTGGGGGCTTACTATGATTTGAATGAATCATAATTGGTCATAATATGAAGCAACTAGAATGTGCTCACAATTTGCCATTCGCTAGTGTTTTGTAAGGTGCATGGTGCTCTAGCACCACAGGAGTGTATCGAAGAGCGGTCGAAACGAGCTTGCTGTAAACTATGAGGGGGTTGTCAGGATAAGCGCTTGAGAATTGGAATGTATGCTAACCTTCGGCGTTGTCAATGCTCCAAACGGCTCCTTGGTCCTCGTCTTCTGTCCGAGCCGCCGATCGGAATGCAATTAGAAGTTTTCGCAGCACTTTTAGAGAGCGTTGCTGCCATTAGAGGGTGAGTACCTTGCACTCCATGACCGTGCTGGATACATACCTCTATGAGCAATTTTTGCCAACTCCGGAGTAGCTTCAAGGTGAGCACTGGGAGTTTCTCGTCCTCCGCGTCTCCCATTTCTTCGTCTTCATCCTCACCCTCATCCTCTTGATCCGCGCCCTCCGGATCGAACTCGAGTAGTTCACGGTCATTCTCTTGGAGATACTTGTAAAACTCGGGGTCCTGTTCTGCAAGCTTAGATAGCTCAAACATATGCGCTTGGCCCTCGTCTATCCAGAGTTCAATATCAAGTTACCGATGGCATGCAGTAGTGATGCGCATACCTTCCAAATCATCGACGGATGCGAAGGACTGGTCATCCGGAATGTCCTCCAAGTCTTCGTCGTCATCGGCGTCTGAGCCATCAGCTTCGTCATCCTGGCAAAAATTATAATCATTGAGGGTGTAATCAGTTTATTGTTACGCACATCACCATCCTCGTCCATAAAATCTGCTCCTAGGAAATCGTCTACTGACATACCCTTGGCACTGCGTACGGCCATTCAGCCAGACGTCATCGAGTTCGGACGATAATCATACCTCTTTCCACCTTTCTTGCCATTTTCCTGTTGAGGCTCGCCCTCCTCCTCGTTGTCAGTCCCGTCTTCCGAGTTCACCGGCGCCGGCTTGTTCTTGCCTTTGGCTCCTCGTCGGCTTTCAATCTTCTTTTTGTGCGCCTGGGCCTTTTTCCGAATCTCAATCGTCTTCTTGAGCTGACCGCTAGCTTTGAATTTACGTGTCGATTTGGCAGCTTTCCCCATAATGGTGACGGTGCAGTCCCGGAGGCTGAAGACAGGAGATGATTTACGAGAACTTTTGGCAAGCGGAAGAAATGATCGAGGACACTACACATACCGAATCGGGAATCTGAGAATCAAAGACCGCGTTCACGTTCCCGAAAGACGCGCGTGTTATGTCCACACCTCCGGGGTGTTCCCTGGTGTTCCACTTAGACCTCTTCAATCCCCCTAGCTCGATAATGGCTGCAGGCCCAGGCTCAATGGATGTGCTGGAATCAGCAAAGTCCACCCTTCGTACTCATGACGATCTTATGTCTCATGCTCGACAAACGCAAGTGAACCTCAGGCGCCAATTACGACCTCAGTCATCTCCACAAGCCGAGTTGCTGAAACTGCCAGCGATCCCACCCAGACCCTCTGTCTCTCCGTCGCCCCCAGCATCTCTTCGCTCAGAGTCTCAGGCAAAGCCCCCGAGACCTGACCTGTCGGTCTCGAAGCGAGCTCGTGTAGCGCGCTACCACAACTATATCCCTGAAGAGGAGACGATCCGGAACGACTACTCCCAACGATACGTCGACGGTGGCGAGTGGCCCCAAGACTGGGTGCTGGGAGCCGAACCTGAGCGTAGATTTGAGGAGTGCGTCCCATCATCTACTTGCTACTGGAACGGCCTCATCGGACATTTTATTCTGACATCTACGTTACGCATGTACTATACTCAAGGTATCCCAAACAACAGCGTTTGCTCAATCTTAAGAAGGAATCTGTGAACAATCACTCTGTCACGCCATCATATATTCCCTTCGCACGGCTACCAAGTCTCCACCCGTGCAAGTTTGACGTGATCCTCCTCGACCCTCCTTTCTCCTCGTCGTTCAGCTGGGGTGAGCTGCAAGAGCTACCAATACCTGCGCTCGCTGCAGATCCCTCGTTTGTGTTCATGTGGGTAGGTAGTGGAGCCGGTGAGGGTTTGGAAAGGGGCAGGGAAATCCTCGCAAAGTGGGGCTATCGGAGATGCGAGGACGTCGTGTGGGTGAAGACAAATCACACTACCAACCGTGGACCTGGAGTAAGACCTCCAATATTTGACCTTTCTCTATCTTATAAATCCGGTAGACTGATCCACCTACAACCTCCTTGCTCACGAGGACGAAGCAACACTGTCTAATGGGCATCAAAGGAACTGTCCGGCGATCCACTGACAGTTGGTTCGTTCATTGCAATGTGGGTCAGTATTCCAGAAGAACAGTCGAACATGCCAAGTGATTTGTTACCCTTTAGACACGGATGTCATCATCTGGGAAGGCGATTCTGCGGACCCGACACGCAAGCCGCCGGAGATGTACACGCTGATCGAGAACTTCTGTCTTGGAACTCGGCGCCTCGAAATCTTCGGTCGTGCGCGATCGTCGCTGCGGCGAGGCTGGGTCTCGGCGCTCCTGGATGGGGAAGAAAACCATATCCCAGAGCTTTCGCGCGTGCCTATGTCGGAGGACGGTGTCGGCATACCGGAAGGTACGCGCCCGTGGGATAAAGAGTGGTGGGAAGACGGCACAAAGGAGCTAGGTGGAGGCAAGTGCGTCGTCCCAAATTCCGCAGAAATCGATGCGCTGCGCCCCAAATCGCCCGTGCGAGGTGGCAACGCCAACACCCAAAGCCAGCAGCAGATGCAAAACAATCCTCCGCGCATGGCGCCACAAGCCCCTCAGTTCCAGCAGAATCAGATGATGATGCAGCCAATGATGAACATGGGTGGAGCGATGAACCCATTGGTCGGTATGGGGAACATGGCAGTGGGGATGGACGGTGGGATGGGCATGGGGAACTGGCCGATGGCTATGGGTATGAACATGGCGAATCCGATGGCAATGGGTGGGAGTATGCCTCCAATGAACAACATGGGAATGAATATGATGGATATGGGCATGGACGGTGGTATGGGTGGTGGCAACTTCTATCCCCAAGGGCAAATGGGGCGAGTGCCAGGGATGTGGATAGGTGCCGATGGCGGGGATGGCGGGGTGTGGGACGGAAGGATGAATGAAGAGATGTTCATGGGCGGTGCCGGGATGCAAGGGATGGGAGGGATGAATATGGGCATGGGCCCCCAATGGAACCAAGGTGGATACGAAGGGTTCCAACAGTAAGGATGTCTCGCCTTTACACCCCTACTTTGAACCTATTCAATGCGCCTGTGGCTGCTAGCTGAGCCCATCATACACCATGCATCATGCCTGAAGGCCTGACCGATGAACTGGCGCGCTTTGATACGCAAGAGGAGAAAATGCTTGATAAGTAGGATCTATTCCTAGCTGAAGTGTAGCTTTTCTTCGACGACTACTTGCGGAGGTTGCCGTTGATAGTCAAGAAGCTCACTCCAAGATGGGCAAGGATCCAGTAACTATCCAAATAGGAGCTCTTTGATACGATGCAGATGGATTTGAATAGAACGTCCATGAGAGATGAGATATCTCCAAAGACTAGGGAACCTCGATAGTCGTATCGGCTGGCAGAAACCAAGGCAGGGTCAGCTGATGCGGACGAGAACGACCTCACTAGCACCCAAGTCTTGTGTCAATGCATTTAATGGGGACGTCATTAGTATTTCCTGTGATGAAATAATGCGAAGCTCAAACGTACGTTTTTAAAGGTCAGAAACAAGAAGAAAAATCCCAATGTGATGTCCACTTACATATTCAAAGTCCAGGCAATCATAACCTCGAAAAGCTCTTGCAGTCTCACTGCTCAGTCACAAAGCGTCCATGGATGGAAGGCTTCAAGTTTTTGTGATATGCATGATTAGTGTTACAATTCAGCGTCCACCATACTTTGGCTCGGCAGAACCGAGTGCAGTGGAATCACGCTCATGGATTTCTGGGAATATTACCGGCGTCCTACCTGACGTTCAATATGACGATCAACAGAAGTCGGGGCCTTTTCTTCTTCTTTGACGTCACTTGCAGCCGCGGTGCGACTGGGAGCTCGGGCTACGAGGGCATTGGGCTTTCCATTTGACATACTGCGGCAATATTAAGACGTCAGCCATGCTTGGTAAATCATACCAAAGTTGCCGTGTGCCATCCAACTTCGTGGCGAGCGTCATCTTCAGAAAATAAGCATCAAAAGCTTCTGAATGTCGTGGGGAGCCGTTTGGCACTGGCAAAAGATAGAGTGGCGGCTCGACATTCATACTTTCATGGTTGCAACGAAAGCAAAAATGACGTCCAGTATGTGGGACAGGGTGAGGCATTGTATGACGAAGAAAGGCACACATAGCAACGATCGACACTAAGCGCTAGTCAGCGTGGGTCAGCGCTAGTCAGCATAGGTCAGCGTATGTTTCGGAACGCCACAAGGCTTGTGCATGATCTGTGCTGGTATGGAAAGTACTCGAGATTGACAGCGGGCCGTTCGGACGAGACAGTGAGAAGCAATCCGATGGCATCGGGGTCAGCGCAACTCCCAGTCGTCAGCAACTCTCGTTCGCACGCCTTGAACTTAACATCGCAGCAGATCGCGGCGCGCTTTGATCCATTCTTCGAACAAGTCAGCAGAGAAAGCCATCGCGAACTTCAAGTTGCTGACTTTTACGTCCGCCTAAAGGATGCGACCTCTCCGACGTCACTGGCTTCAGTCCGACGCCTGCCACTTCCATGACGCTCCTAAATAATGAAGGCGCCATTTGTCGACCCCTATAAGAATGGCCTGTGTTTGACCTCCTGAAGGTGCATCACAATCCACTCCGCATTATGACGACTCTCCCAGATACAACTACAGTACTCATTGTTGGCGCAGGGCCGGCAGGCCTCGCCTCCGCCTTGTCATTAATCAAACAAGGCGTTACCGACCTTACCATCGTAGACGCGGTAGCTCAGGGCGACAACGCGTCGCGAGCACTGGTCGTGCACGCAGCTACCCTCGAGGTGCGTACCATATCGCACGGCCTATTCCGACTTTGCGACTGACATCTCATCACGTTCAGGCTCTGGACACCATCGACTGTGCGCAAGAGCTCATTGACGGAGGAATCAAGAATAGGGTGTTCAGACTCTGGTCGCAGACTTCATCCCTCGCAGAGATTAACTTCGACACTCTGAAAGGGTACACCAAGTTTCCGTTTGCCTTGTCTGCGCCGCAGAGTCTGACCGAACGAATTCTCAACAAGAAGCTCAAGGGTTTGGGTGTTCACATCCATCGACCCCTGAAGGTTGTAGGCATGCGCCGACATGCCCAGGATAGCGCATACACCGACGTCACATTCGAGAATGGCAGCGTCATAAGGGCCAAATACATCATTGGCGCGGATGGAGCTCGCTCTGTCGTATGTCCTTCAGCTCAGTTTAATAAGAACGTGATATTGATCATTCCATGTAGGTTCGAACCAACGCTGGCATCGGTTTCGCGGATCCAGATGGCACGGACATTGCTACACTGGAAGGGAAGGTTAGCCAGCTCTGCACCGCAGACGTGATTCTCAACAACGAGGAGAGAGTCAACAAGGAGTTGCGCGTCATCGCTTCCTCCGGCTCTATCTTCATCTACGTTCCCCTTCCCAAGACCGTGAACGAACAGTATGGTCGCCCCTCTGATCAAACTATCTTTCGGCTCGTTACCGGATCCGCCCAAGAGATTCCTCATGCCCCCGGAGTCGAATGGCTGCAGAAGATGGCAGACAAAGACGGTCCTATCTTCATCTCCTCGGACCCTACTGTCAATCCTAACGGCACGACGATTAAGGATGTCGTCTGGTCCTCGCGGTTCCGCACGCACTCTGCTATCGCGGATCGCGCCTTCATTCGACTCGACTCTGATCCCAATGCGAATCCCAGCGATCCGAAGGCACCTGTCGAGGGGGGCGCTATCTTGCTCGTAGGCGACGCCGCGCACATCCACTCGCCCGCAGGCGGCCAGGGGATGAACCTGGGCATTCGCGACGCTGTCTCCATCGGCAAGCCCATCGCCGAGCACATCAAGGCTACCCAGTCTTCCCCAGCCACGGTTGATGATGACAAGATCCTACTCCACTTCGCTCAAGAAAGACACAATCGCGCGGCCGATGTCATCCATTTCACCAAATCGCTACTCGGTATGTTGGGGCCCAAGTACAGCGAGAAGCTTTTCTGGTGGCTGCCTATTAGTCGGGCAACTGTTCGGGATTGGGCGATTTGGATCGGTACGAAACCCAGGTTTGTGCAGTCGAGAATTGCTTGGAACTTGAGTGGACTAGGAAGACCCTGAAGGGCAGGAAGCAGCTATAATCCTCGAGAATAGTACTGATGTAGTATTTGCAATTTTTACTGTAGACGATGAACGTCAGAAATCTTGTGCTCGTTCAACAGCCGAACATCTAGAATTGACTTACCCATTTTTCGCATCATCTGCGCGTCCTTAAGAGAAACTGTTTGCTATTTGGCCAGATTCGTCGCCTGCGGAAACTACGCTTACATACCGCAGGGATGACGGAGGCGCAGGCATGTAAGCACAGGAAAGAGCTGAGAACAATCGGCAGACGCGACGCGACATCACCTCCCCGAGCCTTCTCCACCCCCACGCCCCCCAATCCTGTAGCCTCTTACGTTCCGCCCTTCTTGGTCTCCCTCTTCTTCATTCGCGCCTCTCATTCTGCTGCCTTCTTCTGCAATGGCACCAACACCCAACTCGGAGCAGAGTTTTCGGGCGAACCTCTCCCAGTTCCGCTGGGCTAGGGGCGCGACCGATGACTCGCAACAGGCACAGACGCCCATGCCATCATCAAACCCGTTCTCGCGCTTCTACAGCGCCGTAGCGGGAGACTACATACCTTTGCGTTCCGGCGAGCGTTCGAACGAGGAGGAGGCCTGGTTCGCGCTGTCGCGGTGGGAGAGGTACGCCCCACAGCTGCAGTTGCAGGCTCTCGTTTGCCCCAAATCGGTATGTCATCGGGCTAATGAATGAACTCTTTAGGTTGTTGGGCTTCGGTGGATGCCTGCTCGGTGCCGCTGTATGCTTCTTCGTGTCCTTTTTGGTGCTGCCAACTATTGCGTTTCGACCATCGAAGTTTGCGCTCGCGTTCAGGTGAGGTTTGTGATCGTAGAGTCACGAATGGCGATTTATGATGTTGCTATAGCCTTGGGAGCTTGCTTGTTATGTTCGGGTATGCACCTTCAGCCTTGCATGTTTGCCCGCTCACTTTAAAGACAGGTTCTCCGTGTTGATTGGGCCAATAAACCACCTCAAGCATCTTGTATCCAAGGAACGACTACCCTTTTCTTGCACATATTTTGCAAGCCTGGGGCTCACCTTGTACTTCTCGCTTGGGGTATGCGAAACTACCTTTGATGTTGAACCCACTTCTAACATGATGCGCAGGCTCGCTCGTATTTCGGCGCTCTGATTTGTGCGATCGTTCAAGTACGTCACTACTCTACACCTTGTCAACGCGTGGACCAACGGAATTTTTAGATCGTCGCTCTTGTAACCTATGTCCTCGCTTATTTCCCAGGTGGCGTGCAAACCCTTCGCTTCGGGGGTCAAGTCGCTCTGCGTGGTGCAGGGAGCCTCCTCCCTTTCTAGTCTTCTTATCCCTTTTGTAATAGCATCTTTGCTCTCTTATTTATCATTGTTACGGAGCTTGAAGCATTGACGGCAGATTGACTATTTCATATTTGGAAGATGCGAAGATGTGATGTATACCAATACATTTCTACTGCGGGCACAAATCGTAAATTATGCAGTGTAAGCAAGTTTGCAGCAGTATATCGAAGAGAATGTGCCCAATTTTGAAGAGGACAACAACGGGTGCCCGGATATTCATGGTCATGGCTCAAAGTCATCATGCAAACCCACGGTGTCACGCAGTCGCCGGGACATTATCTCTAGGAAACCTTGATATGACTCCCAGTTCGGCCCGGCAGTTTGAGGCGTCTGCACAGTAATGGTTAGAGATAATGGTGCACCGACAGCGAGGCTATCATGACATACAAGATCAAGGGACGCCACTTTTTGCAGAGGTGCGGCAATCCGTTTCCCCGCGTCCGACTTGAACACTTCCGGCTCAGGGGCGCTTGCCAAACGTGTTGATATTGACAGCCTAAAGTTCGGAGTACTAGGCGAATTGCGCTCGCAATAGCTGATGAGATGTCTCCAAAGCAGCAGAAGCAACATCTCCGTCGTACCTGCCATGAGAAAAACGCATGAGAAGTTTCTATGAAACGGGGAAGGGTAGTTACTCACCAAGGAGGAGTTTGACCTCGTCTTGTTTTGCAACTACCAGCCGCTCATACTCAGTATGGATTAATGAGCGCTTTTGTCCGATGTCCAAGTCCTGAAGGAAGCTGGGATCCGAAACGGCAACGATCTACAACGATGGAGTTTAGAAAAGATCCTAAAACTAGCTAGACTAAAACCCACCTCTTGGATGTTGTCAACGCGGATGTGATCTTTGAAAGAAAGCTCAGCAGATAAGTCGCCTATCTGTTTCAATGTGATAGCGAGATCTTCGCAGACACTCGTAAGGGCTTCGATTGAATCCCCAACAGAGGGGATGGTGCCTTTTGGGCTTTGCATTAGGACTCGTGACTTTATTCAAAACACTGCCACGTACCAATAAAGCGAGACGACTCAGGTCGGGGAAGGGCGAGAGATGGAGACAGGACCGGGGAGATTTCCGGCTCTAACGTGAACATATGAGCAGGAAATCCTCATCTCATGTACAAAAACAAGACCCACCTGTGAAGTCGCTCGCTGCGCCGAGATACTCAACAAGTGATTTTCGGAGCAATGCCTCTTGTCGTCGTACGTTCGTATCGAATCTGGACTCGGCATTCGGTCCTGTTGCAAGAAATTAGATTATCTTAGGAACTGAGCACACAATGAACAAGCATACCTGGGGCGGACAGCTGAGCCATGAGGAGCTCGGCGTCTGTCTGAGGGTTCACTGATTGTTTCCAATGACCGATTCCAAGACACCTGGCAGCCAGGCTCAAGATAGCGCCATGGATGCTCCCGAACCCAGAATTGGCGGACAGCTGACAGAAAGGTGAACTTGTATAAGTTGCTGATCGACTAACAATAATAAAGTAACCCGTACCAGGTCGGATTTGGGAACGAGAGGAAGAACGCTGCTGCACAATGACACCAACAGATGGATTTCTTCGATGAACGAAAGGGATATTTCTTCGTCAGCGTTCTTCAACAAAATAGAGATAGTGTCTCTATGATTTGACAAGAAGTCCAGAGCCTAGTGGGGGAAAACATGAGAACATATCCAACTAATCGAGATGAACGAAGAAATTACTTGGTGGCTGGCACTTGAATGATTCGAGCCCAGAGTAGCCATTATACCCGCAACCAACTGGAGGGCCGGCATAAACAACTGGTGATACCGGTGTACAGCAGATGGTAAGAAGCTGTCTCTGTCTAGTGACGGGATGAGAGAGATCCTGAGTTACGACGCGACAAACTCACCCATGAATGACTCGTCTGCCTCTGGTCTAGCGTCCAGATAGTCGCACTGAGCAAGGACAGGCAGGACTTGGGCCTCCATCAGTCGCTCGGCGCCAGACCGACTCTGAGCCATGCGGATGAAGAAAGACATCTTGGCCTCATAGACGTACAAAGGGTTCAAATCGTCTGAAAATCATCTTGAACAAAGTGCATTCATGCTAGCTCGAGGAACACTCACCAGGGTCTGGTTTCAGAACATACTGCAGATGTTGCTCTGCTTCCTTCAAGCCCCGTGCAAAGTTAGACAGGATGCCATAGCGTACCAAAGCCGTCAACACCGTACGTGACTTGTCCGATCGTCCGAGATATAGAAGCGAATCCAACGCAACGAACGCCACTGTCTTCCAAACTTCAGTGCCATCGATAGCATCTCTTGAGATAGTCATGACAAGTCTCTCAAGAATGGGCTTTATGGCAGCAAGAGTCCCAGATTCGAGCGATGACACCGACTCCTGGGTATGAGATACGGCGCCAGGGGAGTTGTACATTGAGACCGATTCGCTGAGCGAGTTGGACGGCTCGTCTCTGGAGCTAAACGCAGACAGGGTGAGGGACATTGACATGGAGCGCGTGCCGAAAGGCTGCACGGCAGACTCAAGAGTGGTGGTCTTGTCTGCTGCAACTAGATGCAGGTAGTTGACCAACGCAGCATAAAGGTTGCCCCGGACCAGCTCCGAGCGGTTCTTGTCCAAAATACACTCCAAGATGCTACGGAGGAGAGTGTAAAGACGTTCTGTCGGGAGCGAGCCAGCTTCGGCATCTCCGCCTGCAGACTGAAGCATGATCTGGTGTCGTCTGTCCTCGCGAAGCTTCGTGATGCAGGAAAGGATGGCTTCGGCAAGGAGGATGGCAGTAGGCTCCTGGATGTCAGCGGTGTGCAGGGTGGATGGCAAGACGTGCAGGAGGTCAAAGAGCATATTCTCTCGGCGATCATGGGGAAGTCGGGTGAAGCACTTCATGAGCGTTGTGTCCAGGACCCGGCGCCAAGATTCGTAGCCGGAAGCGATAGAATGTGCAACTTCACGACGGTGGTTCTCGATGGCACAGCTCGACAAAACGTAATCCATCTCGGCGACGAGTTTGTCCGTAGCACCTGGGTTTGCGAGTCTCCCTTGAGATTGCAAAGCGCGGCGGCCAGCGGTTAGCAGTGACAATAAGGCGACCTTATCGACGACCTCACAGCCGGTCGCATCCACGCGCACGCATGAGTGGAGGTTGAGATGCCCCAGAAGCTCCAAATTAACGGGATTCACAGCCAGCTGGTCAACCCAGTCGAAGTTAAGTGACTGAACGAGGTCGATGATCTTCAAGTAACTTTGTCCCATTCCCTCGAATGGCTGGAACACGTCCACATCCCAGCCGTTCGTCTCCTCATCGTATGCCACCTCGTTTCCAAAGAGGATCTGTAGAATGTCGAGAACACCCTTGTGGTGGTTCTTGTTCGTCAGAATATGCAAGTCAAGGGCAACTAGATCCAGAATCCTCGACCGAAGAGCCAAGAACCAGCGCAACGTCGGCACATTTGTAGTGACGCGAGACCCATCCTGGTACATAACCTGAATAGTTGGCTCCAGATCTGTCTCGGGCACCTGGGTTGGGAGAGTCGCCAAATGCCTAACGAAGAAGTCCTCCCGGGTCCGCAAGTAGCGCATCGTAGAATCAGAGGTGCGAGGGTGAGTGCACAAATGGTGTATAACTCGGTAACATCGCTCCGCCAGTGCCGGCAGGGCTACCATGAGTGGTGTCCCATTGCTCCACTGATACTCTCGAGACCTACCCTTCCCCTGCAAGCGCGGAACACCTGTGTTCAGCAACTCCAACAAGACATGCACGCAGGTACGCTGAGCCCCCATTGCATGCGGGTCTTGGATCTGGTGTCCGCTGTCAGATCCACCGAAGAGAAGGAAGTGGCCAAAGTTCGGGTACTGCTGTTCAGGCTCCGTCGAGCGATTGAGTAGCTCCAGCACCGCCAGTCGAATAGCCTGGTCCAATGCTTCTGATCCTGATCCTTCCCTGTCGGGAGCTCCAGCGCCAGTGACCTCGTCCGCGTGCGCCTCCGCTGCATCAACGTCGTCTGACGCCTCCACATCAAGCCTCTCACGGAATCCGCTTAGGATACGCTCTGAGTCTGGGCTGCGCTCGATCAGCGTGAGCAAGCTTGATGAGAAACCCGGGATGGTAGAAGAAGCTAGCTGCGTGATAATCTTGATCGCGAGAAGGACGACCTCCGGATGCGCCGCGTAAACCGTATAGGAGGCGATGGCAGGGATGACTTGGGGTCCATAGGACAGAGCACGGTCTAGTCGCGTGAAGTACGACCGCGAAGGCAGATCTCCAAGAAGCTGCGACCCGTTCAGTTCACCAAGGACAGGGATTAGCACGTCCAAGTATATGTCCTGAATATCAATAACGCGCTGCACGATGCGAAGTACGCGGACAATTGTGCTCTTGAAGTGGGGCTCTTCGTCCGCGAATTCTTTTTCAAAGCCTTCCACACCATCGACTAGATAGGACAGGATATTGGCTTGCAATGAGGTACCTGACAGGATACGTTTCATGATGTCGAAGCCAGGATGGACAAATAACCGCATGACGTTGTCCTTGTTCAGCTGAGAGTCATCGCCAGATACCACAAGCGCCTCAAGCTCGTAGCTTGCTAGTACACGCTCGATGAAGCACAGGCACAAGTCGTTCATCTGCCACCGGTCTGAAGGGCTCGCATATTCCCTGCGCGGGATGCCAGCGAAGACATTGTCGACGACAAACGAAACGTACGGTCCGATACCAGGTAGACGATACGACTGGCCTAGGGTTTCCGGTATCGTGTTGAGTGGCTCCGTGTCGGCAACGCGGTCCTTGAGGGCGATCCGCTTAGGCGTGTGAATGAGCGTACTGAGCAGTTTCAAGAAGGGAATAGTAGCAGGGTAGAGCTTGTATACCGACTCAACCTCCTCCAGTTCTGCTTCGACACCCTTGGCTGACGCTAGAATGTTTGATCCTGCTTTTACTGCGCGCACGTTGATGACTTCCAGACGCTCCATGAGATTCCACACCGTCTTACAGACCTCAACGCCTGCTGCGCCAGCGCCGGGCTCGCACATTGCGGCCAGCGTCTCAAATACAGCGCCCTTCAGCTCCAGCGGGATAACCAAGGGGATGAGAGAGACAAGGGTAGGCACTACACGGAAGGATGCGTTGCTAGTGATAGCAAGGCGCACAGCGATAGAGTCGGCCACAACTGTGGACACGAGGCGGAGGAAGGACTGTGCAAGAAGGACATCTTTGGGACCAATATCGACCTGTTGGGGCTGGGCGGCCTGCGACGGCGCAGGTGCATGGGACAGGCTAAACCCAGTAGAAGTACCCATAGGTTGTGCAGCTGAGTGGCCAGGCCGAGGCTGGGTACCTGCAGCCGCCCACGATTGGAGCAAAGAGAATATCATCGTCCAAGATACAGTAGGACCGGCGTTGAAGCGTGACGACCCCGCTGACGGAAGGTTGCTGCCTGGGATAACCTCGCTGCCGCCTCTTGCTAGGAAGTTGTACGCAAGTTCGCTGCATTGCTGTCCCTTCGCAAGTCCAGCAAGCATGTCGTACAATGACATAGTCATGTCGACGTCGCGAGCTTGAGTTGACCACACCGCCCATTGAAGAAAAGCAGGAAGCTTCCCAGCTGATATCTCTGTGTATTCCATCCATGACAAGCCTTGAACGTCGTGAGGCTTAGCACCCCAGAATTGTAAGGCCCGCTCGGGAGGAAGCGACGTGTAAAGGAGACCAATGAAGGAATAGAGGACGGCGATGTCGTTCCGAGGAGCATTAGTGGATTCTGACTCAGAAGAGGGGAGTGTGGATCGGAACATGCGCGACCGGTCTGTCCGAGCGCTGGCAAGGACAATGTCTTCTTGCCGCTGTTTGATCTTGCGCAACTCGGAAGATGCATACATGATCAACGTGCGAACCAGGCCCTCAAAGACCTTCAGCACCGCGAGCTTAAACTCGTCTGTCGGTATTTCACGTTGCTGGTCTTGCTCCGACGAGCTTTGAAGGGTTGTGGCAAAGGAGGTTGGCGACGTGCCCCTTGTGCGGCGCTGCAAAAGCAAAAGTGACGACGCGAGGAAGGTGAAAGCACCACTCTGCACTGCATTCCATATCTGGGTCTCTAATTCTTCTGTCTTAAATCCGTCCCTCGACTCCAGTGAATTATCGCGATGGCGAGTTTCGGTGAGGAACAGCGTCCATCTGAGGAGGAGGACTGCCTTAAGACCAGAATCCCTCCATTCTGTATTGATGGCAAGTTTGTTCTTCATATATGCGAGGACGGTCTTGTTCGTAGCAAGATCGTGTCGAACCTTACCCCCAATAGAGTCTGGGTCAACCGAATCGAATAAGGCGAGGACAGAGGATAGGATGTGGAAGGTCATGGGGTCGTATGGATTTGTGGATAACCAGTCAACAGACTTCTGCAGGTCGGTGGGCGACAGGTAGCCAAGACGAGCAATTTGGAAGTACACAGTGGCGAGGACTCTTCTCTCGTATTTCAGTGAATCATAGCGCGCGTTGAGAATATCGTAGCCAAGAGTGGGGATGGCACCTGAAAGGCGTTAAGCATGTCCATCAAAACCTACAGCATAAGCTCACCTTGCTTTGGGGCCACGGTGTTGCTAACAGCACTCTGCTTCGCTGTCTGTGCGTGCGCTAGAACACCTCCAAGCGCGTCCACTTGGCTGAATATCCTGTAAGCTAAGGACGCATCTCCTGCTCCGACCTTTGCTGGCGGTATGAGCTCTTGTTGTACGAACGCGTTGATGCGCATGTATAACCGGGGCGCGTCCTGTATTTCGGCGAGCTCGGCCGCCTCGAAAAGATACCTCAAGCAGTCTGCTAAGTGTCGCCTACGTTGATGAAACTCGGCGACTGCAGCCTCCATGCATTGTTCAGGGCTCGTGTTCGGGTTATCGGACATTATAGTGTGCAGTATGCTGGCGACGTAGTTTTCTGAACATTGAAGTTGTTGTGCAAGAAAGATGGCTTGCTGCGCAAAGTCGGCATTGACTGCAAGTGAGCGCCCACCGACGGATATCTTTCCTGCTGGATGTTCAATATGACGAAGTTCACGTATTACACAAAGAAGAAATGACAATACGCACCGCTCTGAAGGTCCTTTTGTTCCTGAGGGTTGCTGGGTCCAACCTCAAAGAGTTCCAACAGACGCGCCTTGCTCACTAGCAAGGCATCAAAGAGCTCCTGCTCGCCGTAGTTTTGCGAGCCAAGGGTAGCGAGCAAGACATTTCTGAGCCCAGATATTGACTCCATCGTCGAGTATGGCTCCCAGCCTCCTGTAGGCAGCGGCGAGTGTGTTCGAATGGCTCCGCGTCAACCTTCCTGGACTTGTCGCGTCCGAAGCGTGGGAACAAATTTCCTGCAGGGCAACACGCGTCCGGCAACTCACCACTTCGTACCGTCACCCGTGCCCCTCGAACACCTGACTCAGGACGCGTTCGCGTTCTTGGACCCCAGGAGCTTCATCCGGACGCTCTAAGCCTTTCATCGAGCTCAGGTGCTTACATTCAACACGTTGAATACTTGCGTCTCACTATCTAGACTCTCCATGTATCATTACCCCCAATTCACTCGACACATCATTCACTCACCTCGCCCGCGGACACGCATCATTCGAGAACTTAAATGACCTGTCCTAATCCCGATCCGAAGACAAGAGTCGCGTGCCCTTCCGCACACATCTCATCTCTCTCTCTCTTCCCCACTTCCCTCCCCCCCACATTGACTCACTCAATTCTACCTCGACGTTCACCATGGCCGACATCGTCTACAGACAATACAGGGGCGAAGATGACCTCCCGTACATCATGAGTCTCGTCCAAACAGAGCTTAGCGAACCGTATGTTATCTTCACGTATCGCTACTTCCTTAGTCAATGGTAAGCCCCTCCGCCCTACAGCTTGAAAGCTTATCTGAGCATTTCTGCATCCGTAGGCCCGAACTGGCTTTCCTTGTAAGCCCACAGTGACACCTGCACGGTGGATTCCTGACAACGTATTCATGCAGGCTATTCCTCCAGGTTCATCCGAACCGATTGGGGTCATCGTTTGCAAACAAGATGTACATACCCGCGGAGCTAACAGAGGGTATATAGCCATGCTCAGTGTCAACAAGAACTGGAGAAAGCGGGGCGTAGGTGCGCTATCCGAGTTATTCGGTTCCAGCGTGGGCACATACTTACGGCCGTATGGATTGTGCATGCATCCCCAGCCAGCACTCTTGTACGCCGCTCTATCGAAGTCATGAAGCAACATGGTGTTCAAGAGGTCCGTCACGTTTTTCGCGGTATCTTATCGCCTCCTCACGCTGTTTCAGGTTGTTCTTGAAACAGAATATGATAATGCAGCCGCACTCTCCCTTTACGAATCTCTCGGATTCATCCGCGAGAAGCGCCTGTATCGCTTTTACCTGAACGGCAAGGATGCTTTCCGCCTTGTATTGCCTGTACCACCGTCTGCCACTCAAGAAGCCGCAGCAGATGCAAGTTTGTACCTCGGCTTCGCGTCCATACTCCACCTGCAGTCCATCGCTGCCTAATCACCGGCACCCACGGCCCTTACCCTACACGTGTCTTGACTTGCTATCATATTAGTACCCTAATTATTACCGATTACTTTGCCAGCTCACAGCCGTGACTTCACTCGCACATTACGGCTCCCCTCCTTTCTACACTCTCAATTCTCTGGGCTTTTGCTTTGCTCAAGCTTTGCTTGGTATTATTGGCTACGTTGATATCGCTCGCATAGTACCATTGTATAATATTGTCCTCGTACATGTACCTATAACCCTGCTCAAGTTACCACTCTTCAGAACACATGCATGATCGACTTGAAAGTGGACGCGTTGGTTCAGAGGTATCCGACAAGACACGTGCAAGGTCGCAGGACCAAGTTCCATCAAGCTAAATGTGGTTGAAACCGTTTGTTACTTATTGCTAGATGAAGTTCCCGCAGCGGGTACGGCAAATGCAAGGCGCTCCTGATTCACCCAGAGCACTACTGAGTCACCAGTGCAGGTGACGCGTCGACGCGTCCGAAGACGCGCCTGTTCGATATTAACTGTGACGCCATGGTCTTCTTTTCGCGCCACCATGAACCTCGCACACCATTTTCGTCCTGTCCCACGTTAACGTTCGACACTTCGGAGACCAGTCGATTGATTCTCGTTGTCTCTCGATTTATTCACCAGCTCGTTGGCCCCTGTCAGACCCACCGACTCCGAGTCCATTGACTCTACGGCTTATTAGGCAACATACGTTCATATAAATTACGCTCCTAGCGCGAGCCATCGTCGTTGTCCCCTGGAGAATCAATTCTACTGTCACTGTGCGATGCGGCCAGGCTTTCTGATCTACGTTCAACCCCAGTTTCGACCTCATAATGCTCGGATTACTCACCAACGAGAACCCTTAATCTTACTGGCCCAGGGATTGCCAGTCTTAAGTATTATCCCGGGACACTTGTGAGTCTCTATCTGGCGCTCTTGATCAGATGCTTAGAAGGTCGCTATCTGGTTAGAGAATGTCGCTTCTTGGTTAGGTAGACTGGCTCGAAGTTGTAATTCTTCAGATCTTTGGTCTTCAACCGTCCCAAACCTAGAGGACGACTTACCTTGGCGATTAGGAGCGGATGATCATGGAATCAATGTATAATCACCTCTAGAATGAATTGCTGATTACTGGTTCTCCTCTGGACAGTGTCTCCTTTGGACATCTCGGACGGAACTGACTGGCCCAGGCAGCCGCAAGCCGCCTCAGGCTTGCCAGCCGCCCGCCATAATGCAAATCACCTACGTTACTCCTGCTTACGCTACACTCCTCCTTCACCTTCCTCTATCTTGTCGTTTTACAACTTGTGATCTTCGTTGCCTTTACCATGTCTCCCGACATCGCTATGCATGCTCGGCTGATGACGCCTTTCAGCTGTCTATCGCTTGATCACACCGTGGACTGGAATGAGGCCGAACAAGGGACGATGGGCAAGCTCTTCTCGGTCGTCACTTTCTCGCCCGGTGTACACCACAGGGTCAACGCATCTCTACAAAAAGCACTCCAGATTGACATTGGACCCGTCGCAGATGTCAAAAGCCTGAAGAGTGTAAGCCCCTCTTTCTTGATATCCCGTTTGCTCGCTGACCGGAGCCAACTTCTTATCGTAGGCGACGGACCAGTGCGTATCCCGTTTAAGAAACAAGGACCTACGGCGAGAAGTCAAGTACCTCCTCGGCGCTGTCGGTGAAGACCTGCAGGAGCTCGTACGGACAACCGTTGCAGGCCAGGCGTACACGGTCATGAATAATCTAACTGCCGTCAATTACATCGGAGGTGGGGCTTACGGCCAGGTCTTTGAGGTCAAGGACTGCAGCTCGCACGCGACGTTTGCGCTCAAGACAGTCGGAAAATCCGTGCTCGAGGAACCTACTCACCTTGCCAACTTTCAACGCGAGGTCGAGGTGATGCGGGCGCTCGCAGGGGACGCACGATTCACTCGTTTGCTTGCATCCTTCCAGGACGAGAGCAATTGCTATTTGCTCATGGTACGTTGGCGATATATCCTCATCAAATATATGACATGCTGAATTGTGCAGCCTTTTTACAAGCGAGGAGACCTATTTAGCATTATCGGGGAGCGCTTTGAGAGTGGGAGGGGAATCTCAGCCGAAGAGCTCCGTCCACTCTTGGCTGAACTTGTGAGCATCATTTGTGAAGTTATCCTACTATCCCACTCATACCATTGTTCTCAGCTCTCCGCCATTGAAGCCATGCACGCTCGAGGATACGTACATGGTGATATCAAGCCCGAGAATTTGCTCATTGGGGACGACAACCACCTCGTCCTCGCCGACTTCGGATTCGCTCGTCAAATGACTAAGTCTTCTGCGTTGCACAATCTCAAGAAGTTCTTCAAGAAGAGCTCACAGAGTCCGACCGCTGGGGCTGGAGGTAGCCCCGAGTATCTCTCACCTGAGTACTGGATCGATGGGTCCTGTGGGTACGAGAGCGACTTGTGGGCATTCGGTGTCACAGCTTACATACTAGCTACTGGCCGTGTAAGTCATTCCTACTCCTCGGTCTTCACCTAACTGATATAAAGCTCGCAGTATCCTTGGGATGGAGATAACGATGCTATCAAGATGGTAAAACAAATTATTGAAGAACCCGTGTTCTTCCGCCTAGCAGACAATGTTCATCGGGAGCTGAAGGAGCTCATCACCAAGGTACGAAATTACGTATCAATTTCTTAGCGACTTCTGACGGTAGCTTCAGATGCTCGTAAAGGACAAAACCGATCGGCTCTCCCTCGAGGAAATAAAGGTACACCCTTTCTTTAGGCCAATGTAAGACTGCATTATCATCTCACTCTCAGTGACTGTCGCTGAGATTGCCAAAATCACCAGAAACTGGACCGCTGTTGCGAGGCGGGAGAACGTCATGCCCGAGATCATTCAATCCTTCAATCTTCCCTCAAAACGACCAGATAACGCCAATGAATATCACCTCGGGCCTCTAGCTGATAAGAAGAATGATCCGTTCCCAGGTTTCACTTCCGGCATTCAGGCTAGGGTACATGTGAAGGTTGTGCAGTATGTATCTGTAGAAGAGACATCTTCGGAAGAAGACGGAGACTCAAGCAGCTCTTGTACATCGGGCTCCTCGTCTTCGGGCTATGGGACATCAAGTACTCTCGTCGATAACTCACCTCCCATATCGCCACTGCTAGCTTTGTTCGCTTCCACCCCGGCTCCCAACACACCTCCTTCCCCAATGGATAGCGCAAAGGCATACATACCGCCGAGAAGGTCACACTACCAAGCTTCGAATGGGAGGAACTCTAGATCGCGTGTTGATGCAGCGACAGCGAGGCGTACCGACGGGCGCCGTCGTGGACAGAATGGACCAATATCTCCACTCCTCACTTTACGGCACATTCCGGGGCTAATCGAGATGCTGCCTACGATGGAAGAGGTCCCGGGCGAGCATTATCCCGAGGACGACTCCGCGGAGCAGCCAAACGCTTCTTCCAGTTCCAGTTCGCGGACGGCAAGTTCAACCATCGACAGTTGCCCATCGACCCCCAACAACAGCTTATCCAGCACGAATCGCACCACGCCTTCACCGCAGACGCTGTGTCAATTACCCCCCTTTTCCCCCTCGACACCTCTAAGTGTAGGCTCTCTTGCCGCCTTCATTACGCCGCAGTCAGCGAGTCAACATCGCCGGAGTCGCATTTTCCCCTCCTTGCTGGTCGTCTGAGCAGCAACCCCACCACAGTAGCCATTTATTCCAGCCCGTTATCATATTTTAGCTTGATTATCCAACCACACCAGTAAGTCACAATAGATCTCCTGCTGTTTTTTTATTAAATCTAACCTAGGTTCTCAGCTACCTTTGAGCTTTAATTCTATCAATTTGAATCCTCATCTGCATCACTGCCTGTATCCCATGTCATGCCGCTCTATAGGTTTTCGCTATTTCTATCGTATCGCTTCTTTCTTTATCTTCGGAGCAGCTGGTGTAATAACTTTCATTATAAAAAAACACTCTAAATGACCTATCGCCTGTGTATCTGATTGTTCTTTCAAAAAGGTATATTGTGTCTAATATGGAGGTGACAATTTCTCCAATAAATAAGTTTCGATCTACGAACATGGGCTAGAAACACAACTACAGTATACAGACTCGTCGATTTCAATGCAACATTAGTCGAAGAGATCTTCATCCGAGGCCAGCTCATGGCAAGTTGGGCTTCACTATGAGGTCGATCAGTACATGACAATTGCTTCTCAACGATACCGTAGTACTCACCACCCTGGGTCCAGATCGCCTGGTCGGAGCCATCAGCATTGGGCGTCAGCGACAAAGTGTAGCTGGTGTCAAAGGCACCGGCAGCCCAGGCCGTGAAGCCAATGAGGGTATCCGCGTTGTTCTTGACATACGCAAGCTCCTGGTTGAGGCTTTGCGCAATCATCAGCCGGTGGCCTTGAGCTTATCTTAGGGATTGGACCTACTCAGTCTCGCAGGAGGACGTGCTTCCGCCTCCGGTCTCGCTCAGGATGGCCTGGCGGTTGCCGTTCGACTTCAAGAAGTTGACGAGGTTGGTCAGATCGTCGACGCCGTTCTAGTTGGATCGGAAGGATTAATCCTATGAAGGTCAAATGATAAGATAGCCTAGCTTGCCTTAGTACAGTCAGTGTGAGTGCCGCTGCTGTCAGAGTCAAGATAATAGTGGACTGTCAATGAGTCAGCACAAAGAAACAATAATTTACGCTGCCAGTGACCTACCATCAAAGAGGAGTTTCTCAACTCCGCCGGCGGGGTCAGTGAGCTTAACGAGAGCCGGCCCTGCTTCCGTAGGGAGGGCACCAGCGCTCGAGTAGCTGGATCCAGGCATCAAGATATACTGCGAATTCGCACCCGCGCTACGAATAGCATTGATAGCAGCTTGAACACTCTAAAAAATCCTGTCAGCCTGCGTTTGATTTTGAGGGGTACAACCTTCGACTGACCTGCGTCCAAGTGGGAACGTCCAAGTCATGAGGCTCGTTCATGACACCGAACTGGAAAGGCCTTGATCAGTCAAATATTACCGAAAACATAGGATGACCTCGTGCGCACAATGATATGGTCGTCATCCTTGAACTTGCCCGCGACCTTACCCCAGAAATCGGCAAACTGGTCGTTGCTTGGCCCGCCCTGGTTAACGATACCGCCGTTCCAGCGCGCGTAGTTGTGCTATCGAAATATGAGACGAGGAATCGCAAGCACCAGGGAGAGAGACGAAGTCTCACCACGTCAACGATGACATATGGGTTAGTGCTAGACGTCCTAGCGGCCTGCACAGAAGCGCTATACTGAGAGAACCACCCTTCGTCGATGTCTCCGCCGAGCGTTGGGGTCATGAGCTGCCATGCTAAGAACTCGTAAGAATACTGTGAGTATACCGAACAATATTGCCCTACCAAACGCTACAAGCAGGACGGCCTTGTTAGCTCAGAGATATGTTTCTGATAGGGTGTGTTACTTACGAATGCGGAATATGTTTACACCTTGGGAGGCGAAATGGGCGAACTGGTCGGGAGGTGGGGCAACACCACTTCCGGCGGCGAGGTTGCCGTCAGTACCCTGTTTCGTGGTTAGCGATGGATATTTACGTTCCTCAGATGCAACACACCACACCGAAGTCCCAACCCGCGGTGTTCAGACCTCCCAGAGGTCCAAGAGCAGCGAAAGCCACCTTTGAGGAAACGGCTAAAGCGAGTAGAGAAAGGAACTTCATATTATACGGCGGAGTTCTGATTGGGGTAGGTCAAAAAGGACTTGTGTTGGGACGAAATCCCTTTAGCTTCGACATAAAGGCCTTTTATATTCTTGCGGTCTGGAAGATAAGGGCGAGGAAAATCCGAAGTATAGTAGCAACCATGAACTATAGACGTGCTGTGGCATACGTGCCATTGCAACAAGATTGCGGATAATTCATGGGTACCCTGGGCTGGTGCAACGGGGTAATAGCTGGTAATAGGCTGTGTCATATGCTGCAAGGTGATCGACGAGGGTGATCCGCGGTGCCACAGGGAGTCATACCGCGTTGCCAACAGACCTGGACCTAGTTACAGTAGGGACATCCTTCAACCAAGATATTGGATTATGTCACTTTCCTGGTCCCAGTGGCCTGCTGCCAGCGCAAGCTGTACAAAGAGAACTGCTTGTCTCCCAGTTCCTCTGCACCACGTCTACTCTCAGACCCGCCCGAGCTAACACCTCGTGGCCTCATCCGATTGCGAACCTTGTGATGTACCTCAGAAGGACCGCATGGGTTACCAGTTTCTCTGGCGAATGTAAACTAATGCCATATCCACCGGGGCCTTCTGCGTTCCTCGGGTGCCCTTCCTAAATGCCCTAGAAGAGAGAGGCCATTAAGGCACATAAAAGAGCCTATGAACAATTCGAATAAAGTAGGTCAAGCTAGCAAACGATGCCACTTATGTTTTAAATACATCCCAAGACTCATTCATGCAGTGCATCTTGAAGCTCGAGATAGTAGCAGGGCACCAGAATGACTCCCAGCCTCAAGTGAGAGGCGCGCGCATGTCTCCAACATGTCCCTCGCAGCCAATGGCACTTCATCATGGGTCATGAATGATAGCTGAACTATCCTCAAGCAAGCTTCGGCCAGCCGTCGGTATTTTGAGGAGCAGAGATTGTTGAACGGACAAGCGATCAATCGATCATGATGCTTAAGAGATGCATGACGACTCGGAAGTTCCTCGACTGAGCAGCGAGCTCAACTAGGGAACGTGCCGGAAGACCATCGGCAACTAACGATTCCGAGACTCCCGGAGCCGAAAACGGGGGAAAACAACGTCGTTAACTCGGACTCGAAGTACCCCACTTTGACTCGTGACTGGTACGTACTAGTATCTGCTTCTGCGTACCCTGGCAAAGAAAGACTCGTCCAAAATCCAATCACCTAAAGGTGTCAATCCGGAGAGTGACGCGAGTGCACTTTGAGCTGGATTAACGCAGTTTAGAATGCGGAAGCTTCAAGCCAACGCTGCAGAGGTGGCGTTATTGATTGCGACAAAACCAAGATGGAATATACTCAAAAACCCTTTGCTTACGGTCATCAAGGTTATTCCATGATGTATGTAGCGACGTTGAAACCACACGCACACCCATTTTGAATGTCGGCCTAACTCATGGTCACATTTTCAAGAAGTTGTGCGATAGCAAGGCCTCTGAGCTAGTGGTTATACACTATGCTTTCCGGTAGCGATTCCAGCTGATTATTCTTGTGGGTATACTTCAAGCCTCCGAAGCTTCATTGCTCGACATTTGGTCGGTGGAAAATCTCTGGAGAATCCACGTATCCATCACAGAAAGTGGGGAAAAATTATAAGTATTATGGTGTGAGCGTACTTACGATCGTCACTATGGGCTACGATAGAGGCCCACCGTGAGAAAGGGAACATTATGAGGGTGGACTCGGGCACTATATTATAGTGCTCGGTCCGACAGAGAATTATAGACACGCACCGTATGAATGCCATGTATTATAGCCAACTATAGATGGTCATCCAAAGAGTCGTGTTCAATGTAGACGCCCAGTGATTTTGCACGGTATAATTTCATATATTATAGAATCTTGTCAAGTTAGTCACCTACATTATAGAGATCTGCTTCTCCAGCTTCTCTGCTTCATGACTTCTCTTATGCTTCTCTGTCCGTCTTCTCTTCTCCCAAACCTCCCGAACCACTGCAAAGTGGTGTTCTATCAAATTCCGACAAACGAACCAACAGAAGCAGTCAGAGGGCCCGGATTGAATTCTATGTCAGAATTACGTCTAGTATTCGACCCTTTACGGCTTTATTGGTTCATCCAGAAGCCTCCTACACGGCGATGTTCCTCCTAGAGGTCTACAAGTAAACATCGCCTTCATACGTCTATTTAGGCGCTTGGTATCCCAGCGGTACTTTAAGCGCTCACGCACTCGTGTGGCTCCGCGTTCATCGCATAGGGCCACGTTCTGCTTACGTAGCCGTCTCACATTACCGTGGGACTTGGACTGCACAGTAGTTACGAATACGGTAGTGACTTCACACGCTCCTGTCATATATATACAGTCGCTACCATGAATATCATCTAAGTCTTCTCTCTACCTCGAACGACTACCATCGTCTACCAACCAGCCTAACCAGCTCTACTCAACCTTCAATACTAACAGCCCGGTGAGTTCGCGCCTTTATAGACTTCCATGTCATACTCGCGTTCGTCCTTTGTCA